GGGTGGGAATCTTCGTATCCTTGCCTTCGTACGCAGCCTTGTCTAGAAGATCGTCCACAATAACAAAGGCGGTCAGCTCTGTTAGTGATCGTCTGACACCGGACGCTTTGTAGAGGCCAAAGCGCAAGGTAACTAACATATATTACATAATTTCTGCTTTGACAGGATTTGAGTCTTCCCGGCGGGTAGGTTGGTAAGTCTATCTAATTGCTTTGGACAGTAATTGCACTAAACGGGAGTGAGGACAAGACATGGACGTATTCCCTTTGTACTTCCTTACCTTACCGTAAGCTTGCCGTTCCCGGGATATATCATGTGTGTTGCTTTTGTTGGCCAGGCTTTGTGTTTGTGCCACCGTATTTATAGCATGCATCGTGCTCAGCCCTAAGATATATGTATATCCCTTGACGATTTTATATCTCTCTTAAAAAGCGCACAATAATTATCAACCCATTACCACGCCCTGACATCCTGCTCGTCCCATCAATAACGAGTATGGAATAACCATACATCTAACAAATATATCAACGCGAATATGTAGTGAATATAAGGGTTATGGCTAACACACAATAAGTCAGGCTTGGAATATGTCTTACTAATCCCTCAGCATTAACATGATTCTCGCTTAGGGAAATAGTCCAACATATCTGCGAGAAGTCCCGTTTTATTTGCAGCTCGGGCCGTTTGTTTTTCGTTTTGCCGTTTTGCTTCGTACTTGGAATACATATCTTGTGGGTTAGTCCCACTAAACCATCGGTGACCTAGTGCTTTACTTTCAGGGCTACACTATATGACTTTCTAAGAACCACACGTTTTGCTCATCGTATTGTTGCATCGTCCATGGGAAGTACACGGTAGGTAGCCTATTGTTACTAATTCAGGGAGCGTCCTTTCGTAGGTTGAAACTGTCTCTTGTGACATATAATACTCACGTATCCCGATCTATACACAACCCCAACAACAAACTCAAGCAAGACTCTCCTTAACCTGACCCACCAAATCCACCACTGTCTCCTCAAAACTTCTAAACCTGACCCCCAACTCCCTCGTCACAGCCTCTCCATCCAATTTATACCCCTGAACAGGCTTCTTCCCACTCTCATAATTCCCCGTAACCGTATCCCTCGCCCAGCCAAACCTCCCCCGAATAATATCCGCCGCCAACTCATACGAAAACGGCTCCCCAGAAGCCGGAACAAACCGTTTCCCACCAGCCTCACTTTTCAACAAAGCCTGCACATGCGCCTCCGCCAAGTCCCTCACATCAATCCATGCGGAAACCCTGGCAACGGGCAACGGATCCGCCCCGGAAGCCACACTCCACAGCACCGCATTTGACTCGTTCAACCCCGCTACACCGCTCACAGGATGCACGACAGGGCCGAAGGTCATAGGCGGACAAAGCGTAACGAGGTCAAACGAGGGCTTCTCCCGCTCGATGAACTGCCAGGCTTCTAGTTCGGCAAACTTCTTCGATCCCCGATACGCTACCACCGCGTCAGTGGCGGGGTCGATCGCTTCTTCGTACGTCAGGGGATTCCAATGGGAGCCGGTGTAAGTAAAGTCACCATTATAGGTCTTGGAGATATCAACCACAGACGCAAACGACGAGGTGAGCACAACGCGCTTCACGCTGGGTTGTTTCGCTGAGGCGGAGAGGATGGATTTCACTCCGTTTATGGCCGGGATGATGAGTTCTTGTTCGTTGTTTGTGGTGTCGTATGTGAATGGCTTTTTGGGATCAGTTAGAAAGGATCAGACCTGGAAGGTGGATGTGACGTACACTCGCGACGTGAATGACCCCGTCTATACCCTCCATGATATCGTCGAAGACCCCGATCTGTGAGAAGTCTTGTATCTCGACGAATTCGAGTCGGGAGATATGCTGTGGCCTTGCCGCTTTCATTTGCTCGCCTTTTTGTGCAGACCGTGTTGCGGCGCGGACGCTTAGCCCGCGGGCTAGCAGGTTGTCGACTACATGGGCGCCGATGAAGCCTGTCGCGCCTGTTACGAGGACGTGTCTGCGTGTTGTTAGAGTGTGTATGGTGTTGGGATTTGGGAGTTTACTTTGGGGTTGAGGGTGACATTTTATGGTTTGATGAGCAGAGGTGTAAAAGGTGTGGTTGTGTCAATGCAAATGTTGATATCTGATGTGGGGATAACGGAGATACGCCGATGATCTCGGAACGTGTCCGAGGTACGAGTACATGGCATTATTGTCCCCTACTACTGATGACCGGGGTGCTGCATACACTGTTTGGATAGAATGAAGCCATAAAAATGACCATAAACATGTGTATCCAATTGAGGGATATATATATAGTTCATCTAATATCTAGAACAGACAAAACATAGTTTACTTTATAGAGATCGTTGCACATTTATCATCAACCGAGCATCATGAATCATGCTCAATTCGACCGACCCAGCACCTCGTCCGTAGTCTCAATGAGAATCTCAAACGCCCGCCGGAGGTACTTCTCTTCCGCCGCTTCGTTGGCGCAGATCACGCGGATCGCATAGATACCCGAGACAACGGTGGAGGTGATGAAGATCTCACCGCGCGCGTTGATAAGCTCGTAGACTTCCTTTGTGAGGGCGTCGTGCTTTTCATTCGGCTTTGCAACAGTAGTTCCGTTGACTGCGGACCCATTGGCCTGTGTTCTGGTGTCCTTGATGCGGAAGACGGTCAAGCCGAATGCGGGAGTGGTGATGATTTCAAAAAGATCGGATCGACTGCGCACGAGGCTTGTAAACTCCTCGCCTACGCGGATAGTTTTTCGGACGTGTGCTTTGAGTCCATTAAGGCCGTAGCTACGCATGACGAACCAGATCTTCAACGCGCGGAATCGGCGGCCGAGAGAAATGCTCCAGTTGCGGTAGTCGATCACTTGCCCGGATTCGGAGTAGGGGTTGCGTAGGTACGCGGGGGTGATGTCTAGGGCATCGGTGAGATCGAACCGGTTGCGAATGAAGAGACAGCTACCGTGAATGTTAGCGTAGACATATGAAAGACGATTATGCGCAGCGCTCACCTTGCATCGAAGTTGACCAGCAACCACTTATGCATGTTGAAATTGAAACTGTCGACACCTTCGGCAAGCTCCTTGGCGAGATACTGGAACTCATCCGTGACCAGGGCCGAACCGGCATATGCCGCATCGATATGCACCCAAATCCGCTGCCAAGAAGGCTTCTCCCGGAGCACGGCCGTGATCTCGGAGATGCGGTCCACAGCGCATGTGCTCGTCGTTCCCATGCTAAGGGTGATATAGTATGGGGTCAGGTTGTCCTTGTCGCATTGTTCAAGAACAGCCCGCACATCCTCTCCAGTAAGCTCCATGTTGTTCTCCAGCTTGGGGGTGGCACTCCGATACCGCGTGCCTGCAATCAATGCACCCTTTGCGGTGCTACTGTGCGCCTGGTTGCTTCCCATCGCAACCAATCTCGGTCGGAGGTCCATCACCCGGTCCTCATACTCCAGCGTCCCCTCCTTCAAGCCTTCGGCTAATGCCAGATCACGTACCCGCCGTTCCCGAGCAGCCACCATCACGGTGGCGATAGTGTCACTGGCACTAACCTGGAGCACACCGCCACCACGGTTCTCCGAAGAGCTCAGAAAGCACTTAGGAAGGTTCAATGCTTGCGCCACCCAGTCCAAAACGATTGTTTCCAGCTCGGTGCAGGCCGGGGAGCACAGCCAGTTGAATGCGGGGGCGTTGAACGCGGCCGAGTACATCTCACCCAGGATACTGGGGTAGGTCACCGTCGCGGGGTAGAAGGCCATGAAGTTAGGGTGTTGCCAGTGCGTCAGACCCGGTTTGATCTTGGTATCGACATCGGCCTGGATTTGCGACCATTCTTCCGGTTCTGCGGGGGGTTGCTCGGGAATGAGGGGACGGAGGTAGCCTGGGTCGACGGTGGGGCAGACGCGCCGGTCAGGGACACTGTCAAAATAGTTGATAACTAGTTATAAAGTTAGCGAATATATATTACTGGTCAAGGAGAGTCAGTGCTGACTGTCATCTACCGTTGCGTGCGCAGCGGCTCTGAACTGTTCGCTGTCCATCTCTGGCTGGTGAAGTTGTTCGCAATCAACCGGGAGTCTCGGAGAGGCCAATTGCAACTGGAAGGCTCACTGATAGCGATTAGGGGTTTGACTACAGGGAAGTAGAATGCGACAAGCTGGATGAGGGGATAGATAAGTTAAATGAGTGCTGAAAAGGAAAGAGAAATTGTGACTCGGAATGACCGCACAAAGTGTTTCCGATCCGATTAGATAGAGGGCTTGAATGTGGGGCAACTTGTCGTCGACAGGGCGAGTTTTAGCGGTGCTCGGAACCGTTCCGTGCTCAGTGTATATTGGTTCCAGACAATATAAACTAAATGCCAATATATAATTTTATTAATTGATCAAATCTATTTACAGGGATCTGTACTAATAAATCAAGTATATTCTTGATACATAAGATAAAGCTCTGGATTATTGACTAGTCTAATTTCAAGATATCTGCTATCTTTTTTAGTATTTACTGTTCTAAAAAATCTCTTAGAGACTGCTACTGTAAGAATTATTAGTATCGGATTCTTCGGACCTAGTCTGGGTTACCAGTACCTTGGTCGCAAATGCCAGATTTAGGCTATTCTTATCTCACAATTTGTATGTTGGAGAGTCCTCCGCTAGTAAAAGACAGCTGACTTGTTAGGGCTCCCACTACCCAACGCCAAGATCGATTACAGACCAAGGCTTGAGAACACTGGGGAAAACACAACTGTCACAACCGTGCGATGGAGATTTCAAAACGCAAATACTGCGGGTCAGGCTATTCATACATATATATATGTATTAATGGTCCACCCTGGGGCCTCCTTTTCTTGACTTTGGTTTGTTTGGGCGTGGGGGATATAAACCTCTTGTTGGCATGATAGATAAATTTAGCGGAATTCCGGAGCAGCCGCCGATGATCTATTAATTGCATCCTGATCCCCGGCATACCGAGTGAGGTTCTGATATCCACATTGGTATTTTCTGATATCATTATTTACTGATCGGAGGGTTCGCCATGAGCGCTGAAGAATTCATCGCGGACGTCGAAGGTGGCGCGGTGCCCGTGGACAGCCACGATTGCGTCTTGCAGATAGCATTTATCTATATGGATGAGGGACTGTGGGACGGCAACGGCGTGTTCGATGTTGTGGAGAAGCTTCACGCGCGCGGGTGGTCGTTTGGCGAGGGCGAGTTGAGGTTTAATCGGTAAGTTACCGGATCCCCAATATCACCAAACTACGAAGACTGATAATCACACAGCACCCTGGATATATTCTACCTCGCCCAGCTCGCAGCGGCCATCTACCGCTCCTCCGCCCAACTCACCGGCGACTTTCCCTCCCCCTCGGATTTCCCCGCCTTCTACGCCACGCACCGCGCGCTCCTCCACTCCTCCGCATGGCGCTCCTACTACTCCGCTGCCTTCCTCGCCCAGCCCGCCACAGCCCGCTTCTACCGCCTGCCTGACCTCCAAGACCTGCCCGACTCCTCCTCCCCGCTGGACCAGCCGCGCCAGCAACCACTTACCAGCGGCAGCGCACACTCCACGAAACTCCCCCGCTGGGCCTACAGTGTCGCGCGCACGCGTCGCAGGCAGCCCTCCCTCCCGCTAGTAACTCTCACCCGGTTGGCCCTCAGCACGCTTGAGACGACCACCGCGCGCCTGCGCACGGTCCACCCCAGCGTGTCGCCTTACTCGGAGACGCAAGCGCGCTTCTGGCTCGAGCACATGGAGCTCGGTTCCCCTGGCCCATCCGGCCCAACTAAAGCAGCTTCCCAGCAAGCGTGGAAGCCGAACGGCTTCGGCGTATTGGTCGCGCAGGGAGCGCTTGATGTGTACGCGTGGGAAGCGCAGTACTCGGCGCAGCGGGACAGTGGGGTCGTGTGGTGTGGGGAGCCGGATGGCGGAGTGGGGGTGCAGGCGTGGTGGAGGGGGTGGGAGGCGGAGCTGGGGAGTGAGGAGGAGGTGGAGTTTTTGGCTGCTGTTGCGGTGGAGGAGACGGTGGGAGTGGAGGAGGGTCAATTGGACCTTGCGGTGCGGTCGCATGTGTTGTTGGGGGTCATGCGGGCGGCGGTTGAGGGGGAGCAGGATAGGGAAGCTCTTCTGGATGAGCTGGAGAGGGGGATGGTCAAGAAGGGGAGGATTGCGGAGGGGAGGGCGGGCAGGTGGCTGAGGGAGGCCTTGGGGGTTGTGGAGCCATATGTGAGGATGTGGGAGGGTACGTGGCCTGGTACGGAGCAGAGGGGGGAGGTGCTACGACGCATCCTGGTGGAAAATGGCCAGCTCTTCGCAAGGTGGAAGGTCTCGCCGCTTTTGAAGGAGGTTAGCTTTGAGCTAGGTCCGAGGGAGTAAGAGTAGCATGCATGTGTCTATTTGGATATTCAGGCCAATAGCGGGGACAATGGTCCTCCTACTCAACAAGCAGATCACAGAGGAGGCCCTAGACATTCTCTACAGAATGCCCGGCGAGCTACTCAGGACCCCAGGTACTAACTTTACAATGCGGCAGACAGATATCGCCGCATTCATCTGTGAGCATCTACTGCAACGGATATAATATGCAATTCTGCGGCTGAACCAGCCACATGAGATAGTCGTGCTAAGACTCCTGAATATCCAGGGCGCTAGCACCCGTCTGAAAAGGCTTTATCTGTACTTTCCGAGGAGAGGTGGGATGACTCCTTGCTGGGTAATTACTGAGGATACAGTATGTTGCTTTCTTTCATTGTGTCAGACGTTTTACATAGTTTCTGAGAGATTTGATAGTTTCGGACTTTTTCCCTTGTTACTCCTGTGTATTTTCACGAGGCTGATATGCAGTCGGAGACGACATTGACCGTTACCTGAAGTTGTATCTGGTGCCGAGAAAGTTGATTAGCATAACTTTTTATGAACTGTTTGATAATCCATAATGAACTTTTTGATATTAGTTTTTCTGACGGGGTTTTCCTAGCATATGTTCATGAATACACCGAGAGAGCGGAGTGCATTGTATATTATACGATCTATGATACTGATTAGCCATAATAAGGCCAAAGCCTATCAATAACACATACGCGCGTTTAAAGAACACTAGAACCTCAAATCTCCCACAGTACGCTCTCTACACAATAGCCAACAAATCCCTACGCTGTACGAATCGCGCTGCCGCCAATAGAACGCTCCCTACCAAGAGACTCACACCTGAGTAGATGGACAGTGCCAGATAGCCGTATTTACCCGCCAGTTCACCGCTAATAGGAACTCCGGCCAAGGCTCTGTTTATATGTCAGTGGTAGTACAATAACTCGAAGCATGTCCGGGCCTCACGAGAAAGATGTGGCTGCCATGACGGTCCCCATAGTTAAACCGATTGTTTGTGGTGTGGCAACTTGCGCTGCGCAGGCTTGCTGGAGGGAAAGGATAGCCTGCATGAACATTCGTTAGCCTTGTTGATATAAGTTTATCGGATTGGAAGAGCTTACTCCTGACGCAAACCCATACGCGAGAGAAAACATGACCAGGCCAGCCACGGAGGTCGCTTTCGTCCAGCAGAGAGCGATGATGCCAGAGAAGAAGGTAAACACGATGCAACAGTTGAACTTTCCATACCGGTCTGCGACAATACCAGGAAGAACACGACCAAAAAACGAAGCACCATTCACGATCGAGATGGTATAAAACGCCAGGTCGGTGGAAAACCCTTTCGCAACTGCGTAGGAGGTTGTGAAGAAAAACGGAGAAAACATTCCGAAATAGATGATGAAAAATGCGAGGCAGGATAACTGGAGACTGGGCTTTTTGAGAACGGAAAAGTCCGCTTTAGGTACAGGCGGTTTGGCCTTGGTTATCGTGGCCTCTTCATCATTAGACGCGGGTCGTTGAGTAGGAGTAGGGCTTATTTTGGGTGGCCGACAGCAGATGCAGGAGACAGATAATAAGGGAATCATTATAAATGCAACAATCCGCATCGTCCATCCAAATCCTATGTTTGGTCTTTGAAGGAGTTCGTTGATGGCAATAGGCCATATCACGCCTCCGAGAGACGAGCCGCCGAGCACTATACCCAGCGCTGCACCACGCTTCACCTTGATGTGTTGCCCAACGAGGGCGAGCATTGGACATGCTAGCAAAGCGAGCGAAATTCCGAGAAGGATCCCCTGTGCGAGTATGAACTGGTAAAACTCCTTGCAGAGTGACACCATCATGAGTGAGAACACGGTGCCTAGCGAGCCCACACAGAGCATCAACTGGGTCTAATATTAGTTTTTCCTTTGTGGCTGTCAGGGAAATTGACTAACAGTAGGTTTAAACATATCAAGCAACTGGCCAGAGAATACTGAGATGAAGAAAATGCAAAAGATGCTGATCGCGCCTAGCCATGCAATCGTTGATTCGGACTTGTCGGCGAGTTGATTTTTCCCATAGTATTCTTGAAAGACCCCGAACGAGTTCATGAATCCCACGGTGCAGAATAGACCGGTGAATGAACCCAAAATTGTTAAACATGCCTGCGGTCTGTGAAGTTCAGTCAGCTGTTGCACAAATTCTTCTGTGACACGACATACGTATACTCGCTGGGAGGTTTCTGGTCCGGTAGTGTTGAACTGTCCTTCGCCATTGTACCAGACTGATACGCTAGACAGAGCTTTCTTCATAGGGCACGCTGTTCTTCCGGTTGAGAAAATGTCAGGGGTGTTCTGTCGCGATTGCTCCACAGAACGATATCGTTTCGACTGGCTAGGAACGGTATGTATACTATCTAAGGTAGCCATAAGTCCCGTAGCAAGTAGCTCGGAGCACCCACAAAGACATAGTATCAAAACGCCCCGGTCTTTAGATTTGTTGACCTAAACAAGCCTCCTGGCTTCCTTCATTTTATCCGGGCGGAGTATCCACGGAAGCTCCGAGAGGGCTCGGAAGGGGTAAAACGGTTGATGTTGGCCGATAAAAGCATTCTGAAGATCTGGGCAAATACTGTAAGAGAGCCCTCGCTTGTTCCGCCCTAGAAAACTGTTCATCTTTGACTATCTCTGCGCAATATCATTGTTTCTTTCGATTGTTGTCGTGTTAATAACATCGCGATGATGCACGTGATCCGCCCGCCCGGCAAGTGGCCGAGATCCAACGACTCACGACATCTGTCAACAACGCCCGAAATGAAGCGTAGAGTCGGACCAGAGCTGCACCAGAAGCCTCGGAAACGTGTCTCAAGGCAGGATCCCGTGTCTTGTGAATCATGCAGGCGCAAAAAACTGAAGTGTAATCGACAACAGCCATGCAGTAGTTGCATCACTCGAAGATTGCCATGCAGTTATGCCATTATACCGGCCGCGGCGGACACACATAATGTAGCATCGGATGATGGAAGCCGAAGAGAAGAAGCCATTCCAGGCCAGGGAGATACGCCGGAGATCCAGGAGATACGAAGTGTGGATGCACCCCCTGTTACGAACTCTCAACCATCATACCGCAGTCGGGAATCACTGTGGACCGCGGACTGGCTAGAGAACATTCACATGGGTAACCGAGTGCCAACAGCAACACCAAAGCTGTTGAGAGATGAACTTGATGAGCTGAGGAACAAGGATGATCTTGTTCCTCCAGGGACATTGCTCCCGGTTTCCTGCCGAAGTTGGAATGCCTCACGGGAGAATCCTGCGACACTCAATTTACTATCGTTTCTTCCCCATAAACACGAGGCCATGGCACTGTTCCGATATTATACTAACTATATTGACTACCTTTACCATATCATATTTCCGAAGCGCGTGGAGGATCAGATAGATGGTATCTACCAAGCGATTGAGCGAGGCCAACCGCCTAATTTGAACCATTTAGCCCTCTTTTTCAGCCTTGCCGCCAGCTCGTTGTTTTTACAGTTGTCCGTGGAGTCTTCCATTCATGCGGAGCTTTGCAGTCGCGAGTTCTCGTTTTTGACCGGCGCCGCCTTGATTCAAAGCAACTACCCAGTTAACCCCACCGTCGAGGGCTTGCAAGCAGCAATTGTGATCATGCACCACGCATCCAATATGAGCTGCCATCCATCAGTCAGTGGTCTCTTCGTACTCAGTGCGGTTATTAGTCAAGCAAAGAATCTTAAGCTGCATTGGATCGATTCACCACGATTTCGGGAAGAAAGGGAGGCTAATCCATCGGACGTGGTGGAACTAGAGACCAAAAGGCGGCTTTGGTGGGACATCGCATCATACGACTGGTAGGCAGTGATTCGTTTAGCATTCTATCTGGCTGTCTCTAATTACGACATTTCCAGGTTCCTTGGGTTCTTGAGCGGTCCTCAAGAGTGGACCTACCTGATTAACCCAGAACACATGAAGGTAGACCGGCCTCTCAATCTTGACGATAATGAATTTGAAGGGCATGGAGGATTGTCGCGACCAATCTCGGCGCCGACGGACATGTCCTTTTCTCTCGAGCGACTCAAGCTTGGTATCGTATGCCGTGAGGTTATCGACGCTACATCCCACGAACACCTCTATGGAATAGAAGTCAGCTACCAGAAGATTCTTGAACTCGACAAAAAGTTTCACCAAGCTCTTGCGGAGATCCCAGAGTTCTTCCGCCTTGATCCGACCTCGAGGCGTCGATTCGCGTCTCTGTACCAGAATCGCCCCACCCTTGCATGGCAAAGATGTCTCCTACAACAAGCGTATTTTTCACGCTTGTGTCGTCTGCATCGGCAGTTTTTCATCCGCGGAGCGCGTGAGTCGCTTTATTCTTATTCCCATATTGTATGTCTCCAATCCGCGCGAAAGGTCCTCGAGATCAAAAGAATCATGGACGAAGACGAACCAAAGTTCACACCGCCAAGCTCGGTGGTCTGGTCTGTTATGCATCACGTATTCATGGCTGCTGTGATCTTGCTGCTGGATGTGTGTTTCAACTGGGACGATATATTAGCTGAGAAGCGAAAGGAGGAAGTGCTTGATGCCTGCCACATGCTCAGTAACGCTCAGCTATCATCTTCACTAGTGAAAGAGGGTATCAATGCCATGATGAGTGTGCTGCAAAAGCACTGGAAACATGGCAAGCTGGCTGCTTCTCCAAACCGCAATTCATCCTCAAATGTAAACCCGGCAGGTTTCGACGCGCCAAAGCAACCCTTGCCTTCCACATCCCGAACCAGTTATACACCAGCAACCACGATCGAATTGGACCCACCGAGTGACTTTCCTAGCAATGTGGATGATACGGGCCAGAGGCAATTAGAAGATATATGGTCTGAAATGCTCGACAACAGTGCGAACCTCGACCTGGGCGATACTGATTGGACGGGGTTGTTGACCGAGTTGACTAATGCCACTATGCCTGGCTGATGGGCAATACAAAGTCAAGGGATAGCTTCGCTGCACCCACGTTAACCAGAGATTATATATTTAGGAGAGAAAGCCTCTTATAATATAGCCCCTTCGGAGACTGGCCTGTCAGCAACGCGTGTGGTGACGCACCCTCGGAGAGAGTACGGCATTCTATGCACTTGGTGAACACGAGTCTCTTACGCACTCGATTTCATCCACTTCATGATATCCACGAAGGAAAGTAATAGCACTACAGAATTCTCTGTCTCTCACAGTAGCAATGATATGGATGGCGTTCGATACTTATGTCTATCGATTTGGACTCTGGACTGAATGATGGAGTAGAAGGATATGGTTCGTTATATGTCGAATTAGCATCTGTAGCTATTGTACTCAACTATGTCCTCGTTAACACGCCAAATAATCCACCCCTTTTGTCCGTAATCAAAGACAACTCATTCAACCTTAACGTCAATCTTATTAGGATCTACCACGGATTAGCATCAATTGACCTGGACCGCGAATGCTATGGACAGGAAAGAGCCATAGAACCAAAATAATCAATCTCCACACTTACAAAAAGCGACAAAATCCTTGATATGCTTCGCCTTATAAAAGGGTGCTGGATAATACCACGCCGCATTTGGAATCGTCACATCTACCAACCTCAGCATGCTTCCGGTGATAGTACTAAAATACCAAGCCAAGTACCTCCAATAACAACAGAAAAGTACTTCGCATCGCCCTTCCACCCACAGTATGTCGTATGATCCGACTTGACGAAAAAGGACTCCTGAATTGTCGATGGGGGGAACTATAGCATCAATGATCAGATTGATATCAACTGCGGGGCTACGGAGTCAAAATCGCACGTAAATATTTCCTTCGACTTCCTCCCAGGTAGTGGTTTCGGCGAGCAGGGTGCCGTTTATAGTTGCTTTTGCAGTGGGCATTTTAGTAACGAGTCTGGGAAACAATCGAGCTTGGTTGATTGAAGGCTGGTAGTAGCAAGAGGAGGGGTTTGTTGCTTAGTGGTGAGGTTGTCAACCTTCCCCGCATTATTTAACGATGCAAGAGCTCATTAGTCAGACACTTCAGGTGTCCTCATATTGAGAAAGCATGTATTAAACCATGTTAATCTAGGGAAAAGCCCTGATATTTCTCGCCCATGTAAATGTTTATATAGAGCACCCGATGATACAATATCCTGGGTAATTTGATTCATAGGGTCCAGGGATCCATATATAGGAATGCGGTCACTTGATATTTAAATGAGAGGCCAATCAGAACGCAGAAGCCTGAACAAGCACCACAGCCATAGAACAATAAAATAAATTGCGGAGAGAATCATAATGCATGATAATACAGGAATTATCCTCAACTTGATCCCGGTGTGATTGAAGTATGTATATTACTAGCTAGCAGAGGTCATCGGTGAAACTTCGGAGTCAAGCATTTGGGAAGGCTCGGGACCAGCCCTAATTGCTGTATTATGCGGAGCTATAAATCATAGGGCAATGTCGATCGTCCCACTTAGTACTACGGATGGCCCCAGGATGGCGAACTACTATTTGATTATGGTTACATCGACTATGACTTAGTATAATAAGTCGATAGTTTTTGACCGGCTCAAGCCGCCCAGCTAAGTGAAGGATTACGGTGTGTTAATATCAAGTAATAGCTGCTCGATTGCTTCTGCGCCTGAGTGCGCGGATGGCACCATGCTTATCGAGTGCCTACTGACTCTGTATTGTTAAGTGTTGTCACTCTAGGGCCAGCGATGATATAGTCTTCAGAATCTGCACTCAATACCGACATCTAGCAAAAGCCGAATCCAGGACAGAAAGGAGTTTAAAACCAATATAAATGCGCAACATCACAACAAAAGAAGCCGGAGGACAATGCAGGCACTACAGGTCTTGTGTGATTTTAAACGAGGGCAGTCCTAACTTCTTTTGCAGACTGCAACTAACCTACTTGTGCTTGCCCAGTAGGGTTGGACTGTTGCTCGTTAATCGCTTATTGACTTAGTACTCAGTGATTCTGTCAATCAAATTTTTCATGATTAAATCGAAGCTTGACCAAAGCATATAATGCTGGCCTATTAGCGAATGTAGGTGTGATCCCCATCCCATGCAGATATATCACAGCTTAGCACCTGCTGCAGTCAATAGATAGGAAAGAACACAAGTATTGCAACAAGTGGGAGCTTAATAGACAGGTGTATCCCAGTAGTGGCACTGACATTAGTCTTCCACTCTAAAGAATGCAATTCTTCATGTAAACGTTGGGAAGGGCGGATCTAACTCATGAACACCCATGAGGGTTGTGGCGAGACCTAGTTGGTATATCAGCTTTACGAATTAGCCCTACTACCAATACAATTACAGATGTTAGCCAAAGTACACCTCAGAAACATGGCTTCCTGGCTCAACCATGAGCGCCATGTATCACGGATCAGGATTCCAGAGGCTATACTCTCTGGATGTGGTAATAGCCAGTTGCTATCGAGACTCAATTGTTCCGTCCCTTTATTAAGTAATGAGGGCTGCCATCTGCTTGGAGTTACCTGAAGCTAAGGTCAACTCCAACGTATATCATTTACTGGGCGTCTTTTGAATTATGAGAATGAGAGATACTCCATGACTGGCCACAGATTCTGCAAGACACGGCGCTGTGGTATATGGTGTATATTGAGAGATAACACTATAGGTAATATTACGGAGAGTACTAAAGGAGCCGGCTTTGCACTGACTCAAAGTGCAGCTAGGATGCCACAACGCACGGTAAATAGGGTGGACTGTGCGAATTGAGCCTCCTTCTCAGCATTAGTGCTAGTTCTACATCCGAGCATTCGATCACACACACACATATGCCATAATTACTATGTTTTACCTATATATCAGCTCTAGAATCAACGACCTACCAATTTGGAATGCATTACTTATAAGCGAAATGGGATATATTCTTGGCTTTAGAGTATTCCTCGGTTCTACCGTCGTTTTACAAAGCTGCCCGAGGGCAATATTAAGCACTCCCCACAGTTTACCGAGTAGGGCCGCACCGGGTCGCTCCGTACATTAGGAAATTACTAGAAGTGGGACCAGGGCTGAGATCCCTTGGATGTCCTTCGAATCAGGAACATAGCATAGAGAGGGTGCGGAAGGAGGGAGGTGGGTGGTAAGTGGCTCGGCTATTTGGCTATTGCTGTTTGAACCTCGGAAGTGGGAAAACAAGACGAAGATAGATTATACTAAAACTAAAGCGGATTAATATATTTGTAAGTACGGTGTTGCATCCATCTATCATGTATTATAGGAACGTGACCAGGAGTTAGCCGAGCACACCTCTTAGACAGGAACGGACCCATACGGCGCAGTCACTTTGCATGTTCTAGTAAGACATTGTCCCACTGAGAAAGAGAAGCTAATGCCAAGATTCGATAGTCCAGGTGGATCCTCTGCGGAGAATGATATTCTAGATGGTCTATTCGGGGGTCCAGGGGTCCACAATGCGCGCATATGAAAGTCCATCCTGAGAGGTACTCGCCGTTCCGTGGAATATCTCATACTGTGGATGTCGCGATGGGTTGAAACTGTGACAGGGATTTTAGTCACTTATTCCTTAGGGAGGTGGTCTTTGTTCTATTAGCGCTTCGCGTAGTGATATTATATTGTGCGACTTAGAATTGGTTAACGATCGCAGGTCAGTAATCCTTCGTCGCCATCGGCAGAAGATTTCTCTTTCCCACCCGTTGTCGCCGACTGTTTCTTACCTACTGGAGTCGACCCCTATCTCCCCTTAAATTTCCTTTCCACTACTACACGACGAGAAACGCTGAGATGGGGCGACTTATGAGACCTACCGCCATCCAGATAGTTATATTGGCATTGGCAGCGGTTCTTGGAGTTTCTATCTGGTCACTCTGGCTAGGAGTCAACTCTGATAGAGACAATATCCATCCGCTACTCAATCATCTAATCCCCGCTGGCCACTGTGCTTGTCAGACTTCTACTATCTTTAAATGTGGCAACTGTCTTCAGTGTCCCGTCCAGCCATTTCATGACACTACTTCCTCGTCCTTTGCGCCTCCCGCGCGGTCTGCCTTTGATCCGTCCGAGTATTCTTACAATGACACTCAATGCACCAATTTGTTTCCCGGTCTTTTTGAAGATCCTCTCCGAGCCCAGCTATTCTGGACAGCTAGACATGGAATTAGCAGGGCTGATGTTGAGAATATCAAGATGGTAGATGGCATGGCTAGGGTAGCTGTCTACCAAGGACGGCTGTATGTTCATAGAGCCCTAGCCAAGGGGGAGGATCACCGGCGTAAGATCCTGGGGATCTTGGGTTCAATTCATCGCGCCTTAATCTCGGCGCCACATACGATCCCAGACACAGAAATCATCTTCTCTATAGAAGATAAATTGGCGGACGTCGCTGGACCAGATCATCCTCTCTGGGTATTGGCCCGGAAGGCTACCGAGGAGTCCGTTTGGCTTATGCCGGATTTTGGCTTCTGGTCTTGGGGCCACATTGATAGTCGAATTGGGCCGTATGACGAGGTAGTCAAGCACGTGGAAAAGAATGAGCTCCCCTGGGATGAGAAAGAGGATAAGCTGGTCTGGCGCGGAAAGCTTAGTTTTGCTCCAAAGCTACGCCGTACACTACTTGAGATCGCACGGAAGTATGCCTGGGGTGATGTAAAGGAAGTTGAATGGAAGAATAAGGCCAACTACCTTAGCATGGAAAAACATTGTGATTATAGGTACATTGCTCACGTGGAAGGTATGGAGACTTTTATCATTCAAGTATTATACATATCGAGGAGGAAGCCCAGCTAATATCTTCTAGGTCGTTCTTACTCTGCATCTCTTAAATATCGCCAGGCCTGCCGATCGGTAGTAGTAATTCATAAACTGCAATATATCCAACATCACCACTATCTGCTAGTCTCGTCCGGCCCACAGCAGAACTTCGTTCAGGTGGAAAGGGACTGGGCCGACTTGCCACACAGGATACAAGAGCTTCTTGATGACCCTCTCAAGGCTCGCATGATTGCAGACAACAACGTGAAAGTATTTCGTGAGCGATATTTAACTCCAGCTGCCGATGCATGCTACTGGAGGGCGTTGCTGCAGGAATGGGCCACTGCATCGCCTGAGATTACCGAAACCATGACCGACCCAACCAGTGCTCCAAACAGAGGGATTCGGTTTGAATCGTTTTTACTACTGGATCCCAACAGTATGATGCGCTTTGGGGCTTGAGATTAGCGCCCATCCAGGAAAGCACAGATACACTACCCCATATATAATCCTCTGCACCAAGAAAGCTGATACATACGACCACAGGGTGTGGAGAACAGGGCTTCCCGTCCGCTCAGCCGTACTTAAGCCACACGCCGGGACGTTAGTAGTTGGGTGGGTGACCACCAGCGAATCCCTCCTGTTGTATGTTTTTCTTTTTTATCTCTATCTAGATAGATAGATCCATCTTCTAGGGATGTTGGCCTAGCTCTGTTGCTGCAACGTCTACTTGGACGGGTTGCCCTGTGCAGGAAGATGCCGCAAGACGGCGGCTTTTCTCATGAAAATATTCTATGGATCAAACGGCCCGCCACTCTCAAACCACTCGATATACCCTCTGCCATATAGTTTATAATAGATACCTACTTTACATCGTCTTGTATCTCTTCTACTAATTAAATGGCTTTCAAATTAACTACTGATCAGAGAGCCTTGCCAGGCTTAATGATCGCCCCTAGTAGGGCTACCCCGCACAAAGCTGCAGCCTCATCTTTGGCTAGATACAAAATTCCATGATATAACAACTCCCACTGTAGACAAAAGAAATGTCGGACTCGGACGAACTTTGTTCAAACTGCACGAAAGTTGACTTCTACACCCTGTTCACGGGGCCTCGTCACTTCCCAGGAGATGGCTTCGACCAACGAGCCAGAGTCAACCTTGGCACTCTCGCGGAAACGAAGGCCAACACAAGATGCCCTGCCTGCCGTCTTGTCATCCATGATTTGTACGCTGGGGGCCAGCTGACGCATCCATGGGAGCACTGTGGGGATGAGGTGGATCCTTCCCAGGTCCAGGTTGTTGCCGTCCCAATGCGCGGTGACTACTACGAGGATATGAAGTACTCCGACGCCAAGAGGAATGACATGCTAGCAAAAAATCTACAGATTCGTTTAAGTGAACTTGAGGGCTGTTCTCCAGATTTGACCAGAAGGATCCGTCGCCATCAAATAGGTCCTGGCATTCGGTTGTTGTCTCCCGATTCGGTGGTCCCTGAGAGAACCCTGATCAACGGTTTCCAGGCTACGGACAGAGAAAATAATCTGACTCATACACGAGTGGATGAAGACATGTCGTGAGAGCCACAAGGATACTTGCCATCACAGGGAGGAACCAGGTGCCCAACTGGCAGCGGCGCGGCTGGACAACATTCGATTTATTGATGTGGCAGAGCGAAAGCTGGTGGAGCGCAAGCTCACCGAAGTGCCCTATGCAGCGCTGAGCTACGTATGGACGCAGTAGCACGCATATTATGAAGCCTTGGGGCTGAATTTGCAGACAGAAGCAAAGATGGAAATGTGAGACTTCCTAAAAAATATGCCACAGGTAATAGAGGATGCAACTTTTGCCTGCAAACCGCTTTCCATTCCATATCCTTGGGTCAATCCGTACTGTATAGATCAGCACGATGACGACAGGAAAGCCGCAGAGATCAATTCAATGGGTCATGTCTATCGATGTTCCAAGATCACCCTCGTTGCGGGGAGCCCAGCAGCCTCCCATCAGTCCTCGGATACTAAACACTGGGGTTTAGCTCTCGCAGCATGAAACGAGGATCTCGGCCAAACACAACGAACCGAAACCATCGGTGGCCGGAGATACATTACCAGCTTACCGTCCATCACGAAGCAAGCCCAGCTCTCATCATGGAACCAACGATCCTGGACAATGCAGGAAGGCGAGTTAGCAACTCGGGTGGCTTTCTTTGGCGCTTATGATGTATCCTTTGTGTGCGGTGCAGGCCATTGGAGAGAATCCCAACATTCGGGAAAATATGGCCATGATGCAGATATACCCAGCCTAAACCTGCATCCTGAGGCGTTCTACATGCTATCTGGCTATAACTGGCTGAGTGCATCCGGATGGTGATTCGAAGATTATGATCTAATCCTTGCGATATACACCGGGCGAGATATATCCCTCCAATCTGATAAGCTGAATACCTTACCTTAACACCAACGCCGCAGTCAGCAATTTTCTCCATCATCTGCTCTCCCTGTTACTCCACGTGATCGATCATTCAATTCTACCGCCCGTCGTCTTGTGTCCCGTCTGCCTCCCTGCCTATCTCAAAAAACAGCACCGCATTAACAACCACCACCACCACCACCACCATCACCATGTCGTCGCCCGCTGAAAGCTCCTCCATCGAGAGTGGCAAGCCTCCTATCCCATCTTCTCCCCTCCTCCGCAGCAATTGTTTTACTCAGTGAACCAGGAAATACTCGCCATGAACGCTCCTGCCTATTTCGAAAAAGACGATATTGCGCCAGAAACAGGACACCTCGTCTCCAGAAGTCTTGCTGTGGATGGGGATGAAGAAAGGAAAGGGGTGATTATTTCGTTTAATCCTCTGCACCAAGTATTGTCGATAAACATGCCTATGGGTATCCACGAGGTGGTTCACGACTGGGTGACAACCGAATTCAAGGTTACCACTGTGCTGAGTGGATTTTTTACCGGCGAAGAACTTGAGAGTTTTATTGCTTTCCCATCAAAGGGTAAGAGAATTAATATTCTGTATAAGATAACTATACTAATAAGGTTACGATAATTTGCCCCACCCTACAACAATACATACAAAGAGGCGGATACTACTATAGAGTTTGAAGATATACCGTTGTCAATGGTCAGAGTTGAGGTTGGTTACTCCGAATCTCTACTTCTTCGCGACCAAGAGGTCTGGATTGTTCGGGGAGCCCCCCACGTCAGAGCCATGTTACTGGTAAAGTGGAACATCCGCAGAAACAACCAAGTCGCCGGGTACCTGGAACTACATCGTCCTGGGGTAGCCAACCCTCCTCGTTTAGTGAGTATCAATTATATTAACCCTTCTGGTGACTTTATTGTTTATACAACGGCTAACCAATGTTCTTCGTTGTAGAAGATCTTCCCCCCCGACACCCCCCAACAGTATTCAATGTTCACAAGGGCTGATTTCTACCCTAACGGGGTAGTCCCGGTCGGGTGAAATCCCGATGACATCTGCAACCGGAGCCTCGACAAGCTAAGAAATAGAGCCACGCGTGTAATGACAAAAGTCGGCTTGTCCCCAGCGCTCTAGCTGGATACGAATTGGAACGATTTATCAAGGTCCCCCACATCGTATATGCGGGGTCCGAACTCAACCGCCGCGGATTGGCATCTGAGATGTCGAAACGGTTGGCTCTCGGGACGTCGAAAACACGGCGTCGGGCACGTGCTTACTTGGCATGTCGATCTGTAGGACGCCTTAAACATGATATATTCCCTCGGTAGCTTTGGGAGGTGTGGAAAGTGATAACAATAGTGAAATCGGCGACGGACTGGATATAATGGAATTTAGGAGTGGAGAGTCGGCAAATCCGAGAAAGAGACCGCATCCCACGGAAGACGAGAATATCAACGATGGCGGGATGGTTACTGCTGCGGAAGGCTTCTTCGAAGCACTTTGTATGTAGTTCTGGGATTTTTGACGAGATATAACTAATAGCTTTTAAGCGGAGGCTGGTGTCACCCATTGTTTTGTCAATCTGTAAGTTCTTCACTATGTGTGTTCGGTATGTGTGCCTAACAGATAACAGAGGAAGCGACCATCCGGCCATGTTGGAAGCGATGATCAAGGCAAAGCAAGGTGCGATCTATCGGGTACTCTTAGTGAGCAGATGACTTAGGCATAACAGAAAACTGGTCCAAATTCCCGACCATCATCACCTGCCCTTCTGAATTGGTTGCCTTATCAGCAGCTCTGGGGTATGCCCAGGTCACGGGGATTCCGGTATGATATATCAGGGGTTCATCCATGCTCTTATACTGAAGCAATTTAGCAATGTGTCATTGTGCATGTGGACTGCGGTACTCTCGCCATGGGACAATCTGTTCATAACGCCTCAGTGGGCAGAGTGCCGGTTTTATGTTTTGCTGGACTCAGTCCCTTCACCCAGAACGGCGAACTTCTCGGCTCAAGGACGGAGTATGGCTCACAGGAAGTATGATTTTCGGGCAGGCTGACTGGTTGTAGATTCATTCATTGGCTGCAAGATGTACCCGACCAGCCGGCAATTGTTCGGCAGTATTGCAGGTACTCGGGGGAGATCAAGACTGGCCGTAATATCAAAGAGATGGTCTATAGAGCGTTGCACTTTGCAATGTCCGACTCCAAGGGACCGGTATATCTTACGGCAGCAAGGGAGGTGCTCGAAGAAGTACGCACTACGATCTAGTCTAACACCAAATATGCTAACGGGAATATTTAGCACGTAGAAAGGCGATTTCTTGGGGAGGAGACACTCAGTCCAATTGTTCCCAGCGCATTACCAGAATCAGGTCAGACGTACTTTGGAGATCTCAATTTTCAATATTGCTGACGGCACCAGAGGTTGAATTTATTGCAACTGCGCTCATAAATGCAAAGAAACCACTTGTTATCACAGGATATCTTGGGCGTAATCCGCAAGCGCCGCCCTTATTAGCAGAGCTATGCGACAAGCTACCAATCAATGTCCTTGAGTCGGTTGGTTCCGACATGAGCATGCGTACCGATCATGAAGCCTATCTCGGCGTTACCATCACCACACACCCGGCAGTCTGTGAGGCGGATGTAATCTTGATACTGGACTGCGATGTGCCTTGGATCCCTACCGCTGGAAAGCCACGAAAGGGTAAGAGACTCGCACCCAAGCCAGGTATACTACTTGTTGACTGTCTAGGCACAACGGTCTTTCACCTTGATGTCGATCCACTTAAGCAACAAATGCCACGTACGTACCCATCCCAATTCAATCGATCGCCTTACTAATCATCTGTAATCAGTCTTCTCGATCAACGCAACTCGCAGGCTAAAAGTTAGCTGTGAGATTGCACTCCGGCAACTGAATGCCTTTATTGATAAGCAAGACATTGACAGAGCAAGCTACACTATGGCATTTGAGGCACGCGCGAATCGCTATCTGCGCTGGAGACAGGATCTACGGGCCCGGGAGTCTCCGTCACAGGACGGTATGATCCGTGTGTCATATCTGGCCTCTAGACTGCGACACCACCTTCCAGATGATACTGTTTACCTTGTTGAAGCCGTTAGCAACGCAGGCCTCATTATTCAGCATCTTAACTTGACAAGGGTATTTTATCTGCCGGATTTACCATATAACCGCTAACACGGCTTCAGCCAGGAACGCTCGTCGGAAGCGGCGCCGGTGGTTTAGGATGGGGAGGCGGAGCGGCACTAGGTGTGAAGCTGGCCAAGCCCGGCGCATTCGTCTGTGCGATGTGAGTATCGATAATGAGATCATGACAGCAATAGCCTAATGAAGTGACAGCGTCGGGGATGGCACATTCCTCTTCTCGCAAATGGAGAGTGTCTATTGGATTGCTAGGCGGTATGATCTCCCATTCCTCCTGGTCGTGCTAAATAATGGAGGATGGAACGCACCGAAGGTGTCAGCTTTGCTTGTACACCAGGATGGGTTGTCTTCCAAGTCTAATAGACGCGGTGAGTCCATCATTACTTCTTCGCCGCCGAGGGTGAAACGCTGTCATTAGCTCAGTATCGAACAGCTAACTGAGGCTGGTATAGACCTTAATATATCATTCGAGCCATCACCCGACTACCCAGGGATTGCCACTGCAGCGGGTTCGGCTTGGGGTATCACAGTGAAGGAACAAGACAGGCTAGATACAGCTATTCAGGAAGCTGCCAATGTTGTCCGAGGAGGCAAGTGTGCAGTCGTGGAAGTTTCGTAAGTGACACGAGTCACTAAGTGGAAACAAGGCTAATAGCTGCAGAGTTCCTTCAATATGGAAAGAAGATTGAGCAAGATAGAGGCTATTAAACGCTCCTGATGCTACTTAGATAGCTTGGAATTGATATTGTGCTTAACATGCTATAGTGTGATTAAGGCTCACTAATGCCATATTTCTTTTTTGATTGACAAATTGTGTCCCCAAAAGGGCATAAAACAGGCATTGATAACATAGCAATACCCAGATGAAGTCAATACACGAATGATAACCAGGGTGAGGTATTATCCTAATAATACATCGCGATCTGTGATGTACTTGGCCACATAAAGCTCATAGAGCCATGAATTTAGCTACGAATGGTGTTTACGAGTTTCGAGTTGAGAATATCGATCGCGCCTGGTGTCTCTATCCATGCCGTATGAGTGAGCGTCAGATATTTGTTCACTCTCTCCACCATGTACCGTGGCGTAGGGCTCTCGCTGTACATCGCATCGAGATCATCTTTTTGACACACAAACTTCCGCCATAAAACAGGAGCCCTCCTCTGAAGTTGCTCAAACAAACTGTTGGCTTGCTCCTCTAACTCGTAAATTAGCTCACTGCGCACTTCATCATCTAGGGCCCTGCGGTTCGCAGCAACGACCGGACTCCAAGGTACGAATGACAGAATCAGATCTAGGATCTCACGAGGAAATGTAGCGCCAAGCGCGAATACCACTTGATCAATCCTCCTTAAGTCCAACAAGAATTTCACTTTCAGGAGAGTTAAAACGATCATGTAGCTAGAATTGACAAACCCGGCACCGAAGTTGTCAAGGCGTTCGAAAGGATCAGCGTTCTTGATCTTACAAGACATCAATCTTGAGAGGGCATTAATATTACCGCTCGATGCGCGGACCGTATGCCACCATTTCACGAAATCGTAGCATTCCTGGTCCTTGTGTAGACGGGCCATCAAGGCAGGGATGCCCTCCCATAAGCCCGCAAATTCAGGGCCGCATGATTCGAACATATCCATGGAGTGATTAAGCTGTGCCTGAACTGATTCAACATGCTTGATCTCAGCCATGGCCTTAATCAAATCCAGGCGTGCTTCTATGTACTGTGGCGCCCACGCCGAGACTTGATTGGTGGCGATAGGCAAGACATAACCATCGTTGATCAACGCCTCCTTTGTTTGCTCCAGATGAATGCAAGACCTCTTTATCGCCATGCAAGTATTTTTATGCCATGGGAGATGGAGTATCCGGTGTTCGCTGCTACAGTATGGCACCAGCTCACACTGATCGCACTTGAAGAGACCAGATTCTTTGCCACAGAGACAACAGCCAGAAGGAAGGGTCGTGGGTGACATCTTTGAAGTTTTGAATTTGGAGAGCAGGAAGCGATAGCAATGTGGCGGTTGAAGATTGAGTATTGGAAGAGAAGGAAGGAAAGCACAGTGAACGCACAGTCTATCGACTTCGTATTAGTTGGTTAGTTAGTTACTGTTAGCTTATATAGGGTGTCTTGAGTAGATACCTCTGGTGCATTTCAGGCCCCACCTAAACAAGTACCTTTCCAAACAAAGCTACATTGGCAAGACATAAAGCATACATGATTTAGCATGGTTCCTTTACCTCAATAAAGAACATAATCCTTAGGAAACTGATGTCTTCTCATGAGGCTATTATCCTTTGTGTCTTGGACTTCGATCACTAGGAATTCAAAGATAAGTTCTTTAACGCGTTCATGTTACAAGCGTTGTTGATAAGACTCACACCGCCTGCTACACCTAGATAGGACAACACGTCTCGTCGCCCGGGCGGTCAGTATCTGCCGCATTTTTGTCAACAGCCATTCCACAAACCGCCTTTTCTGAAGGTGGTTGAGAGGGAAGTATAGATATACAATCACATTCTGATTTATCACACTAATAGTAACAATTAACTCGGAAATTCCGATAAGGACGAAACTTAATATGCATATAATTGAATACATCTTTTCAACTGCAAGACAGTGGAGTTTACAGTCTTTGAATAGTAGCTATATATAGGACAACTCAACTGTCATCTGCAGAGGATATATATTCCGAAACGGATCGGTGTTCATAGTATGTACAAGATTGGAGTGAAGTTCTCCCCAAAGGTTTGACTTTTCCTTCATATTGACTAAGTTACATCCTGAATCCTACAAGTCCTACAAGGGATATAGCTAACAAGACATCCCTAAGCGTCATAGACTTCGATGTGCAGACAATGTCTGAATGGCCACCGTCGTGATATGGCGATGTCGATGTGACAACCCCGGAACCCCCGGCTAGATTATCGATCAATAACAGTTCTGGACCAAGTACAAACTAACCTGGAGATTGAAGAAACTCTCAGTACCAATGGCATGCGAGAAACGAAACTATAAAACAGTATCCACTCGTTTCCGCCTCGACGCCTCTTGGGCAATTGAATAAGCCGCTTATGGGAGCTACGGTGACCCTGCAGGTGGCGCTATGATGGTTGGCATGCGGATTTTTGATCGCCCGCCACTGATTGTGGAACTATTGAGTTATACTAAATTCTGAAATCTATGGGACAGTGCTCGTAAGGTTTTCTAGTAAAACCAATCAGATGGGATGAGAACTGAAGATGTCCAACTGAGGGTCTTCGGGCGGGCAGAAAGTCCGTGTCCCGAAGATTCTGCCATTTCACCGCCTTCCTAATAACGCGCATTTCGTTCCCGGACACTAGTTATTCCGCAGAATCGCTATGAAATGCTCACGCGGGTACGCGACCCCGCGTTTGTCAGATCACGGCTGGCACGTGCCGGGGCGTGGGTCGGGTGTTCGGATCGGCAAGGTGACGAGCCAATCACAGCCTCGACATAGAAATCCAAAGGCCCGGGGGCGAATCCCGGGGTAGCGAGAGGACTTATCCGCGGGTAAATTCAGATCCGCCGCCTACCGCCCCCAGCCAACTCCGTTGCAACTACCAAATCTGATATCGACCGCGAGTCAATGCGATCCAGTTTGACCCAAACAGAAGAACTCGCTAGTGTTACGTACCTGCCGCCCATTCGGCTGTTAAACTTTGACAGTTGCCAACATGAGCACATCAGACCATCATTGAACCAATCCCCATCGGCACCTCTCAACGGGATGTGGCCGTCCACCACCGTTGCCCTCCCCCCACAGGGATGAGGAGCCGAAAAGATTTGCCGTCGGCATCCCTAACCATCTGGACTTGCCTGAGGTCGTCTATATAGACCCTCGACGTCTCGCTATGTTCGCTCTCTCATCCATTCAGTCACTCTCCCTCTCAACTCCCTCTGAACTGTCTTCTTGACATCTATCCACCCACCCAACACAATGTCTTCCACTCGCCAGTTCGACCCCAACTTCACTCCCTATGTGATCAACTCCATGGGACCCAAGACCCCCGAGCGCACTCGTGTGCTCCTGGGCTCTCTTATCAAGCACATCCACGAGTTCGCTCGTGAGGTCGAGCTCACCCCCGCCGAGTGGATGCTCGGTGTCGAGTTCATCAACTCCATCGGCAAGATCAGCACTCCCGTCCGTAACGAGTGCCACCGTATCTGCGACGTGATCGGTCTGGAATCGTAAGTCGATAACCACAGGGGAATGCCCCACAGTGCAAACCAAACTAACGAATTCAAACTAGCCTCGTCGATGAGATCGCCAACAAGATCGTCACCGAAGATGGTGTCTCCCCCACCTCCAACGTCATCCTCGGCCCCTTCTGGTCTCCCAACGCTCCTTTCCGCGCGCTCGGCGACAGCATCATCCAGGACCCCAACCCTAACGGCAAGGTCACCTACATGCACGGTGTCATCAAGGACATGGAGACCGGCAAGCCCATTGAGGGCGCCGTCCTCGATATCTGGCAAGCCTCCGCCAACGGCCAGTACGACTTCCAGGACCCCAACCAGACCGAGAACAACCTGCGCGGCAAGTTCCGTTCCAACGAGAAGGGCGAGTTCTGGTGGTACTGCTACCACCCCACCCCTTACTCTCTCCCCACCGACGGTCCCGCTGGTGTCCTCCTCAACCTTATGGACCGCTCCCCCATGCGTCCCGCTCACATCCATCTCATGATCACCCACCCCGACTACGCCACCGTCATCAACCAGATCTACCCCAGCGACGACCCTCATCTTGACATCGACTCCGTCTTCGCCGTCAAGGATGACCTCGTTGTGGACTTCAAGCCCAAGACCGACGACCCCAAGGCCCACCTCGACCTTGAGTACAACGTCAACATGGCCCTCAAGAAGCACCACCCCAACCCCAACTCCGCGCCCCCTGTGTCTTCCTTCGAGCGTTTCAACAAGAAGGAGGGCAAGCTGTAAACAGCTCCGGCCGGATCGTCTTTTAATGATTTTGATGTATAGTACAGCATTTGTTTTCGAACTTCAGCGAGTTTTCAGTGTTCTACAGATGGGGCAAGTGATGCATGACATATCTTCGGATGTTGCTTAACGGGTGACGCCGGCGTCGCTAGGAGGATCGTATCCGACTCCAGCATATGTTGAGAGTGCAGGATGAGGAGGGTTCTGCATGCTTTGGAGATAAAACTTTGCCCCGGTGAGCTTTGCTCGGGCCTTTACCGTGATCATTGTATATAGAGGGATTTTGCATATATCCTTTTTCAATTGCATTGCATCTTCAAAAACTCATTTTCTGCGAATGTATCCGCAATCACACGTAATATTCTTGGTTTAAGTTCTCAGTATTATCTCGGAGTCCTTAGAATGGGAGTCACTTTATACCACTGAACAATTCAAGAGACAAGAACAGTCATTCAGCCGTCGATGTAGAATCAACTGCTAGCGAGATGAGATCCTTCATGTAGACAAGCCCATGCAGACAATCTCAACGCATGACGAAGGGCTCCAGAAACGAAATATCTAACACAAACCGGTGACAGGATCGAACAGCGTGTCATAGTGACCAACACTCAAACCATAATCCATAAACCAACAAGTAGAACAACTCCACTACACAACATGACAGAATCACCACCACCAACAAAAGCCAATGATTCCTAAATATAACAAACCCAATATCAACCCAAGGAACACATGACTAACACATACTACATCTAGATATCTTAGGTATCCTAGCCCCTCCACCCATACCCCACATCGGAACCCATGGCGTGAAGTACAAATAGACCATATTTTAGGCCCATGACTAGCGCCCATCAATATAGTATACCATACTATACTCAAACAAGTTAAATCATAGCACAATCGTCCCATCCTCTAAAATCCGGCCGGATGTATATAGCCATAGCGGCAAAACAATCATCAGCCGGAAATTCGAAACGTGGCGCCATTTCATGCACGGTTTTCCTGACACGCGGAGAATTTGAATTGCTCCTGGTTTTCCCGCACATCAGTGATGGTTTCATAGCTAGAAGTGGAGATGGCTCATTGTGTAGCTTCTGTAATGTATTTGCTAACTTCTCTGTCATTTGCTGTGTCCGAGGCCGGAATGGTGGGCTCTGTCCGTGATAATCTGCTTTATTGGGATGTTTAGGGCATGGGATAGAGTAGAGGACGGGTTAGTAGTTTCTTTGGGGGGCTTCGGAATTATCTAGAATCTGTAGTCCAGATTCTTGTACGATGCTCTCATAATAATTGGTATTGTTATGCTCAATATATACCCAGCAGCTAACGACGGATAAATACTTATTTTCCAATTTTAGGGAGATCTATGCTGAAGACAAGATAACGAAAACGAATAGCTAAAAACATAAAAGGCCATTTTCATGCTACATGAACAGCGGTGACTTTATGGACAAGGCAGCGAAGGCCCGAAGCCTAGCCCTAGGAATGTTCGATGAATCTCCCGAGTCAGTGCAGTGTTACCGCATTTGGTAAGTATGGCTCTGCGCAACGATTACTCTCGTAGAGAGATGCATCTATGGAATGCTAATTTAAGTCAGTCTCAGGCTACAACAGCTATATGCCTACAGGGGGGTAGCTAATTTAATGCTATATATTCATCTATCTCAGCACGCTGAGACACTCTACAAGCAGTTCAGATTCATAACCATTTCCATCTAATTTTCAAGCTTAACCACCGCTATCTCAACTTAACAGTGCCAACTCATTCCTACTATTTAACATGATCAGAAGTACTTCTTCAACTACCCTGATTTGCCCCGACGAAGAAATATACAATCCCATCTTCGACCTTGCAGAGTACGGAGACGCATATGCAATACAAAACTTACTCAAGACCACCAATGCAGATATCAACTGTACCAACGACGAAGGCCACACCCCTCCAACTCGCAGCCAGGAATGGCCACGACGAGGTCGTGAAACTACTAGTTTATGTAAAATGCTATACAGAGTCCCAAGATCCCGAGCAAAGTTTCACGCCACTCCTGCTAGCGGCCATATACGGACAAGAGTCTGCAGCGAGAAGGCTACTTGAACAAGGCGCGGATATTAACGAAAAGGATGTGGAGCTCGGACGAACACCGCTGTTGTGGGCCATCGAAGGAGGCTATGAGGGCGTCGCGAAGCTTCTCGTGCATAACGATGCGGATATCCATGCCAGAGATGATGATATGGGTATGAATGCCCTCTTGATTGCTGCTGCTAAGGGTCACCATGCCATTGCTACGTTCTTGCTTGATCATGGAGCCGATATTGAATACACATGCACCGAGTATGAAGCAACGCCGCTTTGCTGGGCGGCTTGGCATGGTCACCTTGAGCTGGTGAGACTGTTGCTGGAGAGGGGCGCCAATGTCCATGCGCGGAATATGTGGGGCGACAGTGACTCACTCGTTTGGCCACATTTCAATCGGAGATGGTGTCGACAAACGCCGCTTCATATGGCGGCTGAGAGAGGACATGAACCTGTTGCGGAGCTGCTTTGCCGGAAGGGGGCTGATATTGAGGCGAGGGATATAGATGGCCAAACTCCACTCTCCTTGGCGGCGAGGGACGGTCGACTGGCCGTTGTTCGATTGCTTCTTGACAAGGGGGCTGAGGTGGATGTAAGAGATATACGCGGGCGAACCCCTGTCGCCTTAGCAGCTGGCAACAATGTTGTACCGACAACGAAGTCGTTGATTCCGGATCATAAGATAGAGCATGAGGAAGTTATCAAACTCCTGATCCAGAGAAACTGCAATATCCACTCTGAAGATAACCAGCACCGAACACCGCTTCTGTTAGCTACCGCCGCGGGTCACTCAAACAGGGTTCGACTACTACTTGAGCATGGGGCAAATATAGAGTCTCCCGACGAAAACGGTTGGACACCACTTCTAGTTGCCGCAGGAAACGGGCTTCTGGAGACAACGAAGGTTCTTCTAGCAAATAGCGCGAATTTGAATGCTAAAGATGCAAATTACCGAACCCCTCTCATATTTGCATCCCACTTTGGCCATATTGACGTCGCGAAGTTGCTGATTGAAAAAGGAGCAGATATCAACTCCCGCGACGGATGTGGCAAAACCGCACTGTTCTGGGCTACAGGAATCGGACATACGCCGCTCGTCAAAATACTTCGTGGTATGAATGCAGTGTATCTTCAAGATTTCGATGGTCTGTCCCCATTGGAATGGGCAAATGAACGTGGTCGTAAGGATGTGGTCAGGCTGCTACTTGGTGAGCACGGCCAGGATGAGATTAAATGGTCTTATTGGAACGATGAAACTAAGGATAATGGACAGAGGAAAATGGTTTCCTGTCATCCTTTCTGACTGGCTCTGTGTTTAAGATGTTGGCGCTCTTCTGGAGTCGCCGTTCAAACATCTGGAACTTGCCACGGCAGATTAAACAAAGACGCAGGAAAGCTCCTGTGATTTGGGTAGATGTATGGAAGGCCGTCTGGCTTCGAACAGGGTAGTTGCTCTTTACATTCCTGATCGTTGGTCTATCATTGATATAGATCAGCTACTTCGTATCACTAACGACGAATTAATAACTACATGGATTGTTACCAAGATTGGTAATTTACTCATTCCTTCTCCAAGTGGCTTATTATACTGTGAGCAATTTTCTCAGCCAACATATCTGAATATAGAGTTAGTAGGGACTCACTTCAGAAATGCAAGAATTGGGAACAAGCTTACAGACTGTACTTTGAGGATGTCCAGGCGGCAACAGAGGAAAAGAGCTGGCATCGACCACTCGAAGTCGGTCAACTCCATAGACTCGGGCGTGACTATCAACAACAGACATTGGGTCACTACGTACACCCATCTTGCAGGTGCAGGCTGGATGCCACAGTGGCATCAATGATTCCCTGATATACTGGATGATTTCCTCATCCGATTGGTCTTCATGAAGTGGATAGGACAGGTTTCCAACGGTTATTGATTGGAGTGGTTCACTTTGCCAAATTTCTCTCATCCGGCGGTATATTGCGACTGCAACCTCCACATCTGTCTTCGTCGTCAGCCAGTTGGGGCTCACGATAGGCCGGTCGGATGTGGAGTTGCTGCGGATGGTCACATTTCCTCGCGAGGTCGGCGCGATTAAGACACCGAGAATGGACGCATACTGATATCCGTCGGCTGGTTGTTGACCCATAAGGTCACTGAAATTGCCGACGAAGCCATTTGCTGGAAGGTACTCTACCTCCGGCCAATCGCTGGGAAATCGTGAAAGATCGTCAAGTGTGCCCTGAGACAAATTCAAGCGATGGGAACGCGGAAGCTTTTCCCATCCCAGCAATTCTTGGGTGTTGGCCCAAGTCCCTTCATGTTCTAGCGCGTACTCGAGCCCCTGTTCAAGATAACGGAGTTTATCATACGCCATCCGGGTCTCTGTCTCCAGGCTCACTCGGTACGAGGGGGCAAAGAACGGGTGGTCCCACATATTCTGTCCCACCCCAGGGAGACTGGAGACAATCGGTATATTGAGTGAATTGAGAGTGTTCTGGGGCCCAATACCAGATACCATAAGAATCTGCGGAGAGTGGAAGCTGCCCGCACATACTATCACTTCTCGCGCAGCTCGGATATGGTATCCTTGTCCGGCTGTTTCCACGTCAACACCAGTAGCTTGCTTATTCTCATCGAAGATAATCTTTTTGACCAGTGTGTCAGGGTAAACATTCAGCTTGCTCGTAATAGGCAGACTGCTAATGAAAGTGTCTGAGCTACTGCGGGTCTCGTCGATCGGGTTGATAGTAGATGGATTGTATTGCGTTCCGAGAAGGTGGCCGCTGCTGAAATCCTCAGTCACAGGAATCCCCACTGCTTCCATACCTGCTTTCAGCCATGTTGCGAACGGCGATACGTAGTTGACGTAAGATACTTGAACAGGCCCTGTGCTGTCCCTGTCGAATGCGTCTGGATTGAACAGGGTCGTCGCATTCTGGAACTGTTTCGATGTGTCAGGTGGCGTAAATTGCACTGATCTCTTGAAAAATGGAAGAATGTTCTCCCATTTATAACTATCATCTTCCACCAGGGTGGCCCATTGATCATAAGACCCTGTTGTTCCTCTGATGTTAAGAATTAGCGAGAAGCAAACGCCGCCAGGATGCTCATGAAAACACACCTCTGGTATATCATGGCATTAAGAGCAGAGCTGTTTATTTATCAGAAAATCTATCCCATCACTGAGAGCTTATAGCATGTAAGGAATGTATAGGAGAACATACGACCCACCAAAGCATTTCCCCTGCGCATAGTGCAGTCTACGCCCGTTCGCGCCCGCTTGGGGTACAGTAACGATCCCCCAGTCCACTGGGACATTGACATTTTCCGGGTCAGACCCAACAAGAAGATTATACCCTGCGGGGATGGTGGACTTTAGCGGTGATTCAATTTCATAAAATGAGCCGGCTTCAACGATGGCGACAGACAATCCTGCTTCGGCCAGGCGACTGCCAATAGTGTTGCCCGCCGTGCCTCCTCCGACAATCACATAATCATAGGCCGATTCCACTCCGACCACACCTATCAGACTGCTTAGCTTCCCTTTCAGCGTGGGTACAGCGGATTTTAAAAGGCTCAGTGCTGGTTGCAGGAGGCCATATGAGGCTACCCACGAGAGGGGAAGACTGAGAATTAATAGGGCACATAGGGAGGCGTTGTGACTAAAGAATATCATTGTTGTGCACCTCAGAATAATTCGAGACCAATGGGCCCGGGTCTGCTATGTGAACAACCGAAGTATTGGCAGAGGATCATGTAGATCTGTTGGATCTTGTCATTATAATGAGGAACCCGATCGTAGTAAGATCTATGCTAGAGTTAGAGTAGAATTGTAGGCTTCAATGGTTCCGTCAAGGGGCTCATGTTTACCAAAGGCCTAACTTTAATTAATTATTCCTTGCAAAACACAAAACTGCCCGACTCGGGTTTAAAAATATGCTTTACTCAATATACTTTTACACAGGTACAGTACATACATACTTTCTCTCCAATAATAACTTATTAACCGATAGTACGGAGTACAGGCCACGAAAAAGGTTAGCCAGACCCCTTATCCCAGAAAGAGCGCTCATAAACGACATATCAGCTGTGTAAAAGTTCCAGAACGTCCTGTACACAGGCCAAGGGGTTCCGACTTGGCATTTTACTGGCATTTTGTTCGGCGTTCTTCGAGCTGGGAACTCCGCCATTTGCTACTATTCGTACTTCCAAAGGGCAGTATTTCGTAATAAGATTGACCAGCAGCTACGTCTACTTGTGTATTATTACTATTTGTGTATATTTGCATTGCTTTTGTTCTTAACACCGGCACATAGGGGGTGTTTCTTCGACATCGCTGTGTTGATGCGTCTTCCAGATTTCAACTTCACACCCACCTCGTACAGAGGCCACTCTCATTGTAGCAAGCAAGTTATGAGCTACCTTCGAATGGGAGTAGACTCCCCCATGAAATGCAGCTGTCGCGTCTTTTCCGATAAGAGATTTCAGCATCAATGAACCCCCTGGATGGCTTTCGCTAAAATCGGTCACGTCGTGCACAATTCCCGCAATGGCGATAAGACACCGTCCGACCTTTTCGGTTTGCTCTACGTACTCCTCCCATTCAAGAACTGGTAATCGGCTAGGCGGTACCCCCCAGTCCAGCTTGGCCGCTTGCTTCGCCAATATGGCATGCTGTTGTTGGATATGCCGCTTCTGCACATCATCGGGATGGAATTGTTTGACGTTGTAGGCCAGGCCAAAGTATTCCCAGATGCGAATGGCCCATTTTGTCGGATCGTACTGGTACCATTTCGTCGCATTACGGTAATCGGAAGGAAATTCATGGTGAAAGTTGTGGTAGCCCTCTCCCAGCGCAAGAAGGGCCGTTAGGAAGTGATCCCGAGAGGATTTGCTGGCATCAAACGGCTGATCTCCCAGCCAATGGGCCAGCGAGTTGACACAAAATGTAGCTTGATGAACAAAGGCCATTCGCAGGATCCCAGCATAAATAAATCCACCTGCCCAGTCGCCCCATGACAGTCCACTGAGGAGAGTAGGTAGTAGCAGTGCCATGAAGATCACGACGGGCAGGTAGTTTTGATGCTGCCATACCACGATGGGATCCTCATTCAAGTCGCTGATGTCGACACGGCCAATGCGTTTGGGATTCTGCTTCATGACTAACCAGCCCATGTGAGAATATAGGAGTCCCTTGTTGACAGAGTAGGGATCTAAATTGGTGTCGGTGTATCGATGGTGAGCGCGATGATTGCGGGCCCACCATCTGATCGAGCCCTCACCCGCCCCTGCTCCACCCAATGCAAGAAATACCTTGAGGCCGTTCGAGGCTCGATAGGACGTATGAGACCACAACCGGTGATATCCTGAAGTTGCATGTTAAACAAGGGTGTCCCGGTATGCAGAAGACTGGTGCCTACCCACCCGCAGTGATACCAAGCCCTGTCACGAAGTAATAAACCAGCGATAAGATAGCCGTTCTCCATTGCAAGGGTATCCAAATAGCCTGGACGCATGCATACAATGGGACTAATATTGTGAGAACCACACCCCACCAATTGACATGTTTGTACCAATTTTGCACTGTTATAGGCGTGTCTGCAATATGATCTCTGCTCCGAAGCCCAGACTGAGTCTCAATATGAGAGACACATTTAGAATGGTGACAAGCGGACATGATATTATAGTAGGAGCAAACAATTTGTGAATGTGCCAGACTTTTTGAGGGGAATTAAGGCGAGAATTATGCAATGGATTGTGCGTCTCACAGAGGCTCCTCCGTAAAGGCACCTCCAATTCTGCTTTCCTAGATACAATTTACACCGCTACATCTGTCTGCGATGGTCTCGGGGGGATATTACCCGAAAGAAGGCTACAGATGGGAATTAGGATACGCTTGAGATACTTCACAAAACAGTGATTATACTTTACTCCTGTTAACTTTATAGAATCATACTTAATAAAAAGAATGCACTGGTGAAAGTATAAATTACCATACCTGCTGAAGGACCAATAATAACTACGGTTGGTTTAAAAAGCTGCGAAGAACCTCAATCCTGTTCTAATAGTCAATGATATAGAGACGCAGCCAGGTAGTAGGATGGTCGTTGGATATAATATTAGCGTCTACGCAAAAACAAATATAATTGTACGTAATGCGGAGTATATGACCAGAGATAGTACGTAGGAGCGCAGTAGGGTACAGTTTGGGGAGATATCTCACAACAGCAACATTACTCTGCTTCAAAGGTAAGGGGTGAGAATTTCAGAGAAAACAGCGATCAAAACATTATGGTCCCGGCCCTTGCATTTGTTTTGATCGACCGTGTATTGAGCGAGGAAGTCCGTTCGGGTGCCTGCAAATAGTATGCAACTAGCCGGGCGCTGGCCCACCAGAAAGTGACTTATCATAAGTAATGCTGTCAGATGCGAAGTTGATACGATTTGTCTATGAAATATCTGGTTATAATACGGTAAATATGTGAAGCTCATCACATTCCAGTTAATACGTCTCCGTACAAAGAACGCTTTAGACATTCCAACGAGATATGCTAGTATCATGGAAGGAAAGAGATCATCGTTATCTCGAACTTACCCCTTGAAATAGCAATCGCTATGCGAACTAACGGTGGGGTTCAACATCGGCTATGTACATACCAAAATAATTAGTTAATACAAGAGCTGGGTGACCTAAAGTGATTGACATAAAGCCCGGATAAATTCCCACTTATGAGCAATGTATATGGTTGACAGAATCAGATAGGTCCTTGGCCAGCATGGTAATGAGAATACATAGAAGGGACGACATATCTCTGGAGAAACAACAATGATTAAAGGATGAGACCTTTGGCCGGTAGAACAGTTTCAAATTGTCCAACACCTACCCTGCTCCAGTGGTCCAAGCAAAGCCCGTGCACATTATTCCTCAAGCCCTTGGTCCGTATCATGATTTTGGTCAATACTATATTCCTTCGTCAAGAGACTCAGAAGACCCCCGATCGCTGTACAGGCGCAGCAGAAAACCCAAACAGCCCGTAGGCTGTCTGTGTACGCTTGGCGGAGATCATCCTTGTCCTGCGATGGTGGTTCGGTCTGCATCTTTCCCACCAAAGCGACGGCATTGTGGCTTATCTTCTTTGCCATGGGTGCCAAGGCCGGGTACTTTTGCAAGTTCACCTCCATACGATTCTGAAAGATGACGCCGCCAATGGCTACACCGAGCGACTGCCCAAATGCGCGAAAGAAGCTGAAGAGCGCGGTTGCGGTGGCTAAATGGCGAGTCTCTGAGCAAGCCTGAATGGCATACGCGATGCTCGTCACAAGTCCACCCAGACCCAAGCCTGGGATTGCGATCAGAGAGATCCAAATAGCTCCCTTTGTTGTCCGATCAAAGTAGCAGAGGATACCGAAGCCTAGCGTAGCGACAGCCCAACCGATCCAGATGAGAATGCGGTAGCGTCCCGATAGCACCGCAATAATACCCGATGCACAAGCGCTCGGAGCAATGGCAAATGCAAGTGGTAGAGCTGCAACTCCAGCAGGAAGGGGCCTGAATCCGTGTACTGCTTCCGCATACAGGGGCAAGTAATACAGGATACACCAAAGTGTAAGCCCTTGCAACACGGTACCAATATAACTGATTAACAAAGAGTGGTTGTCGATCCCTGACACTTGCAAGATCGGGTCTGTGGGAATATGGGTCTCGTAGACCATCACCCCGATTATGCCAAATGTCCCAATGATCAAAGGCACTAGCACCCTCCAAGAGTGCCAGGCATACATCACTCCGCCCCAGCTGAGAGCAATTAAGAAGGATGCCGTGCTGCATACGAAGAGGACTAATCCGACCGTATCAAAATTCCTCAGCTTCTCGCGCCTCGTGGTCCGCTTTGTCTTGATTTTCAGGTATATCAGTATCAGGGGGATACAAAGAGCTGCAAACGGAACATTGATATAAAAGATCCATCTCTATGCCATGTGAGATCAGAAATACCCTGCTAGATGAAAATACCGGGTCTCTACTCACCCAGTCCGAATTCGTTGAGAAACCACCTCCCATGATAGGGCCTATAACGGATCCGATGCTCCACATTGAGCCCAGAACCCCCCAATATGCACCTCGCAGTCGGAAGGGAATCATGTCGGTGACAGATACTTCACTGAGAGCGATAATGCCACCCCCGCCGGTTCCCTGGATGGAACGGCCCACCAACATCTCTGTGAAGTTTGTCGCCACTCCAGACACAATAGTTCCCACGAGAAAAAAGATGACAGCAACGACAATCAAGAGTTGGCGACCAAATGCAGTTGATAGAGATGTAAAGATCAATTGACAACCTGTGGATTGTCAGCGTTCGTCTTGATATTCGTTGTTGGTTAGATTTACACGCAGAACACAAGACAAAGGAGGTTCCGCTCCAGAAGGCCTCAATGGCCGAGCCACGTAATTCTTCCGTAACAACCTGTATAGCTTAGCCTATACTTCCAGTAGTTCATTTAGATCTAGAGAGACTCACCGGAAGTGCTATTGAGAGGGAGGCGGCTTCAAGCGCAACCATCAATGTCAATAGGCACAGAGGGAAGAAGGCTAACGTGACTTTACGATCAATCCAGAATTGAAGCTTGCTCCCACCGGAGCCACTGCCACTTGTGCAAGCAGTCCGATGAGTAGATATTTCATGGCCATTATCAGTAATTGATTCAGCATATTGCATTTCAGTCATCGAGGCCTTTGACGGACGGGCTTCGAGCGACGATAGGCAAAGGTCGGTATTCGGATCAGTTCCTGTCATCGTATGGGATTCGATCTGAATTGTTATTGACTAAAGTCAACAGCTGCTGGATAAAGAGAGATTACTCACTGCCATCTCTGACATCTCAGGTGCTACAGTTTCTTTTCCTTTTCCGTTCCTTTTTGCCGCTTTCGTACTTTTGTCGCTGGCTGATTGGAATTCCGGCCATAGAGTAGACCACACCCCCTTACATTGAAAAAAGGAGAAAAAGGTCCAAGAACATCATTCTGTCAGGGAACGGAAAAGATATCTGTTGTGATCCTCGCACGTTACACGTCAGGAAAAAGAGAACTAACGAAAACAGCCACATCGAGATCAAACCCCCTTGCGTTACGTTCTATGCATACATGGCTCCTAGACTATCTATTCAGCTATTACCTCGTAAGTGAATACTGTTGCTAATCTCATGACTATTTTCTGTTGATCATACTATAATCTTATGATTTATGCATACCGCCAGGTGAGCTATCGCACGCTAGGGCATTCCACTGTACGAAGGAAGGGGGTTACGAGCTTATTGCTCCTGCAATGATCCCTTGATGCCCGAAAGACCCCCAGCCTTTCGCCCGAGATTTAACTTCTCTCACATGCTAGTATCAGTGTCTAATACCTGTCGCTTACACATATCGCAATTCCTGGTCAATCTCATATGCTTATGTATCTACTAAGATTGTCCCAGAAAATTCGAACTTCGATACTGACATCTCTCGAACTTACGCATATTTTGCAGTATTTCTGTGCATGAGAGTGGTGAGGCTGCATTGACCGGAAGTTTGTTCTTGATATATCGACTACTGCAGCGCAACCCCAGTCACAACGTGTTGGCCAGCATACCTGTTGCTGTCAATAATGTGGGATTATTATTCCGAAAAGTCTATTCTCATTACGGGAGCCTCTGGGTTCCTGGGAACTGCAATCACTCATCGGCTAGCTTCAAAAGCGTGTCCCAAGCGCATGTATATACTGTGTCGGGGAGGGAAAAGGTTAGAGACGTCCTGGCCCTATTGTTTCTTCTTTTGTTGATCAAACTGACAAAACCGAATCGCAAAGCCAACTGATTAAAAAATGGCGGAGAAATCTGCCCAAGGATTTCGACTGGTTGTTCAACCTAGAGTCTATAACGGTGCTCGATGGAGACATCATGAAAGCCGGCCTTGGACTCCCACGGGAGATCATCTCTGAGCTGCAAAAGGAGGTGAATATTATCATCCATGCAGCCTCTACAATCAACCTGACCTATTCACTTGAACGGGTGTTTGAACATATCGTCATCCCAAGCGAATCGTTAGCTCAGATGGCTCTGGACTTTACCAACCTAGATCGATTTGTCTATGTATCCACGGCCTTCGCCAATACACATCTTTACAAGGCTTCCAACAAGCCTCAAACAGTGATAAACGAAGACATCTACCCACTCCTGGGTGAAGGAAAATTGTTGGATGACAGCCTTCTCAGTGCCCAAGATGCCCGTGACCAAATCAAGAAGACGGGCTCCTCGGCTGAATTTGAACTCCATGACTTTCCCTGGCCATATGCGTATGGAAAGCACCTCGCAGAACGATTGATCCTCAATCTCTTCATAGAGAAAGGATGGACGTCCAAGGTGCTAATAGTCCGCCCTTCCGTGATAGGGCCGGCGGAGAGATATCCATACCCGAGCTATAGTGTTCCCTTCTCAACGCCATCAACCGCTCTTGGAGCTGCGATGATTGCGTCCCCTATTTTTAGCGTCACAGTGCCTACGCGGTGTTCAAGACCAGAAACTGAGGCTACCATTGATGAGGTTCCAGTGGATGTTGTTGTTGATCGAATGGTAGCCCACATGGCCTTTAATACCGCCGGATGCGTTCATGCCGTGGGAGGCGAACGTGGCCGTGTTAGCTTCGTAGACTTCTGGGGCGCCGCTATGAAGCTAAGAAGACTGCCGTGGGAGCCGCGCATAGTTTGGTCATCAACTGTTGATTGGCATTCACCGGACTTACATCCTGTGTTACGACTGTATGTTATTCTCGGCACTGCCTTTCTCTTCAGAGAGGAGAAAACAGATAAACTTTGGAAGAGACTTTCCTCCGATGAACGAGAAGATATGATATTGTTCAGGAATACGGCAGGGAAGTCATACGAACTGATGTCAAGGCGAGAGCACATTCGCCTCCTCCTCAGACTGTTTGCAAGGCGAACTATCTTTCCAGCGTGGTTATTGGTCTTTTTGTGTCGTTGAGCAAAGAATCCTCATTTCTTTCTGCCTGATGTCGAGTGTTGTGTTTTACTAAAAGAACAATGTCATTTTTGTGGTCATCGAATTTTATACATTTGAGTTTTTTTCCAAAATCATCTGCCAATGCCTAGTATTTATGGACGCCGACACATTGTGATTGAACAAGTCCCAACAATCGTTCATCACGATGAGATGGTAAATAGATACCTATATAAAATATATTATAGCTTTCTCTCTTCGTAATCCATTTCCGTATACCCTACCACCCTGCATTCCAAGCACCATTTCAACTTACTTGACCGAAGCCCAGACTGTTAAAGATTTCAACCTAACAACCTCAACAGAATAGAGCAACTGCTGTATGCGCATCTGCCAGATTATAGACATCCATTGGAATATATCTATAGCCCCTTTTCCTTTGCTGCCAGCTTGTAAGTGCGGCCAAAGAACCGGAGGAAAAGTTGAGTCAAAGGGATGAGGTATAACGTGGCCAATAGCAGCGCAAAGACTTGGCCGCTATTATCGACGCAAGGGGCCGCGTTGGACGCTCCTTCACCCCTAACATAGGTTTGGTTGTCTGATATATCTTTGGTCTCAACCAAAGATATGTCTATGGGGCTGTCGTACGAGACAAAGACGTACAACCATGACGCCAGCCCGCCCAAAATGAATTGAGCGATTTGTAGTCGTGTGAGGGTCTGCTTTATGACGACAGGCACTTTTATCCTGAGTACAGTCAATGAATAATAGAGGTACTGTACAAATGTACAAGTTAGTCCGTTTCCGCATATACCCCGGTAGTCCTTTCTTACCATCAGCGTATGAATTCCTGCGTTCAAGGAGACACCCACAACCGCTTGCGGAGTCCTGTAGATGACACCCACCCATGAACAGATGATCGCACCCGCGTGGTGATACATCTGTAAGGAAGAGACCCTTTTTCCCTTCACCAGCAGAAGTACGGTGTCTATGACCTCGTAGTATTTGGATATGTAGAACAACCATGTGTAGTAGTTCATGCCTTTCTCCCACAGAGACTCAGCCCCGTAGATTCCTGCGAAATCATCATGAAGAGTAGCTAGCGGTGACTGTGTACTCCCCACCGCAGTCGATTCAGGCAGCAGCCCGCTTCCTTGACTGCGGTCAAATCTGCACAAGACATCTGCGATGTGGTAAGGCGCTCTTGGGGGAGGCGGAAGAGAGGATGTGACTGTCTGGTATACGCCCAAGAATATCCAAGCGGAAAAGATACTAAGCAAAATATTATGCACGAAAGCAATGCGGGTAAACGACGTCCTGCGAGTTATAGGCCACGGAGAATACCGTCTTTTCTTATTCAGATAATTCAGGGCACAAACGAAGACGAGATACAAGCATGCCGTAATAATAGGAACTCTGGCATCGAGACTGAAATTGTAAACGGTGGAGGATATATTGATAGGGCGTTTCCATGAGATTTCTTCCCGTGCAGGTCTGATAAGAGGCGGATGGGGTCCGGGAGGGAATCGAAACAGCCGGGCCTCAGGAAGCCCAAAGTAGATAGATAGGGCACTCGACATAACTCGTGCAGCTTGAAGAACTCACTGAACCGTAGTTGGGACATAGAGGAAGCTCTACACATGCAATGAATTTAGTAGATCTTATAGGCAAGTGGTCGAGACGAACGGCACCTGTCCATATGGATATACGGAGTAGTGGAGTTACTGCTACAGAGATCACAGGGTTATTCCAAATGGATCATAACAAATGTGATGTGTCAGAGCAACCACCATGATGATTAATAATGCTGGCCCATTCAACCTGGGCTCGAATGCCTGCTGGAAAAAAGGCAAATAAAAAGCTAGAGATGGCAAAGGGAAGAAAATAAAAGCGAAACGCCATAACTTATGATGGCAGTACCATGCAATCTGAACCAATCCCGCATAGCAAAAGGCAAAAAGACGACTAGATCGTTCGAAACTCATTGTGCTTCCAAGGCTAACAGTCAAATGGCTGGTTGAAACTGATATCAACTTTCCTCCGATCTGATGTGGGGAGATCTTACTACTTCTCGTATGTAGGACATGTTTCCTAAATGATGGTGTTACCAGTAGAGCTTACCATCACCCCCATTAGTGTTCCAAGGGCACTGTGTAGCCTTACTCAATAAGTAGCTGCTTTACATTCCATACATAAAGTCAAGTTGTATTCTTCTGACAGTCTTTGGTGATCTGCGAAAGCATAAATGTGCATACCTCTACACCTCCTGTCACCATAAAAACCAGCAAAGTTTGTCAGTCTCGCAAGCCGTGAACTTTATTTTTTCCCATTTAGAACTATTACATGCAAGCATTTAGCTCTCAGCTAATTGAATACCGTGTCCACATCTACAGAGTTCTCTGGAAAGATTGATTCGGTAGCACTCTGTGACACCGATGTCAGCCCTACTTCAAGGCACATTACACTTAAAGTACTCAATTCACAAATAGAATCCATTCATTCTACTTTCTTCTATCCTGGTGACTTTTTTTATTGTTCTATTCTAACCACATGCTACTGCCGACTCTAACAATAGGGGCCATAGGCCTCGTAGTCTGTATCCATGCTTATATTTATCAATCCTACAAACACTATACACGCTCAAAGTCCATGGGATGTCTTCCTCCGACTGTCCTATATTCTGACCCACTCGGGATTTATGACTTTTGGTACATCAACAAAGCTGTGAAGGAAAAAAGATGGCTGGAGTATATTACCTCCAAGCATGAACTTCATGGGAATACATTTCAATTCGCCATGTTTTATAAGTCCATCATATGTACCATAGAACCTACAAATGTGAAGGCAATCCTGGCTACTAAATTTGAGGATTTCAGCCTAGGCTGCAGACACGAGCAGTTTTCTCCCTTTCTCGGAAGCGGAATCTTTACGTTGGATGGTGAACCATGGGCGCATGCAAGAGGCTTATTGAGGCCTCAGTTCACAAGAGAGCAGGTATTTTAGAAGAAAGCATTGCGCTCGCATAAAGCTAAGATCAATCTTCAGGTTGCAGATATCGACATCCTTGACCACCATGTCACCCGGATCATCGAATCGGTGCCAAAAGGCCGCTCCAGTTTCGATATCCAGCCACTCTGCTTCTCATTTGCCCTCAACTCTGCAACACACTTTCTCTTCGGCGAATCGGTTGACTCTCTAGACCCACGTCTTTTTCAGGCTTCGGCGGCAGCGAGCGTCCAAGGATTTGAAGAGGCATTTGATCTCGCCCAGGATTACCTTTTCGCACGATCCAGGGCTGTAGGCCTCTACTGGTTGATAAATCCTAAGGCTTTCAGAGATGCAACGCGAACAGTACATGAAGTCGTAAATTACTACGTGCGACGTGCAATAGATATGAGGCAGAATGGTGGCCAAAGAGACAAAGCCAAAGGGCGGTATATATTTCTCGAGGCATTGGCGGCTGAGACACAAGACCCAAAGATCCTACGAGACAATCTGCTAAACATCCTTCTAGCCGGAAGAGATACTACTTCTAGTCTGCTGAGCTCCACATTCTACTATCTGGCTAGAAATCCCAGGGTCTGGCATAAACTCAGAGATCAAATAGTCGCATATTTTGGGACTAATTCAAAACCACTGGCCGAGCTCACGCAAACGTCACTCAAAGCAATTCCATACCTGCGCTATGTACTGACTGAGGGTAAGAGTTTCATCCCAAATGCATGAAAAACAATACTTACCTAAGTCAGTTCTCCGTCTCCTGCCTCCCATTCCTATTAATTTCCGGATTGCCACAAAGGACACCTGCCTTCCAGTAGGTGGTGGACCAGATGGAAAATCTCCAGTATACGTTGCTAAGGGAGCGATGATATTCTACAGCGTATATTCTATGCATCGGAGGACGGATATCTGGGGGCAGGATGCACACTCATTCCGACCAGAGCGATGGGAGAATGCGAAACACCAGTGGGAATATCTTCCTTTCAACGGGGGACCGCGCATTTGCCTAGGTCGTAAGTACTATTCTCATGCGATTATTTGCTTTCTGAGTACTGGCGTCTGATTATCCTTTAGAGCAATACGCATTGACTGTGGCTAGCTACACACTAGTTAGGTTCATGCAGCATTTCGACGTCTTAGAAAATCCGAACCCTGATTCAACTGACAACCCAGTCTTACGCGCAAACCTCACATTGTCACACGATCAAGGTGTAATGGTGAGGCTCTACTCTTCCTCTAGGGCTTAAATGTGGCGAAAGTGATGGGAAAGCGGTTTACGTGTTGATACAGATGTAATATGCAAAACTATCTCTGAGGGACACAATAGAAATCCAGGAGGCCTAATCGTCTTCTGATTCATCAGGAAGAAAGAAAAGATTAGTTGTACTCATGGTCCTTCTGCGGTAGTTAAGTCGGGACAGTCGTACTCCATGAGCTGATGCTCTATCCAGCTCATGTACACCAAGTCACAGAGTTAAGCAAGCAATAGACGGATTTGTCAACAAAGAAATAGAAAGGAATCAACAAGTCTCGTCCCACAGTTGCTTTACGCTTAACCCGGCAGACTATTGGGAATACAGGTCTCATCTAACGCCTGTGACACAGTACGCTTGGCTTCTATAAAAATGCAAAAGAGGCATAGGCAGGCTGTGGAGCTTTAGTTTACAAAGAAACAGTATACGGTCGATGCTGCCAACGGCAGTTTCAAAAGGCAAGAGGTCAATGATCAAATTTATACCAGAATAACAAACATAGGCAATGCTATACATTAAAGAAACATGGTTCCTCCAAATCTGCCGTGCCACAATTCCTATCACTGCTCTCTTCCGATGACTTTTCATGGATATTAAACAACGAAAGCCCACATTTTAATTCGTCGGCTTGTATCTACTCTAGGTTGTTAGATGGATGTATAAGCGGAGTCTACAAAGAATTATAACTTACAAATGTCGCCATTCTCGTGCTGTTTGTATCCCATCGCCGTCAAAGCCGGTTTTACTGTGCCGGAGCTGGACCTTTTCCTTGGGCCTTTTGTCGAAAGACCGTTAATCTCGACGTTCATTCGGATCCTTTGGTGGTGGTACGATACGTACTTCCTGTTTGCAATAGAGTGTTAGGTGAGAATGGGGGTGTTTATCTCCGGGTTTACCACCTACCAGCTATAACAGTTCACACTTGTCAGCTGTTCCTGTCCAGCTCTTGTGTCCAATAATATCGCAAGTTTCTCACCTTCTGTATCATCAATGGCTATTAGTCCATATCCTTAAAGTAATTATACTCGGAATACAAGGACTTTGTGCTACTTACTTTCTGCAGGGTGAAAAGAATAAGTCGCCTGATCCAAAGAAGTAATCTCATGCCCAGCGTTCTGAGTTCACTACTTACATGCTATATCAAAGCTGTCAGTATCAGTCATTCCCACGCTCCGGGGATTGACTTACATCCTTAGGCATCCGGTCTAGTTAGCTCAATCCGTAAGCCTATCGATTTGTGCGGTGTAACCATGTACTTGCCTCCTAATCCAAACTATCAGCTGTGATATTGAGGTGTGTATGAATCGCAATGACACTTACAATCTAGATATTTCACATAAAGCTGTTGTTAGTCTGCACAATAAATTTATCGTCTGTGGACAGCCAACGCTTACACTCTGTTTTAATGATTGTGTCAGCCTCATATCCAGTGCTATCCTCGAAAGTCACTTACAAGCTATTTTCCCCAGCGACATCCGTCAGCCCCGTACTTATACCTGGCTATTTTGTGAACTCGCGGTGTCAAAATTGTACTTACTCCCTAGATCGGGGTTAGCTTTATGCTTTCATAAAGGAAATGTAACAATGCTCACAAGCTAGTGGCTCCAGTGGTTAGTGGAGATTTCCTATTTAGCTGCAACGTATCGTTATAAGAGTTATGACTCACAAGCTATATCAAAGGTTCATGTTAGAGATCTAATCGGCCTGAAGTCAAAGAACTATGTAACTCACATCCTATATAAAAGCACAAGCCATGTTAGCCCTGATGATAGGGATCAACTCATCTGCAAGATAGTTATGGCACCTACAAGCTGTACACTAATGTTAGCATGACTATTGTGGGATATGCGGACAAATACTTACATCCTGTAATACCCAGTATGTTAGCCCTAATTGTGGTTACATAATTCCTAAGAGGCACTCACCAACTATGAGTGGCAAGAACTGTCAGCTATGAAATCTCCCCCATCATGCGATTAGATATTACTCACGCCCTTTTGGTATCCAGCAATCATCTAGTATCAGCCTGCAGTGTTTCTTACCGCAGGATTGATGGTACTCACAAACTAGTTTGCCAATGAAAGTCAGCTCAGTCAACAATGGATTTCTGGACAGGAATTGTGGTCGACTTACACTCTAAGATAACGTTTAGATCATGATGAAATTAGCCCATAGACATTATGGACACATACAGCCTGTTGGTTGTAGTGAGCGTTAGTCTTTTGCGGTCAATGAGAGTCTGTGTAGGAGGCCTGCTTACAAGCTTTCGTTTCCGATGTGTTAGCGATTGCGTTCTGTAGCAGCATTCTTCGACATAGGCTGTCCACATACCTTCTATTCAATGGTTAGGACTAACTGCTAAATTATTTCAAGGAAATTAAATGCTATTGAGTTTGAGTTGACTTACAACTTTTCCGTCGGCTTCACCCTGCGGAGGTGGCGCAGCCATTCCGAAACCCAATCCCATGAGAAGAACAACAATGAAAGAGGCCTTCATGTTGGTGAAATATCGTAACAGTAAAGTGTAACAACAGATTGGTTTCTCAGATGTGAACGAAAGAGTAGGTTTAGTTGACGATATTGGCTAATAGGGAAAGGAGATGACCACTCCCGATCCCACCCAGATATATATACCGGCACCTATTGCTCCGTACCTCTTGCATTTGCATCACAAGGGTTTTGCAGTGGAGGAGCGGTCTAGCATAAGGTAGGGGCTACTAACGAACTTTGTCTTGAGGTACCTTCTGGATACGATAGTCTTCAAAGGCTTGGTGTTTGATTGCCAACGCTCGGAGATCAATTCCGTCATGGCGCGGAATATTGAAATCTATTCACTACCTGTACACCTTGTGGTATATGCAAGATGGGCGATACTCTGGCTGCCCTGGCATGGTGGCTTTAAAAACACCGAGTGAAGAGTTATTGATAGCAAATTCAATTGTATTCATGCGCAAATACGTTCTATTAGGCTATACAATGCGCTATTTAGTAGGGTCTAGGACCCGCGAGATACCGCTCGCGGGTAATGATGGTATTTTGGTAGGCCTTGTATCACCTGACCCCTATATTAGGTGCCTTAGAACAAAACTACAGTTCTAGATTGTGCTTCCAAGGTGAGCGCTAGATTACATCTTTGATTGACTATTATATGGGCTAATGCGAGATACAAATGAAACTATCGTCGTACGCTGCTTTTATTCTTGAAACTTCGGACATGTCCTAAGGCGAGTATAGTGCGTTGATGCATGACCCACCCCCTGCATATGTAGAGGTCCCTTGTGGCAAATGATTTGTAACATACCACAGCCCATCGCTCCCTGTACGGAAATGCTAAAACTGGCCATAAGCAAGGACCGTGTGCAAATACAGCCCGGCCACCGCCGTAGACCTTTGATTCTCATGCGGCGGTACCAAATCAGGTCTGATAGCTAGCCATAGGCTTTCAATAAACATATATAGAGATCTTGGTATTGTATTTACATTCCTTTGCGCCGGAGCTAGTGAAAGTGTGGCGCAGCATTGTTTACGTCCCCAGACCTATTATACTGGGTTCGGATAGCTTGTTTAGATAGAGTTTGTTTGTGCAGAACAGAGAAAAGTCGCTGGCCACCTCTCCATTACAATAGCATGGACTTCTGACCGAGTGCCCCGAACTAGATTCCATCTCCAAGCCATCCAACACTGGACCGACATCCATCCAACAAAATATAGCCTGTTCTGTTGACGACAGAGCTAATAACCTGTCGAGGCGAATTATGCTACGTTACCTAGGATACAGAAACTATTTAAGCTGAACACCACAAATAGCCTTGCGGATCATATCTGAGCGATTTAAAGATAATTGTCAGCGACTATACGTATCATATCCAACCGTTTCTGTCCCCTTTATTGTGTAACTACTTGCTACCTGGCTTCGCAGAGCTGTAATTGTTGTCAAAAGCTTTCTTCTATTCTTAATAAGTTTTTTTCCCTTCCACAGGTAGCCGGGAATGAAAAATTAAACTGTCAAGTTGTATTCCACGCCATGGCTACACCCGAGGATCTAACGATTAGAAACCTCAATGGTAATTGGATTATGGTAAGAGTGCATGCTTCATTTATTTTTGCACTGAGCGGATCTTACCTTGCGGTATCTTTATGACGCCTGCATATACTCACACCATGGCAATACGCAGAATAAAGGGTTGACGGGCGTAATAGAACCTATCCTGAAGCTGGTATGTACCCTTTCATCCATTGGCGAAATTGTTTGTGGGGGGTGAGAATTGGAATGGCCAGAATGCTCCAGCTGATCGTCGTACGGTCGCATTTAGCAAGGGATCTCCTGGTTACTTCGCAAGGCTATGGCAGTAGCAACGCTTCATATTAACATTATGACATACGGGACGACCGAGCTTGAGACAGGGGAGCCAGTGACCAACATTGACTTCAACCAAAGCACAGCCGGGAAGCTAGCCGGTACGACTGAAAAGCGGACATTGACTTGGGAACCCAAAGAGCATAAGGACTATATTTTTGGTGAAGTCCAAGGCCGGAGCCAGTTTGTTCTAGGATCTGTGGATAAGGACGGCCACATCCGGCCAGAGTTTGAGTTGCAGAGTGATGTAGATGACGCACAAGAGGTGAAGAGGTTTCTACGGGGCGAGACTCTCCTTGACTCTCGCGAAGAAGCGGGATTCATATGTGAAGAGTCCAATGGTGTTTGGGTGCATACCTTTGAACGCAGCGTCTCTTCTGGCTGGACAGCTGAGCAGGTAGGTTCCTCTGGTGCCCATTGATTTATGAAGATGACTCGTGGGATATGTAATCTTGGTACTTGAGCTGACTGGCATTTGGTCTAAGATCTGGGGTTTCGAACTGATTGATAACAAACGCCACTTCACCCGCCGGGTAGCTGTTGTCAACGCTGGAAGGCGATACTTGTGTGTGAGGCTCGTATTTGACTACGAACAACCAAAGTGAACATTCATGCTGCACTGAATAGCCGGTGTGCTCCGGACTATTCAAACACTGGAACAGTCCGGCTATGACCTATAGACTTATAGAGCTAGTTCGAAACGCACTATTGCATTCACTACCTCGGTAAGCTAGCACATACGACCATACGGTGTGGAGAACAGGCATTATCGGAAAGTATGGAATTTTTATCTCTATATTCGCTATCTTCTTGTCGACCCCAAGTGGACTCAGAAATTTGAAGACTAGGGATAGTATATCGGTGGAATCTATGGTTCTATGAAGAGAGCGGCGCAAAGACCACACATTTGCCGATACCATTATGGTCAACACTCGCATCAAGGGCTTCCTTCCACGTATCCAACGCAAAAGCCTTCGTGTCTACGGACTCCTCACCCATTGGGAATAAACCTCTTTCCAACATCTTGACAAACTACAGTATAGCCTCTCGTTCATACATCGATTTGCCTTTGGTTGTAATCAGTGTCAGTAAAGAGTACACTGGAATGGCGTAGGGCTCTTCTTACCTTTCAGCGTAATATTATTCATCATAATCTCCTGAACCGAAATGTTCCTTGTAGACCCCATCAGGCTAACTTTGCCACCACGACGGAGTGCCTTTATAGCGCTCCTTGTGTGGGTCGACATTGATGCAGCTGATGGTGTGATGTCGAAAACAGCATCAATAGGACCAAAATCCTGCAGCGCAGATGCATCTTGCTGTTCATCACCTGTTATCTTGACCGTTTCCATATCCGCCCTTGGCGATCTTTGCTTCACCTGCTCCTTCAGTCTGGCTAACTTCTCCACATTTCGACCCATGGCAATTACCCTTGCGCCCATTGCAATGGCAACTTGCACAGCGAAGCCACTATAAAATCCCGTCGCCGGGCAAACGATGATAGTCTGCCCAGGCTCGAGTTGAATGTCCCTTAGTCCACCATACGGCACGAGTAGATAAGCCATATACATCAGGTCTTGCAGCGAATATCCCAAGCTATCACACAGGCGTGACTCATTCAGTGGGATACAATTTTCCAGCGGCACCTTGGCGTACTCTGCGTACGTCCCATCACGCCACACATCCCGCATCAACTTTATGCTGCCGTCACTGGACCCGTGAAAATAGGCCGACAGAAAAGAACAATCGGGGTCGTCACGAGCGCGTATGACGCAGTCAATGTAAACTAGTTGGCCCGATTTTAAGGCCGTTGCGTCCGGTCCGACAGCTGCGACGTGGCCGATGGCGCTGAATCCACCCACTAGCGGTGTGGGAAACGGCAGGGGGCGCTTACCACTATAAACGTCTCGATGGTAGGGTAGAATGGCAGCCGCTGCTATGCGGATCACCGCGCTGCCATGATCTGGTTGAGGTGTTGTGCGGGTAATAACCTGAAACCCAGACTCGCGGTTTTCCAGGAAAAGGGCACGGTGTTCGGAAGGTAAGGCAGACTGCATGATGAGGTTTGTGAACTACTAAGAAATATAATCTAGAGATCAGGGTGGTAGAAGAAACATGCACCGATAGACAAATTTATTCTTACTTTTGGTGCCATGATTAATAATGCCCAAGACGGTGGGGCAGTCAATACGCTAGATTAGATTAGATCAAATTCTATTATTAGGCATCAGTGCAGGCAATCTTCGTGGCTTGGGGCCATGACAGTTAATTGCAGTCGACCTTACCCACAGCCGGTGGATCACTGGTGGTATTGAACATACTCTTGGTAAACTTGCACGAACCGGTGTCAGGCTGGCTAGAGCTTTGAGAAGAAACTTTGATAATCTCGTTGCAAGGAGGACTTGCATCGCCCAATCCCTTAGATTTCTATATTACATTGGCGGTATTTGATTGTGTTCCCCCGGATGCTTCGGCAATGCGTGCGTCGATAATTCAAGGTTTATATGAAAGTACTATCGAGTTAATGACTGGTTATCGACATTTATGCAGTCATACATTGTATGCTGGAGTAGAATAAGGTGCTACTTGCTTTGCCTTCACTGTGGATGAGTTTCTAGAAGCGTCTGACGTTGATATAGACTAAGGGATTTTTATATGCTTTTCCTGTGTACAGCGGATTCAATGTCGAAATTCCGGCCAGAATACTCTAGCATTGCGAAAATGAAACTAGAATCGAAGGTCTATGTCAAACGCATAGAACATGCAGAGTGAATCATTTATCACAACCGTTTGACAGGCCAGATGTACGCGTAAACCGGAACGACTCCCAGAGCAGTTGAAAAAGACGTTACAACTTCGCCCTCTTCATCAATGCTTTATAGTCCATGTCTCCACCTTGCGCAATAAGTGGGTTGTTCTGCTCTTCGAGTTGTTCACGATCTCTAAAGCTAGTTATCAGACCCACATGTCGGCTATATCTTACTCGCATATTCAAGGCGGTTGAAGACGCGTTTTAGGCCTGGTTCCTTTGGTCTCTATTCATTTGTTTCCTAGGAAGTATAAACAGAGTCTCCGTGCAAAGACCTCGTTTCCGTGGGGCCAGGCACCTTCTAAACAGCTTAACAGCTGGTCATGCAAAGCCAGGACTGTTCCCATGCAGGCAGGCTGGTCGGCATTATATTACGCAAGCTACTAATGGTTGATCTCCTGCAAAGGGCACCATTGTGGATTCCATTCTCGCCACCTCGCGCTTCGCAATGTGAGCTGTCTCACAACCACATCCCTGAAGCCACGCTAACACGAAACTGCCAGTTCCTGGCCGGATCAGGTCACTGACCCGTTCTATGCTATTACATATTACATAAGTCATAGCTCGTGACCCTCCATCATTTCCACAGAGACCTTCGGGTATATCTCCCTTTCCACCACACCATACGTCCTTTATAACACCTTTAACAAATCCAAGATATCCTCGTCCACATCATGCTGGGGATTGTGGTGCCCGCACTAGCTGCCCTGTACATCGGGTACTTCATTTTCCGGTCCATTCAGCAACGTTATGACCAGCGCAAATATGCCAAGGCTCATAACTGCCAGCTCCCACCACAGGCAGATTCCGGATTCTTTGGTGTTGCAAATTATATTCGAATGAAGAAGGCTGCCGAAAGCAAGCGTTGGATCGAGTACTTCGCGGACCAGTACGGTAGCAATGGAAACACGTTACAGCAGATTATTCTAGGACAACGAGTGACCACAACCATCGACCCTGAGAATGTCAAGGCACTTCTGGCTGCACAATTCAATGACTTCGCTCTAGGAACCAGACATGAACAGTTTGCTCCCCTTCTTGGGGATGGCATTTTCACCCTTGATGGCGCTGGCTGGTCTCATGCACGAGGACTTCTCCGACCGCAATTTGCCCGAGAGCAGGTGTGAATAGCTTTGTTGGTGAATACATTAGGGTAGTCTGGTAACCTTGCCACAGGTCGCTGATTTGAACCTTCTCCATGATCATGTTACCCGGCTGATTGGGTTGATCCCCAAGGGTGGCTTGGACTTTGATATCCAGCCTCTTTTCTACCTCCTGACCCTTGACTCAGCTACGCACTTTCTCTTTGGAGAGTCAGTCGGTTCCATGGATTCACAGGGTTCGGACTGTCTTGTCAACTCTTCAGTGAAAGACAGCGAAGGCTTTGCAGAGGCGTTCAATACATCACAGAAGTGGCTAAGTGCGCGGGCCAGAGCAGTGGATCTCTACTGGATGATTAACCCGAAAGAGTTCCGCGAGGCGAATAAGCGTGTGCACGAGGTTGTTGATCATTATGTGCGACTAGCGCTTGATAAAAGGAGACACCCAGAGAAAAAGGACAATAAACGGTTTATTTTCGCTGAAGCGCTCGCGGAAGAGACTGACAGCCCAAAGGTTCTTCGGGACAACATGCTTAATATTCTTCTGGCGGGTCGAGATACTACAGCTAGCCTGCTGAGCTCGGCTTTCTTCTTCCTGTCGCGGCATCCCCACGTCTGGAATAAACTTCGCCGTGTGGTCATTGAGACGTTTGGAGATAGCCAGAATCCTCGCGAAGAGATTACGCATTCGAAGCTGAAGGATATCCCTTACCTACGACATGTCCTGAATGAAGGTAAATTTCTCTACCATCAATGCGTGATATTACATGACGGCTAAGGAGAACAGTCCTTCGTCTGCTGCCACCGGTACCATTAAACTCCCGCGTCGCCATGAAAAACACCACTCTTCCTGTTGGGGGTGGGCCCGACAGACAATCACCCGTGTTTGTCGCGAAGGGCGAGGTTGTGATTTACAGTGTCTTTTCCATGCATCGACGAACCGACTACTACGGAGATGATGCCGCGACTTTCCGACCCGAACGATGGGAGGAGGACGGCCGCCATGGCTGGGAGTATCTTCCGTTCAATGGCGGTCCGCGGATCTGCTTGGGTCGTAAGTTGAACGCATTCTCCCAAGGACTAGACCATAAGAGTAACTCTTCAATAGAACAATATGCCCTCACCGAAGCGAGCTATACGTTGGTCCGACTGATGCAACACTTTGATGCAGTGGAAAATGCTGATCCGCTCTTGGTGGAGCCTGTCATAGAGAACAACCTTACCATGTCGCATGGTCGGGGAGTCAAGATCCGTATGCACCCTGTTTGAGTAGCTCAAATGGGTAGTAAGATTCCTTTGCGTTGAGTGCTGCACGATGGCTGTTTGGGCCATATTAATACCAATAATTGAATCATATTGATTATGCCTGTTGGATATTCCTAGCGCTTGTACTAAATTGAAGAACTCTGCGACTGGGATGAATGAGCAGGTTATTTAATGATGGGTTGTCGGACGAGGAGGCCATGAGATAATGTACTGAATTTGATTATTTGAGAGCCGAGGTTATGCGTGCTAGGTCACAATTCCATTCATTCTAGAATGACGAAGCAATCAATTTTGAATAACTGTAGAGGTTCTCTGCCATTGACTTCAAACCCAGCTTTTTGATATTTGGGATAGTCTGACGGTCCCAGTGTGGAGCTTAAATAAGGTCTCTCCATGCACTGACCTGTCTTCCTATATTGCAATACTTTTGACAATACTGAACTCAAAATATTCGATCCAATATACGACCTTCAGTCAGTTCGGTATCAGTTCAACAATACATAAAAATAGCCTATTCATCCGGATTGCTGTAGATCTACGTCTGTCGCCGTATATATATCGTTGACTACGCATATTCAGCCAAGGTAACCCGACTACCAAACGGAGCCACAGCAGCCTTGCTCTTCTCCCTCTCCCCCATTCTCTTCCAGTACGCCTCCACATTCAATCGCCCCGGAGAAAGCACCCACGGGGCAACCTGCTCGACCATCTGCTTCATCAACCCATAGAAATGGATATCAGCGGCCGAGAACCGATCCCCGCACAGATACGTCTTCCCCTCGAGCTGATCATCAAGCAGATTCAAGAATTGATTGATCACCACTTTCTGGGTAACCCGGGCCTCAGGACACGGGATACGGTTGCCCTTGTAGAAGTCAATGGTGGCAGGGTCGTTGCGGAACCACGCGATCAACGGCTGCGCGATCTCCAGATACATTCGTCGGAGCCACATTCGCGTCTCAGCGCGCTCGAGGGCGGTTTCTCCGAAAAGTGACTTCCCTCCTTTGGCTATTTCGTCGAGGTACTCGCAGATTGCCGTGATTTCGGTGAGGGTAACGTCGTTGCCGACGCGCAGGGCGGGGAGTTCGCCGCGGGGGTTCACCTTGGTGCGATATTCTAGTCTTCGGTTCTCGAGCTTCATTATATCAATTGGGTTGACGTTGATGTCGAGGCCGCCACGTTCTAGGATAAAGAGCCGGACAACGTAGGGGTTTGGAGCTGGGGCATCGTATAGCGTCAAAGTGGAATCCATGATGATGTGCGAGAGCTGGAGATGGATGAGAATATTGTCATATCGTAGATGGTTGACAGTACGATGAAAGGAAGAGGGTTTACAGTATATCCCGGGAATAATATATCTATAAATTCGTTCGTGCAAAGGTCATCTCGAAGACCGAGTTCGGCTTTAAGTAATTTAACTCCGTTTCGTTTCTGGCTCATAGTGGAGTATTGACAACGAAGCCTGGACCATACTAACATCTCGGCTGTAGCTCATCGTTGTCTCAGAGAACTGTTTTGATGCTGGACCCAATGATGTTTTTCTGATCATCAAGAATTGTTCGGAAAGAAATGACCTAACCCGCCGATCGGACATGTGTCAAGCAATAAACCGACCTCTGGGTTAACATTATCGTCACTTTTGCTTGGCATGAGGTTTGAGTCTCTCGAGTGCCCTGCTCGGTAGAGGATCAAATGTCTTGAGGATTATACACAACCTTATACATGGCTTTCAATATAGCCTACTCTTACAGTAAAATGCGTCATCTTATGTGGAAGCATGATGCACGGTTCCAGTACTACTGAAACTAACGATACTTACCAACCTCAAGACTAGTCTTGTGTGACATGTAGTAAAGTACCAAACATTGAGACCATACTCATCTAGGACCTGTCGAAAAGCCGGGCTGATAGAGGACATCTACCAGGATATAATGTGTGTTCGATGAGGTGTGTTTAATGCAAGCTTACCGACCGTAAAGTGAACCCAAAAGGAATAAGAGAGGGATCTTGTGTCCATGTATAGCATGTATTTATATACAGAGATCTGCAAGCATAAGAAAATAATGTCGAGTTGTCTCGGACAGAAGATGGGTATCGGCCAGTTTATCGTCAATTCATGCGCGGACTTAAGAACCGGACATAAGACTGTCCACTTTTCTTCTGCCCCCCTGTGGCAGCCAGGGAGATTAGCCCTAAGTGATGTACTGTGTATTTTCGCATGGGCCTATAGGACCTTCAAGGGGACGACAGAACAAGGCCATGGACGTTTCGCTCATGTCAATAACAATCTAAGTAGGGCATATGTGCTCCTGTGAGTGTGCGGGAGATTAACTGGGCCTTAGACCCCCAAGAGTCGATACTTTGAGACCAACCACGTTTGATTATCAGTTAGCAGCTTGTTTGTTGCAAGAATATGGCATCGCGAAGGCCCACGATGACCGGTGTGCCACCTGCAATGGTGGCGCGCTCCGACCCTGCGTGGTGTCGCCCGGCCTCTCCTCTGATCAACAAGTCATGGCACTTTTCTGTGGAGTCTGAATTCTCTTGTTTCTTTCTTAATGAGGTATGTTGAATCTAGAACATCAGGTCATGTACACAGGATAAGACTGGGTCCGTGGTCTGCAGGCACCGGTTGAATAGTGGGTGCATCTAGGATATTGTATCATTAAGGTTCCGTCTATAACGAGTCTTATTCAAACTATCATCGTTTGAAGTTGTATAGTCAAGGTGGATACTTGTAAATGAATCGCTGAGTACGGTATATGATCTATTTAGTTTCAAGCAGTACACTATTTCTATGACGTGCGGTTAAATATATTCAGGGTATATTGCATACTGTAGATTTCCAGTAGAACTGATGTGATGGTGCGCTTTTCTGGTATCGATATGAGAGAAAAAGGATTAAATACGCGATTGCTCGTTATGATTACCGTCACATTTGTTGACGTCTGATACAACAGCTGGTGCTGTACCTGGAACGATAGAGAGCGGCGTGGATACCGACGGCGATGGAGCGATGAAGGTCGGTAATAGCTCACGGATAGAGTCTCTGGCGCCTTCGGTTTTGGTATTACTATAGCTCCTGAGGACAGCTGCGTGCGTGCTATTTCATTAGGCGTCTTCAAAGTTGTGGAGTCCATGAATTAACCAATCTCGCTTCGTGTAATACACCAGGTATCGGGCTCATTTGCATCAGAACAAGAATAGCCTGCGATCGGAGGTACCAGCTGTACGGCTCGCAAAGAATTGAGTATGGTACGGGGGATGGATAGTATCGTTGTTCTATCGACCCCACATTCCCGGGGTGTTCGGCGAGAGCTGTAAAAATTGACTAAAGTCGAGGCCGTGTAAACTCGGTACGTCCGCGACCAATCCTTCCAGCCAGGATACTTCGTCAGATGTGGGGAGCATGGGCTGAACCGGTGACTCGGTGGTAGTCGGCTCGTGATGATCTTCCAATAGCCCGCTGAGCAACTTGGTATCCGAACGCCGCCGGCGCTGGTAGAGGAGAATGAGGAGACGGGCAGTACCGTACGCCTCCCTCATGGCTTCGGTATCGTAGGTGGTAGAAACTAGTTTCAAGGTTTGCATCGCTTCCGGCAAAAGCTCTAATGCAGCACTTGTGTCCATCTCCAGGAGGATGCTGATCATCTGAAACGGCACATTGGCCACATGTTGCCATGGAGAGCAATCCGAAGCCATGCGACGGGCGGCACCGAGGCTTCGCTTCAGTTGTTCCACAACCCGCTCCATCGTAGCTGGAGAGGTCATGAGGTTTCTCATATGTAAGCGCCGGAGAAGACAGAGGACCAGGTTACATTGAGCGAGAATCGATGGTGGCTGCGTGTGGTTACGGCTTAATGTCTGCAGCAAGAACTCCTCGATCTCTTCGTCCTGTCGTCGATTCTCCGGGCCCAGGCTGGTGGAAAGGGGCAAGAGACCGAGCAATTCTACCGTGGCATCGCCTGGCCTTGGCGAGGGCAGTGCTACCGGCTCGTGGGGGAAGGAAACCCGAGAGAGACCCAGGTCGTACGAGATCCAGAGATTCAAATGTTGGGCGACTCCAATCAGCCGTTGCCGAGTATCGAGATCAAGGGAGTCGCACGAGGAGCTCTGGTGAAGTTTCGAGGCTTCGATAAGATGCATCAAGGTGGAGCTTGCAATCCAGGTCGGATATGGTGGGGCTGTCATGCGCATGTAGATCACCCGGAGTGCCCACGCAGTCACCAGTTCTATGGATGGGGCTGCAGACCCAATGTGGGTATCCGTTATGGAGCGAGTCAGTTCCACCAGATGGGCTTCGGTAATGTTGATAGTGATCTCAGAGAAGAGTGCCCCCAGAGCGCCAATCCCCGCGAGCACGCCGTCAAACGAATCGCCCTCTGCAGACGACTGCCAGCGGGCCTCCAAGCGGCGAAAGAAGATTGCTGAATCGATGAAGCCATAGCACGGATCTACCTTGGCAAAGTAGATATTCGCCAGGGTCTTCATATGGTTCAGCGAGAGAATATCGACAATGGGTACAGCTAGGACTGTACCAGTCGCTAAACCGGACGGTGGATTGCGTCTACCCACGTTCCAGCCGAAGAGGTTCAGCTTGGGCGCGTTTGCCGGGTCCATCTTGAGACCGATCTTTCTCACAAATGCCGCTCCTGAGTTCGCCTCCAATGACTCGGTGTAGGAGCCCGCATGCTCAGGACTCGGCCCATGCATGGCAGGGAGATCTCCCATCATCCCGGTGGCTTTTGGCTTCATGCGACGCTCATTTTGGTAGTAACAGTCATACCCCCAGCTGCTGCAGGTCGAACAGGGGGACTCTCCATTGCATTTTCTTTTCCGTTCGCGACACGGTTCGCAAGCAAACCGTGATCGTTTGCGCTTTAAAGGGGCAGAATTGCCAGACATAGTCGTCTGCATTGGGAGGGAGGAGTGGCGCGATAAGGCAGACCGACAGGGTTAAAAAGCGATGGCGGGGGGGACGGAAGGCGGCAGAAACGGCGGGCGGGAGCGGCTATTCTTATTCCTTCTTATGTGAGTCTCTTATAGTGAGCCCTATCGCCTGACTAAGCATCTCGTATGGCATGTGATGTGACTGATGTCTATGAACTGGCTTCGAATCTCTATCCCATGCAACAAATACATGTACGTACACCCTCATGGCATGAGTTTCGACTTGCCCCTCAGCCGCGGCCCATACTTCTTAAACACCACCGGGATTGGAATCATGATCGCCGCCAAACATCCGATCAGGGTGCCCGCCCACTGCACCCCGAGATTCTTGAACATCTGCTTGGCAAACAGGGGAAACCCGGCGGCGACACTAGACCGGAGAATGATATTCGCAGCAACGGTGGATGCAGCGCTGTTGACCGGGTCAGTACGTCCAGATCTGACAGCATACTTCCTGATTACTTACAGCGGAAGGTAGGAATCGACCAGGTAGTTGAAACAGGGAAGGAAGATACACAGGATACCAAACCCGATCAGAACGCCCGAGGCAGTGGGCGCAAGCCAATGGATTGTCGACGTAAAGCCCGTCCAACTGAACCTAATTTGCATGTCAGATGGGTGTCGTTTCCAAATCTCCTTGCGATCGTACTCACCAGAATACTCCCACCGTGAAAATTGGGGCACCAATAATAGCGGGTGGTAACCGCCATTCGGGGACGGGAACGTTTTTGTTCGCGATTAATTTCTTCACATAGATGGACTGCTGTGAGAGAACAAAGCCGCACGCTAGCACTTGGCCAATAATAAGACCAAAGAAGGTGAGGCCGCTCAGTCCAGGATTCATCCCATAGACTGACTCGAATACGTAGGGATAGGCTACCAGCAGGGCGTACACAAGTCCGTAGATAAAGGACATGTAGAGGGAGACAACCAAGATAATCGGCTCGGTGATCAACATTCGTAATGGCCGCGTGAAGTACTTTTCCACCAACTCCTGGAAGTCAACTTTTACCACCTCTTGTTTAGCGTGAATTCCCCAGTTGGAGGTCTGTTGCCGGAGTGCTTCCGCCTTTGGGATGAGAAGGCACGGAGCATAGGTTTCTTTTAGGAAGAGTACAAATACGCTGCAACATGCGAAGCCCATGAAAGCAGGAATATAGAGTGTCCATCGCCAGCCAAGAAAGCTGGATGATATGAACCCGCCAATGAACGGGCCACTGAAGGGGCCAACAAACACTGCGAGTGAGTAAACGGTGATAGCAGGCCCACGGTGGATATTATTAAAAAGGTCCGAGAGTACGGCTGGAACCACCGACAGCTGACTGGCCCCGAATAGCCCAGCAAAGAAGCGACAGATGATAACAGTCTGGATATCTTTCGCGACGGCAGAGGCAATGCTGAACACCGCCACACCGAACATGCCCACGGTCAGGGGCAATCGCCTTCCTATCAACTCGGAAGACGGTGCCCAAATCATTGGGCCGGATGCAAACCCGAGAACGAATAGAGTCGTCCCAAGAATCCCGACCTCGCTACTTACCCCAAACGCCTCAGCCACGCCAGCAGTTCCTGGAGCAAACACCGCGCTCGCAAACGATGAAATGAATGTTCCAAAACATACCATAACTGAGGTGTAGAGTCTATATTAATGAAAGCTAGGATTAGCTTACATATCAAAGGATTAGGAGATCGACGTACTTCACGGTGAGACTCCAGTTGAAAGGATGTTCCGGATCGTCCGGGCCGTCAAACGTGACGATATATTCATCTTCGTCTGGTAATAGTGGAGGGATCGCTTTCCCTTCTCCCATTGACAAAGATAAACTTGGCTCCGACCTCTTTTCGGAGATATTACTCTGGGTCACGTTGTCAGTTATTCTGGGACTCTGATCACGGGTTACCAGCGTTGGTGTGCAGTATACCTGCGCCTCGATGTCGCTTATTTCGACAGTGTGATCTGTCTGAGAGCCCCTCTCACTGCTCTCGCTCCACAGTGGGAGACTCATTTTCTGTGGTAATGGTGGCTGCACTGTAAACCACTCCCCCGGGAGTATTTACGCCGTCAGATATTGACTCTTTTCTTGTGTGTCAAATCAAGAGCATAAAGTGACGTAAAGCCAAACAGAGACCAAGGCAGTGGTGACGGTAAGATGAACGAGCCATAGGGCAAAAGGCATCATACTATAATATTTTCTACAACTGCCTGGCCCCTATAAACACCTGCCGTCGAGTTCCAGGCGTGAAGCTAACGCCGCGGAGGTATCGGGTATTGCGGACATTGGGATTCGCTGTCGTCTTTGGTCGCCCTGGTCGATCATAAGCAAAATGGCCTCGGCACGATTCTCTTCCTGGATCTCCGCAGTAACCGATGATCTCGATGAAAACTGCTTCCCAAGACGCAGTAGTTGGAGCATTTGCCGTTGGATGTCTATACGCACACTCAACAAACCACATCGTAGCTTGGACTCAAGCGTAGGAGCCACTGTGGGAGCTGGTGCGGTGATATGGCAGTTTTATGATAATAATCTTTGCTGATCACTGGAGTAATCTCCATCCCGGCGTTGGAAGCGAGTGTTTGACTTCTAATCGGAATTTGCCGGCTAGATGGTCAAGCTTTGAGCGATCCTTTCATGTGCTCTTGCAATATACGGGTCTTTGCGATGCATATTGATCCCGTAAGATATGTTGGTCGATATTCAAGCTCAGAAAGGTAACAGTCAGGCTTTCCTGCCCGAGGAGTGGACATCGAGCCTTCAGCTGATATATAAGGAAATTATCAGAGGTACCCGAACAATACTCACTGACTGAAGTATCAAGTAAACTGTAACGTACCCCACACGAGGTGAATCATGAATGGCTTAATCAATTTCACGATCGAACCATCAGACGTTATTCGTAACGATAATTCTTCTGCTGCAGCTCCTACATGGGCAGAAAGTGTTTGGGCCTGTGTTTGCTTGCTTGTATTCTAGGCAAATGAAAACCTACTATAAACATAAACTCTCAAATCTCTGGATTTGACTATACAAAAGATAGATATGCTGCCGCACACATTGACCCCTGGGGCCATCTCGTTGGGTGTAGGTTGATGAATGCGTGGCAGGGATATGATTATATTTAAGTCAAATATCCGAGTCACTAGTAGATTTGGACTTTAGGTAATGTAGGATAATTGCGACGAGGCAAATCCGGAGTATGTCCACATATAGATATCTACACATCTGCATGAAAAATAAGTCAACTGGAGGTAGGATTCATAATGAAGATTTAGTTCATAGTAATGGTACTGTTATCAAGGACGAGTGAATCTATTACAAGCCGTACCGTCTAGCGACCAGAAGACAACAACATAGAAAACCGACGCTGTGCATTCATACAACGCTGTACCTCTCTTGAAACCTACTATTCTCTCAATGGGACATCTTGGGGCTCGGACAAACGGAGCTTGGCGGGGATTAATCACAAATTGGCTCTATCTAGGAGATTCTGACGCAATCACAGACGGATTGTGCGGTCGAGACTCGCTGCCATCTGGATCAGGCACTTACCAACAATGAAACAGGTTTGATAACATCATTGGTAGGATGCTATGTTAAGAGATCCACCAAGCAGTCAATGCAGGGTGGGCAACTAGAGTCCCCATATGATGAGAAACTTGGAAAGAGTAAAGCACAAAAGAAAATAAAAGCAAGCAAAGACAGACGCAAAGTCGCTAAAAAGGAAAAGGACCCAATAGGAAACTATTGGAGAAAGTAGGCTATCGTGAAGACGGTATAAGTTACTAGTGGCAAAAGGCCGTGCTAGGGCTGGAATGCAGATGCGCAAGCTGCATCCGGAGTAGGGAGCTGTTACGAGAGACTAGAACGGATTAGGTCTTATTCAGCGTCATACGAAGAATTATCCCAGCTGCACGAGTGGGTCGTTGGCGTAATTAATAAACTAATGTTATGCACAACGGTTTTTCAAGGATGACTTGGCTCGTGTCTGCCAAGGATATCTGCATACCGCTGCAGCCACCATCCATTCTGTTGAAAGGCACTGAAGACCACCGGCTGCAAAGGATCTGCACTGGCATTGTTTCACATATTGTCACGCTATGCACTGTCATAGTCTCTATGCAATGTCATAGCTTGGCGACCTCCTTCCGCAGCCATACCCGCTGTGATGTACTCAACTCAACTGGAGACTCTAAATCAGCCTTATCTTATAGATATCTGTGATTCTTTGTCACCCGGACCCACCAGTAAATCTATCTAGTATGTAACTTTTGACAGTGCATGCCAATTATGACGGCTGCATTGTCACAATTCTTTAGCTTTAGATTGCTTCAAGCTGATCTTTGGGTGATGCTTTTAGCGGCGCAATGTCAAATCACAGAAGTGGAATCGTGCATGAGGGTGAAATTGCGAAGAATGCACCACGGACTATGGCTGGGCTGGCGACAGGGTGTATGGCATTGCTGTGGTCCAGACTCAATCGCATGTCGAGATGCATGGCAATTATTACAGCGACGGATTGTATATATAAACAGTAGCCATCAAGAGTCGAATACCCCAAACAACATCTAAAACCATCAATCCACAAAAGCAAATCAAGAAAATAGATACCCTGAACAGTCTTCTTCAGCAGCGCAATTTCAATTCCTAAGCGGTCATTCTTCATAAAAGTTAACTCAAAAATTCTCATCAAAACCCAAAAAGTCTTTCACCATGAGGTACACCATTCCAGCCACGCCCTCTGGGACCACTCATGCCCACGTCGCCATTGTCGGCATGGGACCGCGTGGAACTAGTGCACTGGAGCGTCTCTGTGCTTCTGCAACGGAATTTCTCGCGCCTGGTGCGCGACTAACCGTTCACGTCGTCGACCCATCGCCGCCGGGAGCAGGCCGTGTCTGGCGCACCGCCCAGTCGTCAGAGCTATTGATGAACACGGTCACTTCCCAAGTGACCTTGTACACTGACAATAGTGTGGTTTGCTCGGGACCGATTCGCGAGGGACCAAGTCTGTATGAATGGGCAACCGATGCTAATCTCGGGCTGGGCCCCGACGAATACCCAACCCGCGCGCAGTACGGCCATTATCTGGAATGGGTCTTCCGTGAGGTCGTTCGCAAGGCCCCAGCTGGGGTTGACGTCGAGGTTCACGCTGCCCGCGGTGTTAGCCTTGATGACGCGCCGGATGGCCGCCAGACCCTCACCCTCTCTACAGGCCGCACTTTATCCGGACTCTCTGCGGTGGTTCTCGCACAGGGCCATCTACCGCTAGTCGCGGATGCACAGCTACAGCAGCTTACTGCATATGCGAACCAGAATGGCCTGCGTCACATCACTCCATCCAATCCGGCCGATGTTGACCTGTCCTCCGTCAAGCCTGGCGAGCCAGTCTTTCTGCGCGGTCTCGGCCTCAATTTCTTCGATTACATGGCTCTGTTGACGACAGGTCGTGGCGGTCGTTTCACTCGTACACCCAGTGGATTGCGCTACCACCCCTCAGGAAGGGAGCCCCGTATGTATGCCGGCTCACGCCGCGGAATTCCGTATCAAGCGCGCGGTGACAATGCCAAGGGTGCATACGGCCGCCACATGCCACTCATCTTCACGGAGGAGGTGATTGATGGCTTCCGCCAGCGCGCCGACTCCGGCAATGCACCTAACTTTCTGAAGGAGATTTGGCCGCTTGTCTCAAAGGAGGTGGAAACAGTGTACTATGAGGCCTTGTTAAGACAACACGGATTCGAGCTCGTCGACTTCAGGGATCGCTTCCTCGCAACGGAACACAAGAGCCCTGAAGAGGCTCAGGTGCTTACCGACTTCGGCATCACTGAGGAGAACCGATGGTCTTGGGACCGTATTTCCCGACCATACGGCGAACGCACCTTTACAGCGGGTACCTGGCGGGACTGGATGCTGGAGTACCTCCGGGAGGATGCCAAAGAGGCCGCTCTCGGAAATGTCAACGGACCTCTGAAGGCGGCACTCGACGTGATGCGTGATCTGCGCAACGAGTTGCGACTCATTGTGGACCATGCCGGCCTTTCCGGTCTCTCCCACCGGGACCACTTGGACCGTTGGTACACACCACTGAATGCCTTCCTGTCCATCGGACCCCCTCGTCAGCGTATTGAGCAGATGATTGCCCTGATCGAGGCCGGCATTCTTGATGTTCTCGGCCCACAACCACAGGCCCGTGCGGAGGACGGAGCTTGGACGGTGTTCTCTCCCGAAGTGCCCGGATTGAAGGTCCGCGTCACCACCCTCGTCGAGGCGCGTCTGCCGGAACCTAGCCTGAGGGATACTGCCGACGAGCTTCTCTCCCATCTGCTGAAGACGGGCCAGTGCCGTCCTCACACTGTCGACGGCTACGAGACCGGAGGTCTCGATATCACCCTTAGCCCGTACCGTGTTATCGACTCCCAAGGCCGTCCGCATGCAAGGCGGTTCGCCGTTGGTGTCCCCACCGAAGGTGTCCACTGGGTCACTGCCGCTGGAGCAAGGCCGGGTGTGAACTCGGTTACCTTGTCAGACACCGATGCGGTGGCTCGTGCTGCACTTTCTGCGGCAGTGAGTGAAATTACAGTTGCGGAGCGCCCGACGGAGGTCAAGGCGTGGCCAAATGTTGAAGTTTCGGAGGTTACTGTTCTGGAAGTTGGAGTTTGAGTCAAAAATGTTAGTTTGTGGTTGCAATTTGTGATTAGATTCCCGGCGTATGGTAGAAATCAATTTGAATGTAATTTTTATTGCAATAGCCTTCTCTTGTTTCACCCAGATATCCATCGCTATACCTTTAGTACTTCAACCTTCTAAGGCTTGGTACTCTTATTGTCCAACGGGTCTGCTCATCAATCCTCTAATTTTACGTATCCCATTTTCTTTGCTCCCCTCCCTTGTTCCTCATATTGTTCCGTTAAGATTACCCTTTGGTAGATCGAATCTCAACTTCGCCTTCATGGTGACGTTTACGTATAAAAATATGAGCACGATAAAGGGAGAGGGCCTGCCGTATGCTCTGAGTAGGATCCAATTGACCGCACATATTGTAATGGCAGAAAAAAAGGCTCGGAGCGAAAATGTTACTGGAAGCTTCGAAAATATGATCAAATGGTAGAAGCTATCTATTTCGTGACAATCATACAAGATAAGATTCCTCATGTTGTGAGGATGGATTCGATTCCCAGTCCTCTAACTTAAAGCCCGGTTTCCTCAGGTCGCGTATATTCACCCTTCTCGATCATTTCATTAATCGTCCTTTCTGTCACCATCATCGCCTCGACACCAGCAGGTGTGCCACAGTACACTGTTGAGTGCAACACAGCCTCTCTAATTTCCAGTTCTGAGACACCATTGTTGATCGCGCCGCGAGTGTGTAGCGCCAGTTCTAGCCACGCCTTTTGTGCAATAATAATGCCAATTGCTACATGCCAGTCAATCGTTGCCATGCACTATCCGCCGATTATAGGGGAAAATAACAAAGAGACTTCACTTACTTAAAAGACTGCGCTGTTTCCTGTCCAGACCGGGGCGCTGCCACACGTTGCCCCATGCGTACTCCGTGATGAGCTGCTGTCCTGGCCGCGTAAATGGCGTAGCGTTGTTCCACGCTCGGTCGACATACTCGTGGCCGAGGACGGCACGGCGCATCTTGAGCCCCTCTTCGAGGAGCTCGCGGTGCAACTCGTCAATTTTCGGATGAGTGGCCATAGTGCAAACTTGGAATAGGTATGAAAAGAAATAAAAACAGGGATCTAGCTCGGCAGAGCAAAGACAGGTGTCTGAATGCTGTCGTAGAACTCGATTGATAAGTTTAGAGCCGTTGAACCACGCTCCTCACACCGAGGGCAGGCTGAAGCGCCAAATATGGCCTCATAACTGCTTCACGTGGGGATTCTTCAGCAGCCTCGTGAGTCCAGCCACGGCTGGACCCTGTCACCGAGATCCACAGTCTGCAGTCATCGCGCTAAGAGGCAACAGATCCACCTGCAACGCATCCTGAACTCAAAGTCTCAAACATAAAACGAGTGTCAGCGTATTTGTGTTACGAATGTCACCGGTCCTTGACACATGCTGTGGGTCTTTGTTTTCTCGGCCCGCAATAACCGCTCCGACCCGGAGGCTTGTCCGCGGCGTCCCGCAGCTCCCGCAATTTTGCCGAACCTGGTGACAGTTCCTCCCGCCTGCTTATTCGGGCATAGTCTTGGCCTCTGGTAGGACTTCTTGATACCTGAGGCTCGCCATGGAACCCTTAGGAGAGATGTACAATAGGCGTGTTGAATCCACATGCCCTTGACACATATTCATGGGCCTTTCATTTCTTCTCTATAGCAGCCCGCGAGAGCTTGACTGCGCTTGACTACAATTGAACAGTCCAAACATAATTTCGGTTCGTGCACCATGACAATTCAGCATAGTATCTAAGCTTCGACATGACTGGCCGAAGGGGAAGTATATATCCTACATATATCCACAATATTGAGTTACCGAAAGACCAGCCACGAATCCTTTTTCGATTATACGAATTCCTTCTTCCGACTTCTTCCATGGCTGCAAGAATGTGTGCTCAATGTGATTAGTACATACCCTGGGCATCTGTGCCAATGTCACTTATTTAGGGTTGTACCAATGATATGTGGGTATGCCCTCAGGATCTCAGAAAGGACGAATTCCCAAGGCGACAGATTGACAATGCTTCACAGCGAAATGAAGTGCCGGACACGCAAATTACCAGAAATCAAAACTTCAAGCGGGGCTTCGCAGAAGATATCCCGCGGTGTCATTCAGCATTACCTTGGGTTATCATTACGACGACGTATATCACCTAAAGTCCAAGCACTGTCTAACTCTGTACAGATCGTTGCACAGTATAGACTTTCAAAACATGCAATTACACGTCATTCGTCTGGATCCCTGGTGGCAGCAGCAACTATGCTGCAACCTCCAGCTTGTGGTGACTAGTACAGAAGATCAAAAAAGCATGACAGGGATGATACCAGGCCGCTTGGAAAGAAATGTCAAGGAACGATCGCGAGGTCAACCATCTTTGCAACCGACATGTGTTTGAACTATCTTCCAGTACATAGGAAGCAACAGAATGAACGCATTGCTGCGTCTAAACGCTAGCTCGATTTTATCAATTTCCGTGGAATTCGAGCCACTGCGCGCTCCTTCACCACACCCCCTTCACAATCCATCGTTGGTCACCCTGACGACCGTACCAGAATCTGAACCGAACAAGGCCGAGCCAACGCAAATGTAGTGGAGATCATGGGCGATACTTGGGCTTCAGCAACGGAGACCCACCATTCGACTTATCCAGACCACATCGCTATTATCACACTTTCGGGACTCGTCGAATGTCAGAGGAGATAGGCGAGGATTGTTACGCTATGGGAACGACGTCTGCAGAACAGGATTTCATGCCAAGCCTAACGCGACATCCGGACCAAGACTTTGCCAAGCCATTGTTAGCCCTTACACCTACCTGCTAGTAGAAGGATCATGATAAGCAGGGTGGAGTTTAGTGGACCAGAAATCAGAAATCAGATAAAGAACGCATGGAAAGCAAGTACTAACACAATAGTTCATCCCTCGAACGGGAATCAAGAAAGGATACCATTGGAAACAAACAGCAACGGACACAGTAGATGGAACGGTAGGAAACCACCATAAGCATCCCTGCAAGCAAGTTCACATACTACCATGTGCCTCTGCTACACAGACTAGACCAAAAGGCAGCTATTAAAGGGATCAGAACACACAGCTTCACACCGGATTGCAGACCAACGATCTAGGGTAGGAAGCGTAGAGCCGTTCAAGCCAATAACAAGCTTTGTGGAAGTATAGTCTTCTATAGGATAACTACGAGTGGAAATAACGCATATTGTGCCGCGAATTTCTCGTGTGCTTCTTGACATTGCTTAAACATAGAATTCCAGTCGTTACCCAAAGATCCCACTTATATCATTATTCAACTATTGTGGGATGAGCGCTGTGCGCGTTAGATTGGAAAGTTCGAATGGTCGCCTTCTAGAGACAATGAGCAGCACTACTGTAACATAGATTGTAAGTTTCCTTATCTAAGCTTATTTTTCGAATCTTGATTCCTTGTCAGTGGCGTACAGGGTCCATACAGGCGTTCGCAGGCGGCTTAAGGGTCCTTGCTCGGTAAATGCTTTGACATACACTCTAGAATACATATTTGGGAAAATTCAATAATTGAGAAAAAGTCGAATGTCGACCGCCGTTTTGTCTCGGCAGCTTTCCGAATAATAAATTCAAAGTTTTCGAGATACCCAAGCTGGGATTCCTTCAGAATCCTTCACTGCTTTGACAAATGCCCTAATTCCCCTCATGAACAGTAATTGGCACAGTTGCGGTTTATACACGTAGAGCTGGCATCGGTAATCCCCTGGCCAATTAGAATTATTGTTGTTAGGTAACAAAAACAGTTGATTCAAGGTAGCATTCATGCACACTATATATAATATGGCTTAGTCTCGTAGTTGGTTTTGCGTCTCGGCGCCAATGAAACCCTTCTCCGAGTTCAATTTAATTAACCTCTAAAATCCCAGTATGGACTCTGCTCAATCAATATCCAGTCGAAGCACATCTTAGCCAATTTCGCACCAATGAAGACTTCTTCAGACGCCATTCATGTTCATCACCTAACGGCATTTGCTAATTATTATGCTACGTAGAGTTCCTACAGCACGGAGGTTTTCAAGCCATCCACGTTGCGTAACCCATTTATGACGAGGCGGCGATACCGAGGCAGATTCTAGAAAACACCCCCATGTAGAAACCCTAGGCCTCCCATGTTTCAAGAGTGTGGAATAACTTAGCACAAGCTGTCTTTAGAATGTAGTTTTAAGGCTTCTTTCCTAGGACCATACTAAGTTCGGCACAGCTATGTCGTGGTCCCCAAGTTCTCCTTTTTTCCCGGACGCCTGCAGTATTAAGATGTCTGATGAAGGCTAAGTGGTGGGCATATGCCCAAGCAACCATGGCCGAGAGAGGCCCTGCCAAGTCAAGCAAATAGGATTTCTCGCGTCACTAGCGCAGCATATTGTGATTGTTTGAGCAATTGCCAATCCTTACCGTCCGTGATTCCATTTCCGGCCCGGTAGATCAAGGATCTAGTCGCCACGCTGACAATAGCTTAGCCATATATTAAGGTTCAAGGTCCCATCTGGCATCTATTATTTTTTAAGCATTAAGGATCGAATAGTCAATACTGAATGAGGATGCGATCAGCTAGCCATTCCACGCATAACATATCCATCATGGAAGAGAGACTCGCACTTGAACGACGCAGGGAAAGGAATAGATTAGCACAGCGGAAACATCGTATGGCGTATACCGTACCTCCTCTGCACCCATCCAGCTAACTTGGAATAGGTGAGAATGCGAAAATGAGGAGGCCACGGCAAGCGAACAGCGACGAATCACTACCTGAGCAAAGTAGCCAAGCAGGACAGGCAGTGAACAAGAGTGGCAAATGTCCAGGAAACAATAGCCAAGAATGCCTACCGTTCTCGGCCTTTCTTGGCCCAGGCTTGGATTACAACATTGATCACCTGTCAGCAGAGAATTTCTTTTCCGATGTGGTATTCTCGCCGCACGACACCGAATATAGCCACTTGGACCTGGCACCTGCTATGGTGTCGCTGGACCAACAGCAGCCATTGGGGCTGTCCCATTTCACCGTGGGCACGACATTCCAGGCCAGCTCAGACAAATGTAAGTCTCTGTACCGCAATTCTGCTATTCAAGAATCCAGCCTGATGGTACCTTGTAGTCAACACTCTTTCCAGCGTTTGTGGCAATTGTCATGCTGGTGCCAAACCACAATCAGTACCCCATAGTGACCCCAGGTCCACCGACATGTGCGCTGCCAACATGCCCACCCAGCCGATAGGCTACTATCAAAATCCTGAGACGGTCCTCAGTAGTGGGGTCGGACCTAGAACCTGGACAACTCCCCTCCATATTTCCGTTAGCCGCGGACATCTCACAGCTGTGCGCCTTCTGCTTGACGGCAGCGCCGATCCTAACGCCATTGACGGAGAGGGGTCCACCGTGCTTCATACGGCGGTCCGAAGCGGCCACCATGTCATAGTACGTGAGCTACTACGGCATGGCGCAGATCCGAGCGCTGTTGACGCGGCAGGCTGGCTACCGTTGCATTACGCTGCGGAGGCCGGCGATGAGAACTGCTTACGGGTCTTGCTGCAGTCAGGTGGGGATTAAAATATGAAGGATCTGGCATGAAGGTCTCGGCGGAAAGGAGCATTGAGACACTAAGTGCAAGCTCGAATCGGAGGCTTTTGAATTGGAGCTACCCGATTAAACTAAGGGAGCACTCGGTTGGAGGCGTCATGTATGTACTTCTTCACACTACGAAATATTTTAGATATCGCAAAATGTAATGAATGAGCCGAACTTGCCCCTTGCCTTGGCGGTTAGGCCGAGGTTTGCTTTATTGGTCTAATATTTTACCATCCTCAGCCAGCCAAAAAAGTAATTGACGGTTAAGCACTGGGTATTGGGAGTATAACAACCCCCATTGTATTGGTATACTTGCAGGGCTTCATCAATTTCCGTAGTTATGAACATAACTCGGTAATTAAAATACTGGCTTGGCCGAAGTTCGGTTTCAGTATTCCATCAAAAATAGTTGACAATGCAATTGTGGAGTCGTATAAGCACTAGTAATATGAGATATCCGGAAGAGCACCTGGAATAGATATATATCTTCCGACCTTCCCCTCTGAGCACTATGATCTATTGGGTGTGATCGCTGTCTCGATCACCGGTTAGGCCCACTTGGGTCGATCTCGCAATCGGATGGTCACCCAGCATGTATCATAAAACCTCGTTATAAACAATTTGTTCGGGGGGCTGAAGAACCTATGAAAGTGCCCGCAATAAGATCTGTTCGGCTCTATCTCGGAAACGTGTCGGTAAGTTCCTCACATCACGTAGATTCCACATCTCAAGGTTGCATATAGCAAGCTGCAGGATATTATGCAGACACCTGTACCAGTACACCTATTATGGAATAGACCTTGGATATTGAAGAACATGGGGTCTCAGCAACCATTAATGTTTCATGGTACATAACATAGCCTAGGTATCTGATCCCATTGGCCGTGAGTAAAGATCAGATTACAGAAGCACATGGAAAGGGGAAAGAAAAAGATTTCGAACTTGGCGCTGGGATTGGGTAGAGAGGGGCAAATCAAAGCCTGCTCTGGTAATTTCAAGGATTCCATTCCTGCAGATATTTGATTCAGGTATATGTAATCGCTTAGCGAGCTAGTTCTCTACGTGCTGAAGAAAGTCTGGAAGGGATTAATAAATCTCTGGAATGTAATTGGGGTATCAGTGCCACTGCCAAGGCGGCTTGCTCCATCCTGCAAAGTGTTCTAGACTGGAAGAGCTCTAGCAGAAGTACCACGGTGGACCACATACGCCGCCCATACGAGCATCATCTCCACTCTCTGTGAAAGACATGATGACAAGTCTACTGAATACGAGGGGCTGTCCATTCATCTCTAAGAGGGATCGCGTATTATCCCTGGAAATGGTAATGAACTGCAGGTCTATGCGCTCTGGCATTATCAATCTTCCCTGATTCATTCTACATATGTCAATAAGATTGGCCGGCCAATGAGAGATTTTGATGGCCAATGTGTCCGTTCTCTATTTGTGTCTTTGCCAATATGCGTGCTAGCTGCCAATGATACGTACGCTGGCAATTTTGTAAGACTTCTGGATCCACCCGGCGCGCGTTTGTAAGGCTCACATAACCGCTGTAGTGCTTTAATTGGCCCATGTGGCTCGGGACGATGAGACATTCGAATGGACACATACTGGCGGGATCTCTCGGGAGACATTGGCCGAGGCTGCTTGGACAATGAGGAGGCATTGACTCGTCCTCCGACAGAGTGCCTAGTTTCCGTGTCTATCACGTTCCCGAGTTGGTCTAGAAGTTTACTGATGACTACTCAAGTATGCAATTAGGCTGTCACAAGTTGGGTGTGACGCACTCTACCACGCGATACCTCAGTGACAGAGATACAAGTGCGGTAGAGTTCTTCTGGGGCCCATCCAGAAGATGTCTGGACATGGTAAGTAGTCCATTCGGGCAGCATGCCCACGAAATAGATTTTATGGTGTGAAGGCTAGGTCAACCCTGTGTCACGGATCCTACCGAAGTCACATCTATTATACCATGTTTCCAACCCCCTTGTAAGATCAGGGTTTTTAACGATGCCCCAAATTCTCCTTCCGGGGTTGTGTACCAGCTTAGGCATCGAGATTCGAGACCGTCAAACTCTCATCCGAGTTACAGGCTCACAGTAACTCAAAGCTTTGAGCAGTAATAAATATCGCCCAGATTGTTTCACGGTTAGGCTTTGCGACAATCATTTAGTTCATATGCGTCTGGCACAGTTTATTGAAATTGGCCCTTCGATAAAGTCCACCTATATGTCGCTATCTGTTGGACTTTGACGTACGCTCTCGTTGCTTCTCCTATCTTTCCCCCGTGCATGTAGCGAACAGTAAAGCATGTTAGTCATCGATTGCCTTGGGCTTATAGAATAATGGATAAGCATCAATCCGTCCCAATGGCCTTGTATTATAAGGGAGTAGGCTATGGCTTTAGAGGATGAGAAATTATGGGTAACCCCAATGTAAAGCCCTGTTTCATGCCGATGTGCCGTAGTGCAATGCATCTCGTACAATTTTATCATAATGCTAGTGAAAACAAGCGTCCCTACTATCGTACCTTTCAACACTGCCTCTCAAGGATGGTCACTTCGCCGCCTGAGTTTATGCTATCGATAAATCTCGACCTTCTTCTCTAGATAGACCCACGGCAGTCATTGCCTTTAATCCCTCACCCGATCGCGCGTTCTACATCTGAGCCACGTCTCATAGCTTGCATTGATGATAGACTGGAACCCAATTCAACAAATACATATATATCAAGTCTATCTGGATCCACCGGCCGAGGCGCTTGGCGTAATCATCATGATAGCCAGTGGATTTGGGTTCCTGATAAGCTATATACAAGTGGGCCTATATCCCTGATGCCGGTATACTCGGAGTACGATAAGAGGTAGCCCGGATGATCACGATTCGTTATCAGTATGCGGTAGTAAAATTTAGCTAGATCCACTATAATTTGATAACCCACATCTATGAGTCCTAATCTTTCTTTGCATGATCCGGAGCACTCTTAAGATGAAGAGCGAGCTTTGTATTGCCATGGCTGGCCCTCTACATCGTAGTTGGTGGAACACCGGCGCAGGCCTTATGGCTGGATCACGATATCGGTGCCGACACAGCGATTACATACAAACAACTGTGTAGGATCCACTCGTTGCTTGATGGCCAGCAGCCGGTCATACTTCCTTCCCCAAAACACATTTTGCCAGTCAGGTTCGTATCTGGAAAGTCTGTGAGACACTTCTGTTCAATATTCAATACGAGCTGTGTATACTCACGGATTGGCTTCATTCACATACGTCCCTCCCTCTGCGCCGACTATCTCTGTAAGTTGTTTGCTCAGCTGCACCGCCTGGTGCCGCTTCTCCTGTTTTTCGCTGTCCGTGGCTGTATCTGCCCAGTCCACCGACACGCTCAGGAGGCCGTGGCTGTGTTTCCAGACATCATGGACAGCGGTGTGATCGCGCTCGCCATTGTTGACCTTTCCAACTAAAGAGGTGACGAGGAATGAGCACGATGAACAGCGGCCTTAGGAATATTGGAGGACTTACTGAAATTAAACCCTGCTCCTTGCTTGTTATCTACTATGAACTCTGCCAACTGTTCCGCCTTTTCTTGTATCACCTCAGTTGTCAATAGCCGGGATGTATCCTGAATATTGGTCCCAATGTTAGGATCTCGAAGGAAGGCTTTTACGTATCCGTCCCAAGTTGATGGATATGCAGTGACCCCTCCTTGGATCCCCGGAAGCCGAGACAGATTGAAGAATGGAGCAAATGTTTGGTTGAAATCTGCAATTGTGCTGTTCGGCTTAAGCATGATGGCAGCAAAACCATTTTCTATCGCCCCATATCCTATGTAGCCCGCTTCTGTGATAGCTGGCAGCAGCTTGACCGATTCAGCTATGACACGTTTCATGCTGGATGTATTCGTTGCGTTGAGTTGGACTAGTCCAATTATGAGGTTCTGTGGGACTGGATGAGTTTTGTATGTGACCGACGTGACAACCTGACACCCATAGCTGTTAGTCTGGTCTTACGTTTACCTTTGATTTAAGCTGTCCAGGGTGACTCACCCCCCAGGCACTTCCACCTCCTCCTCGGATGGCCCAGAAATACTCCGGGTCTGTATAGGCATTAAGCACCCGGTGCCCACCATCAGCGGAAACAATGGACACTTCCAGAAGGTCTGCATTGCCATTAGTTTACGTACAATCACCAATGGATATCCTCCAACTTACTATCTGCGGCAAGGCCATAATAATGCGCAAAGGGCGAATGGCCACCCCCAAGCACATAGCCTCCAGCAGCACCCACTGTGCGCGCTGAGCCTCCAACGACCAACACGCCTTTTTTGGCGGCGGCTTCGTATACATCTACAGTGCCAAGTTAGCGTGCAGTCTCACGCGGCCAGGCCCAATATTTGACTTACCGAACCATTGCTCACCCGCCTGTAATGTTACCGCAGGTATACCAGTAGCATTAGCTGGTGCATCCTGTGGTACGAACGAATCGTGGAATTCGATGCCCTTCAGATTATGGGTCCAGATTCCAAACGAACCCTTTCCGCTTGAACGACCAAGGCTGTGGTGAGCGTTATTAGCGAAAGCCACATATTATATTCCAGAAGGCTCATACTGATCATGTCCAGTATTCTTCGTCACGAGCAAGAGATCCTTCTCGCTTGCAAATTTCACAGAGGCCTGGATATCCTCCACACTCGCCGCACGAACCATATAATACGGAACTAAAGTGACACAAGCCATGTGTTAGCAGCCTAGAATAAAGACTTGTTAAGAAGGACTTGACGATGACTCTACCTCTGCCTTGGTCACACGGGGCGCTAACGGATGCATTAATGAAACACTGTCCGGTCTTTCCCATTTCCCATACCGTAGCAGAATATGCCCCTGTTTGGTTTGTCCGCCAGAAACTATCCAGCCAACTTTCCTTGGCCACGGTACATTTGTCTGCATTGTACCGCTCCGTATGGCACACTGCTGCGGATGGTACGGAGCGAATCAGTCTTCCGCCAACGGTGGCGTTGAAGTCGTTCCATGTTTGAATATCTGGCCAGCAGTCGTCTCCGTAGGCGCATCTGCGCCGGGGCTGCGTTTGTGCATCGGTTGCGATAGAGAGGATGCCGACGGCTGTGAGAAGATGTTGGAGCATGAGTGTTTATTACTTTTCTTCAACGAGTATTGGAGGATATATGAGTGCAGAAGAGGGAGAGAATAAATATATATAATCATCAATTGTCAACTTGAAGGTCTTGTCGCAGTAACACACATTGCAAGATGACCTTGCAATCATATTTATAGCCGATTCTGAATAGCTACCAGGATATAGGAATACGAGACTTGCCTGATCTGGTATTTTAAAAGCTGGTTATTATGGAGATGCCGTGCAGATCAGTGGTTGAACCGAATACGAGCAGCTCCGAAGATACTGGCATTTCTTGGCTACGTTGCCCGAACGAGCGAGACAATCGTGGAAGCCTCAAGCCAGTGCATCGCTATCATCAGCCCTGTATCCTATATGACGCAATTAAATCGTATCCTCAGCACAACAACGCCAAACGGGGAAAATATGCCAAGGCTGCTACAAGATGGCAGTGAGGCTATCGTTAGGGCTGTGCGATTGGTCCCGGCGCTGCCTTGTTGCCTTACCGAGGTCACATTACGGGTTTACTACATGTAGTTTAGTGTCATCAAAATGGTATTATATAAGCATGTACGGGATTCCTATTGGCTAGTCTGTAGGGGCACACAGTTGAACGAGGTTCAAAAAAAGCTTGGCGGTGCTCAACACGGAATCCGGAAAAACCTAAACGAGGTTCAAGAGGCGGTGGCAGAATCCCAGAAATTTTGAACCCCGTTTAATATATGCATAGTATATTTTTAAGTCCTGTTTAGACTAAATTTTACTTAATCTAAAATTCTATAGATTTTAATAAATAGAAATAGATAATATTTTTTTTAAAATATTTTAATAGAATTAATTTTTAATTTTTAAATTTACTTTTATATACCAAGACTCTATATTTGTTAAACGGGGTTTAAAAATATATGTTTGGCCCCCGCTGAGCCTATGTACGGAAAAACTTCAACGGGGTTCAGAGGCGGTGGCAGGGGCGGTGGCAGAATTTTGAGCACCACCGAGATTTTTTTGGACCCCGTTCAACTGATCCGAGTCTGTAGGAATATCGATATTATCATTCTGGTATAGCCAACAATGGGGATGTATTTATATACACCACAACCTGGGTTATCCACTGTCCATCCCTTTAATCTTAATAGTATTGGGTAGGTATATATGGCTCGGGAGGTCTAATCCGAAACACACATTTTGATCTTGTTCAGGCATATTGTTTACCAAAAGACAACCAAGAATCCGTAGATTAATAAATTACTATGATATAAATCGTTGCTTTTAAGACTTCATTGAGGTGTGGAAAGAAAACCTAAACCCGAAGTATGAGATATCCCCGTACCTTCCCATCGTATTGTGCCCCCGAAACGCCAGATACCGCCAGTTGCGAACATGATAGCTAATGCTCCCAAGGGACGCGGTGATCTTGTAGCTTAACACCAGTGCCATCGGTAGAGCTGACGTTGACGTCCATGGTCCGAACCACACTCATCGGAGAGCGGTTTTCATCGCGTGAAAGGCGCCCCTCGCTGGGGTCATGCTGCGTCACTGAAACGTTTGTCAGCGGTATAGCACTGCCCTCCTCGATCTTCGAGTAGTTGGTCTCTGAAATCCTCCATGGCTTGGGCTTAGCCCGAGGCCCTGAATTGGGGTTTGCACCTTTGTCAGAAGGACCGCTGACAGACTTGTCACTGAGACCGAGAGCGCTGGACAATCGGCTCCGCAGTCCGGACTCCATGGCTAGCTTCGATAGGCATGGCACGCTGAAGATGAAGAAACCGCAGGTCATCTCCGCGCAGGCCCAGAAGAGAAGGGGCCCAATGAAGTACATGGTGTCGGTTGACTTGGCGAAGGTGACGGTATGGGCTAGGCGGAAACAGGCCGCAATGGAGGCGCTGCAACATGGTTAGATCTGCGGGGAGACGTGGGAGATGCTCGAATGGGGCTGGGGCTGGTTGGAAGTACTGACAGAATACCGACACCAAAAATGATTGAAATGCCCATCTTCTTCTGCCAGTTCATGTGGAGGCTCCAAATCATCTTCTGGGGTAGCAGAAACATGCACACGTCGGAGATGACTTGCACGGCCGCGGAGCAGAGCATAACATCTGGGAGTGAGTAGCATTTGCTTGGAAGGTAGAATTCCCAAATAGCTCTGTGCGGGCGACATTGCATGTTGAGAAGGAGGATACAGAGGAGCCCCCAGAGGCATTGAAAAAATGACACAGTCATGCATCCCCACCAGAAGAAACTCTTTGTTCGGTTAACGCTAACAAACACACGACACCAGTCCATCAAGATGGCTGTCTTGATCAGTGGGAGGGTTGCGGAGTAGCAACAACCATAAACTAGAATGAGCTAATGGAACAAATAGATTAGCTTGGATCAGCCATCCGTGCAAAAAGAGAGAAACCCACGTAGAGCGGTCGGATGAGGTCCCGGTTACGAAGGTCCCAGGTGTGGACATAGTAGCCAGGAGTGTAAATCATCCCATAGGCAGCGTAAGCTGTACCCCAGTAGGCGCCCTAAGCATTATTAGTTCATTATGAATGTGAGTATCGATTAGAACAGACGAGCACACATATGCACCGATTGTTAAAGCTAGCCAGGTGTTAGCCACGCCCTTTAGTTTCAGTGGTTTCAGTGATCCAACATACCATCCTCAATACGGACTCTCCTGTCCAACCAGATCCGGACATACCATCGCAGACAGAGACATAGCGTCGCAACGACCATACAGACCGTTGTTATACCCCAAGCATAGTCATTGTGGCTGCTAGGATTGTCGAAATTCGGCGTGACCCCGGGCGGCGGTACAAGAGCCGGAGCCTCGAGCAGGGCATCGAGCTCTTCTGGTGACATATTGACATCCGTGACTAGTAGAGTCTGGACGGACAAGCTGTGTGAACATGGGATGTTCTTTCTTTAATTATAGAGAACAAGGGCTAACCCAGATCTATCCATTGAGGATCGACACCAGGGTAAAGTTCTGCCAAGCTTGTTGCAAATCGGCGATAGAATCAAGGCTACATCGTTGGGCAGTTTCACAAACAAAGACGTCCTCTGCTGCATATAATTATGTAGATATACAATGGACAGGCTATGGCCCACTCCGTATTAGAGCAGCCCGTATCCGCATCGGATCCCATAATCTTGATATCTGACAGCTCTTCGGATGAGAGAATGTCTGCACGCTAAGGGCCGGAAGGAAGCATCCGTTCGCTCTAGCTTCGTCTAGCTTCCAACCAGATGTCAGTGAATCCACCTGGATTGGCTCCCATAGGCTGCTATCTTTTGGCCGGATGACAGGTCACTGCGCTAAGGCCTGCAGTCAATGTGGTGGATGGACCTGTGTTCCGTATTCTGCACCGCCAGTGGGTCGCACCCGTTGTGGTCGCCCCTGTGAAAAATTCACAGAGCAGTAGCGGGCCCTTTAAAGGGGCTCGATACCTCGTCTAATCGGGATAAATGCGGTGCTCAGATCATGTATCGCCACCGTTGTCGCGACTGTGGCCGGAAACGGCAGGAAAATACTTGGAAGCCTCGCGATGCATCTCGCAAAGTTAACATTTGAGTTGCGAGCCCTCATACCAAGTGAGCACCAATTGGAATCCGTCATCGCACTAGACTTTCACAAGAGCCCTCCTGGCCAATAATGGCATACATCGGGGTTTGCTCCGCACGGCGATGCCAGTCTAGATGTGGATATCTGACGATGAATCACACGCGTGGACTGCGATAGCCTTTGCCATGCAGATGCGAGGCAGCTGCTAAATGCTGCCACCCCCCGCCGCATGGTCCAGCACCTCATACACTGCAACTTCCACCATGGCTTCCAGTGAGTTTCCCAGGATGTCGCAGATGATCAGTCCAAAGGATGCAGGGTCTAACGCATAACAATTACTCAGACGATTTCCCGTCCTTGTTACACGATGAGTGTCCGCCAAGAGCGGATCTGCGCCAGATGATGGCTCACCAGCCGCTTCCTACAATCCCTCCTGGGACGATAGATCCAGGTTCTATCACTGGCGACGAGCCGGTGAAGCTGGCGCGCACTGTGTTGCGCCGTTTGAGCGCTGCACTGGCGGATGATGATGCGATCGCTGTTGAGAGTTGTTTCTTTGCCAGTCAGGCATATTGGAAAGATCAGCTGGCGCTCACTTACCACCTCCGTACATTCAGCGGCCCTAGCACAATCACCGCTAGTTTACTGGAAACAAAGAACTTGAGGGAAATTGAAGGGGAGATTGCTGTTGATGGAGGCGCGGTCTTCCTCCCGGCTACGCCGACGCTTGTGAGCCGTTAACTGAAACGCACAGAGTGCTGGTATCTGAACGTTGTAGCTGACCATTGACCGTGTCTACAGCAATTCATCGACTGTGGTATTGCCTTCCGAACTGCCTCGCCCGGTGCTAATTGCAAAGGGAAAGTCGTTCTACTTCCTGTTAAGAACCGCGATGAGACAATTGAGTGGAAGGTCTGGGTCCTGAGCACATTTCTCGAGGGTTTAGACGTGCAGCAAGAGGACGAGGTATTGCTCAGATCTCCTGGGAGGCAATTGGATGGTCTTGCGACATTCGACATAGATGTCTTTATTATCGGGGGCGGAAACGCGTGAGTTACGTGAAGACAACAATCCTGGCATAGCTGACACTGTGCAGCGCTGTCACTCTCGCAGCACGTCTCAAAGCGTTGGGTGTCGATAGTGTCATGGCCGAGCGTAATCCGCGACCTGGCGATAACTGGGCCCTGCGCTATGATTGCATGCGGTTTCATATCCCCACATCATTCTGTGACATGCCCTACATGGGTAAGTATCAGCAGGCCGCCAAGAGTGGAGGAGAGTACACTGACACCGGGTTCACAATCTAGCTTATGACGAGGAGCTTCGAGCTCCTCACCTTTTGACTAGAGAGGAGCTGGCTTCGCAGGTCAGACGGTATGTCGAAACCTTCAACCTGAATATCATCACCTCCGCGCAGATCCTGTCGACGAGGTACGACCCATCCACCAAACTTTGGGAGGTCAAGCTTAAGGCACCTGCTGGCCAGCAAACAGCCCACTGTAAGCATCTCGTGCTTGCGACCGGCATCGCGTCCCAGGAGCCTTATCTGCCAAAGGTAACAGATGGTCATCTATATCAAGGAACCAGCCTCCATTCGGCTCAGTACAAAAATGGAAAGCAGTTAGCAGAGACTGGAGCCAAGGTCAGTGTCATTTCCACCAAGCCAGAAAGATCCCAGAAATATGGTTGTGTTAGCTAACGAGAATGGATTTCCGGTAGTCCGTCCTCGTAATTGGATCTGCCAACACTGCTTTCGACGTTCTCGAGGACTGTCACAGCGCTGGTCTCCAGACAACAATGGTTGTTCGATCTCCAACCTACATTGTCCCAGTCGAATACGTCTGCGATAAGCACAGTCTCGGAGCCTATGACATGGGTGTTGAGTTAGCTGATCGACTCTTCATGACGCTGCCGTCGCACGTAGACGCCCAGCTCGCTCGGGGTTTGATCGCGCAGTTTGCAGCGCAGGAACCGCATCGCTACGACGCTCTCGCAGCCGCTGGATTCCCGGTTATCGACAGTCGCGACCCGGACACGGCATTGATGCACAACCTGCTAGAGCGAGCGGGCGGGCACTACGTGGATGTGGGCGGCACCAAGTTGCTCACGGACGGTACGGCAGGCATGAAGGCCGGGGTCGAGCCCATTGCGTACACGGCCTCAGGGCTACGCTTCTCGGACGGAAGCACTGCTGATGCTGATGCCGTGGTATGGTGCACCGGATTTGCCGACAAGGATATGCGCGACACGGCCATCCGAACCCTGGGCGGACACTCTTCCGGTAAGGATGCTGAGACTGAGACCCAGAAGGTCCTTGGCCCTCGTGAAATCGCTGGTCGCCTCGACGCGACATGGGGTATTGATGCTGAGGGTGAGATACGTGGGTTGTGGAAGCGTCAATCGCGCCTCGAGAACCTGTGGATCGCGGGTGGCTATACGCAACAACACCGGTGGCACTCGCGCACGCTAGCCCTGCAGATTAAGGCCTCTTTGGAAGGTATACTACCTCCAGCATATCTGGACACGCCCCATTCTGCGCGAGGAAGTCCGCATAAATGTACGTTACTGTAGATAGCGGTATCATCTCCGAACGGGAGAATGTACGTGGTTGAATTGAACATATCAGCGCTTGGAATCAGGTCCTGATATTTTTCCATCCACTGTAAAACATGTTGAACATCACTTAAAAAAGCCTATCGTGTGAGCAGTTGCTTCCAGAGAGAGGCATGGACTAGAAACAGTGTACATCCTCAAACCAATCCCTGGAAGAGCACCTGGGCACTAACATCACACTCAACAAAGGCATTGAATATAGGTCACAATATTATGGCAGTTGTTCGATAAAGAATACCTCATCACACGCGATGCATCCGACAATCTTGACACACGTCTAACTGACAACGACGGCACCGCAAAATAAATTTCCAGTGACGTGCCCCACACAATTCGCATTGAAGCCCGTGTCTACTACCGTTCAAGATGCGCTCGAAGCGTCGCGAGTGTTCACACTCGTGCGTCTCCAGCAAATTATTTCGCACCTGGGCGATGCGGCGTTGACGCTCTTGCTGAGGCAGCGCATAGTCAACTTCCCGATCCACAATCTGTTCGGCTCTGGCAACGAGTCTCCCCTCCTGCCACAATACACAGCGACAGGATTTCCACTTTCTGCCGCACAGGTAGCAGAATTCAGCCTTGCAATTACACCTAGACACTTCGTCAGCACTGTTCCAGAACTGAGACAAGAGCCCAGGAGAGAAACAAATCCTACCGCATGTGATAGCAACCTATTGTCAGTTCAACCATCGCCTTGCAGGAGACGCAACGCTGCCACCCTTGGCTTCTGGCAAGTTCCAATGTTTCCTGGAGAGCGGTGTCTTCTGGACAATCGTCATGGTGAAAGGTATTCTTGCACACTGTGCAAGTTAAGGAGCCGCAGTACTTGCACTTCGCCTGCTGGGCTACTATGTTAGTCGGGACGATAAATCTGCCACAATCAGTGTTGCTGCAGTAGGTTCTGTTGGTCGTGGAGAATTCAATTGCTGCCCTCTGAAATACATCCATTTCTTCGGTGGTCATTTGTTTCTCAACAAGCGATAAGGGAATATGCCGGCGGCAGCATCTCGGAGGAAAGAGTTGCTCATCCTTAGTCGCTCTCATGAAAAGGCTCTTGAGGCAATCTGTGCAGTAGAGGTCACCGCATTCCAAGCCAACCATATCGCTTGATTGAAAGCTATCGAAGCAGGTACAGCATTGTTGCTTTTGGTGAGTTAGCTTCTCCATCGCTTCCTTCTGGTGCTCCGCATATGTTTTCGACGGACCACCTTTGTCTTCATCAGAACCACAATCAATATCACCCTGTCCGTTGAGGAAGTCCCAAGGTATATTTAAAGGATGAGAGTGGCGATGCAATTTCCCACGCGGAGGGTTCTGAAGTTCCGGATCATCGGCGCTCATTGTAATGGCTAGTTGTCGATCACGCTGGGCTTGCAACTCTCCATGCGTGATGCCTGCAATAGCTGGGCCGTCCATATACACAGCATGACCAATACTTTGAGCAAGCTTGAGATCATTCAAGAAGCCAACGTGTGTTTGTACCCCATCGCGAAACACTGTCACGGCAATATCAATGTCCAACGGTTCATCAGCTCGACCCTTTCCTTTTTGTTTCTCGCCGAACAAATCGATCTCCTCCATTTGCCGTAGAAGAGCCACGATTTCATCATCCGTGTCTCCCTTGGGTGGTTCTATTGCGCGTTCTCTTGTCATGTTTGGTTTCAGACGCGCGGCAGATCAATAGTAAATGTAATCGATGACTCTAAACTCCCGGGTAGTGTGTCGTGGGGATTGTTTTCACGTTGAGTATCGTGGAGAACATTACCCTAGACCTTTCAAGGCACGGAGGGCTTTTGACCCCGTCTGATCATTCACTCGAAACTCGGTAGACTATCCAGTCCTCGCTCTGTCATTGGGTCTTTTATCCCACAAAGTAGTGAATTGCACCTCACGTGTAGTCCTTATCGTTCAAGCGCATGATCCAATGACGAAATGCTTCCATGAGCTAAGTCGTGCTCGAGGTCATTGTTAGTTCAGTATCCGGGAGTGAATGCCGGACCACGTGGTGATCAGCACTACGTCTAGCTCGCTGTATAAGCACAGAGTTATGCCTAAATGTCAGTCTATTGTGGGAAGCCATAGTTTTCATAAATCTGGCGTTCAGTAAATCCAGCCCTATAGAAATGCGAAATGCCGTCGGGACATATCATATCAGACCACCAACCGGGGAGCTCTTTCGGGGGCGAGTTCCGAACCGAGGTGCCGATCTTAAAACCGGCTCGGCCGAGGTCGGCTACCATAAAAACCCGGGGCTTTCCACATTTTGTAGAAAATAGTTGTAAGGTTCAGCTTGGGGAACTAAGAATGCAATGCCTGATACTTCTCTCGGAGTTAATAACTTGGAATTCAAACGTAACAGGAGGATGTAACTGAGGGGGGCGATGGGGATGGTCTTGGAATTTGGGAGATAGCAGCTTCCGGGATTTCGTAGCAGTTTTTATAAGGCTCGTATAAAGATACTGCCGAAGTTTTATTCTGTGTAGATCACTCATCCAGTGTCCAAAAGGCACGGTTTGGGGAGCTTAGACAATACTAAAGCAAGGCTCACGTCTCGGGACAGTCTCCGATCGGAGATGCGAAGCCGATCCCGATGCACGCCAGCAATAGGGTGCGAGTGAATTGTATGTTGAATGGTTACCATAATGGTACATAGGCTCGGATATCACTCATGCTAGTTCTTATGATACAGGCAATGTCATCAAGCCGTTCTGAAAACCCTCTCACGCATGTCAACATACAAGCTCAGACACACCCTAGAGATGATGAGCCTTGGGCCCAGTGTCACCTCCACGCCATGTCTTGCAAAGTCCCTGTTCCGAAGCTCCAAACACAGGATCGTACTTTGGCTTAGGAACAGACCACGCCTTTCCATAATCACCCCCGTTTGCAACAAAGTCCCAGTCGCCCCCGCTGTAAGCCCCCATCATAGTGAACCCGTCCAGAGTAATCTCAGACAAGGCTTTCTTATCCTCGCGTTTGATACCGTGTCCTGTTCCCGGCGACAACAGTGCAAACTCGGCTTCGGGCTTCGTATTGTGTGTCTTATGTGCCACGCCAGCTGGTATAACAAAGACGTCGCCAGCTTCCGCCTCTAGTAGAACACCACCTTCCTCCCAGGCAGAACCGTGTGTATTCTCATCCATATCCGTTGAGGTATCCGCGACACCGAATCGGATACTGGCAGTGCCTGAGAGCACGGCCATACATTCGTGCGCCTGGGAGTGGTAGTGAGATATTTGAGTGGGACTGTAGCGGAAAATCCAGTGGACGTTCCATTCGTTCTTTGTGAACATGTTCCACACGTCAACTGGGTCGCAATGTGAGTTGTTGGCCTTGGCTAGAACATTCTTGTAGTGGAGTAGTGGTCTTGGCGAGTTGGGGATGAGATCCGTGGGAGAGAGGTGATACTGTCTCACTTCAACCATCCTGCTCGGTTGATTTGTTTTGAAGAATGGAGATACTGAGGTCTATTTAGTTATGCCCTTGGTCGGATTCCTCCGGGTTATTGTACAGCAAAACGGCTTAATCGCTGGGTGGAATATAGCTGTTATATAGCCAGCAAGGTCGGTAACAGATCCGAGTCGGAATCCTTACCCGTGCGGGGCAAGCTTTCTTCACTAAACAATGATGGCTCAAATATCTTACACCGTAGAGTAGGGAATATGAAGATTTATTAATGGTCATTATCGTAACTGAGGCGCGTGAAGCAAAGTCGGAACAAGGTGTACTTCATGTCTTTGCCGTACTCGCAGGTGAAAAACTGGATTAAACATCCAATACAAGGGCACAGAGTAGTAGGCGAAATATGGTTTGCATAGAGACAGATACTTATTTATTTAACTCTAATGAAAGCAGAAAGCCATCTGACCTGATATATAGACGACATTCCATGTGAAAGCATCTGAAAAGCTATACTAACCGCCGTCTGCCACACCTGGACACTGCCATATCATGCATAACCCAGGAATCAAGGAAAGAAGAGACCGACAGAACGAATCAATTTTCATGGCATAGGGTAGTAAGGACTTCAATCGAGTTGTTGTTATTTTCATCAGTTAGACTAGATCCAACATTCAAACCCGAGAGGCCTTTGACAAGAGAATAACAGAGCAGTTGGTTCAAGTCCTAGTTCGATTGGTACTGTTCAATGCGTCCTGGGATTATGCTCCGGAGACCTCCACTTCGACATAGAAGAGACCGAATGCTATTCTAGCTATCTCATCGCTCTCTCCTCTCGATGCACAGATCATTAGACGGACCCGAAAGCGGACATGCGTTCTGGCCACTGCACTGAGGTAACTGAGGTCATACTCCGCCGTCAGACTAAGCTTTACGGAAGCTGCGGAGATGCTATCCGGCGGTCCGTTAACCTTACGGCGCTTCCACAGTCGGATCAAATTTGGTGTTTATTGTTAAATCGATGATGCACTGAGGACCATGCACGGAGGCTTGATAAGAACATTATAGTCGAGACCATGGGATATATTGTCTTTTTCGAGGACTTTATCATGCACATGTGACATGTATGGCTACTGTCTTGTATATCGGAATAGCTTTAGAGTTGAATACAACATCACCGTATCATTTGTAGTCGAAATTCATGGCGAGTCATGAAGTATGAATTGTAATCAGACCGTCATAGATTTATATCTGAAGGATAAGGAATGAAAACAGCCAAATCACTATAGTCATGTTGTCATCCACAGGGAGCTTGATGGCTATAAAAATCTCTCCGAGTCTCCAGAAGTCTATTCCATTTTCCATGATTTAATCCAATCCATCAACCAGCGTCCATTCCTTGAGCCCTCTACCGAAGCAAAGCTTTCTCCCGCAATCATTCACAATGCAGCTTTTTGCCCTTCTCATCGCCACATGCGCTCCAGCCTTGGTCGCTGCCGGCCGGAAACCAGGTGAAATGTGTGCCCCCTACCCCGGCGCATTCTGTGATGAAGGCCTTGAGTGTGTCTCATGTCACGCTGGCCTTCCGGGTGCCCCCGGAGTGGTAAGTGATGGATATGTGCGGTGGCAACCCTTGAATATCAACTAACAACTTGTGAAGTGCGCTTACCAAGATCCATGCGGCCGCGGTGATGATGACAATATCTGGCATCGGTGGTAAGTCAAAGCTTGCTGTTGCTCTAATTTCCCTCTGATACTAATATATGCCAGGCTCTAGGTAAACCATGTCGTAATGGCCGGTGAAGCATGATGGAGCATACAAAGTGGTATTAAGGGATATTTCCCATCAATATTTCTAATTGTGTAATTAGCCTTGGTACGGGTTTTCCCTGGTCCTCTTATGTGGTTCAGGTTTTCCTGTACCGTAACCCAAATGGGAAGGAGTTAATATCGGATGGATCTGGTGATATCTTTCACCAGTACTCTTAAAGAAACCCTTTTACTAGTAGGCATAGTAGTAGCATCCATGGCCGGCGCTTATAGCTCAAACCCCGAAAAATCTAAAGACAGATATCGTCACCTCCGTAATGAATCAGATTACGTCTATGACAGCTAAGTCAGTGACGTCGGCCCGTTGTAACCTTCTTTATGTTCGGAATTAGGGCTTGTTGTACTGTGGCATCTGGTTCCAGGGTTGAGATGTCGCTCACCCAACCATTGATTTCTGCCCCACATAGACCCATGGCAAAGTAGCATGCAGGTGTGAAGAAACTTGGGACAGTTTCGGAATAAATACCACTGTGTAGAACATTTCCGGGGTATTTAGAGACAAGGTTCATTAGTTTAACCCTTCTACGTCGCATTTCCGTATACTTGTGCACTCTTGTTGCGAGCCTCCCCAAGCTACCTTGGTACGAATCAAAGTGACTGCAACAAATTTTGAGCAACATAATTGTCCATGGATGACATGCATTGAATCATTTCGTTATGGTATTGTTATGGAAAAATCAAAACAAAATAACATATGAGATGCTTCTTGGGTACCCCCTACGGTTATGCCAACGCTGGGGTCACATCTCGCAGTTTTCCTTCCAGTTTAGATAATGTAAAACTATACATAATACCTGGACACTCCAGTATACTTGTTAAACACAACGTATGGTCATTAGTGCCACTAGGGCTGATCGTAATTAATCAAATAACATAGAAAGATAGTTCCGTGCCCAGATATCTGTTTCAGTCTTAGTTCTAGTAAGGCAACAAGCAGTAGTCTGGGATATCGGAATATAACCATGATCGATGCAACAATCCCAGATGCTATCCGCCAATTGGCAATACTGGGCAAGGGCGCCTATTGAAGACCAAACTGCATACACGAGAATAAGCAAAAAGGTCATTTGCCGCAGATCAATCCTCATGGTTACCCTTATTCACTACGGGAGAAACCTTTGAAAGCTGAGAGGTATGATCATGCGCGACACTACTCTTGTTGCCATTTGAGTGCTGTCATACCCGGTAGGGCCCTGTACCCGTAGGCTGGACGAGTAATCGTGGCTGGCTAACATATCAGGTTTATTGTGATCACATGGATGCACATCTGGGCTGGGCCCAATTGGAAGGCAACGTAGCCTGAGGCTGGGAATGGAATGAGGGTGTAAATGTATATTCCTTCATTTTTCATACCCCCGAGACTAGTCCTCTATGCAACAAACTAGAGGCTGGTCACGGTGTTGTGAAAGTGATTGCCCATCAGATGCGAAAGATTGTTCGACCTTATATACATTTAGAAATCACCACTGTGGGCTTGCTTCCATGCATTAGCCACATCAGTGGGATTTCCACGGAGGTTAGGTCGTCGTACATAGCAAAACATATTGTGGCAGGGTTTTTTCAAGTTATCAGATCCAAGAATCTCATATATATCATGCGCCTTCCGCAAGAATAGATAAACAATCCAGCTGAAAGGATAAGCTGCTTAATTCTTCATCTCATGACATAAAGCCCACACGTGTTGCTTGGATAACACGATAGCTGCGGCATAGGAGCTTGATGGGTAACAACTTTCAATGCCTCCATTGTCCCCCATTCAGCTATCTAGCCAATACGACATCATTCCAAAATCTGTCTCCCTACAGCGTCGCTCGAGGTATGCTTTCGTTTTCCTCTGTGCATGACCCTCCTGAATTCATTACTGATACTCTTCAGCGGGCTCAATGCAGCAGAGTCACTGGGAATAGGGCTTGGCATAGCAGGTGCCGTTCTGCTGATATGCTGCGTCTGTTGGATGAATTTCGTGGTACCGAGATTGGCGCGACAGATGGAGCCGCGAAAGGGACGTTCCAGGCGTCCTTCTGTGTCACCACCTTCCCTAATACCGTCAGACCCTTCTCCAAGTCCGCAGTCCCCGCGTTATCCCGATCCTGTTGTTGGTATTAGGACTACAATAGGCCGTGTGCCGGTAGTAGGGCTAAGAGAGCCGTAGGTGAAGCTAGTGCACCTACATAGTACCATCACTTTGTGTTTTATTGATCACAGTTTAGAGTACTCTTGATCCTATTGAGCTTGCATGACTGAGGATGCTTTCGCAACGCGTAATTATTCCCATTATGTATGTAGCAGAGCTAATTAAAGGTGTCAAAACAACGTGCCATAGAGAGAACGAGGTGAGCCTTGCGTAATTTGTGTAATTAACCCGCGCGTCCTGCGAGGTGCCTAGAATTCACGCCATGATTCTGCCTTAGGTCAGCTGGGCAGGTAGACACACCCTCAAATTCAGCTCGGAAAACAATCTCACTCCCAAACAGCAGCTGCATCGTAAAATCTAGCTTTTGGTAGGAACCTTTTCCATCTGACTTGAGTCAAGGAGCCGGGCCTCTTCTCCGCGGCTCTGTTAGATCAATGGTCATGTACCCCACTTCGTAGCATTCTAATCAACTCAATCAGACATCTTAGGCATAATATTCGCTGTAAGCCAAACCTTTAGTGCGAACATTTGGTGGGCTCTCCCCTTCGCGTGAAGGGCTCCACGCCAAGAGAGATATTGTCAACTTTGCGTCCATCGATGGGTCACAATAAGCTACCAACAGGAATTCCCAAGGTTGGTCAACGGACACTTCCGTATCCTGACTCAGATAATATTTTAGTCCGAGGGAGCTAGGGATAAGTCTTGAGACTGCTGGAGACATACCGCCTCAACGAACCATTGCATGGCCTCATGAGAGGGTTCACCAGTGACAGGGTGGGGCACACTATGGGATTAATGTTCTGCTCACTCATGTTAGGATACACTCGCTGCTGGGGAAACTTACCTTGGGTATCCACAATCGGGATTGTATTTCACATAGACCTGTTGGCCGTAACAACGTGGTAGCTTTCTCGCCGTAACGGTCTCATGGTTCATTCCCCAGCATGGAGCTCCTAAGGTTCTCGATGCCCAACTAATAAGTGTCAATTAGCATGCTGCATAAGCGATATACATTCAGCTCTATACTTACGCGTCAGGGGGCCGCGTAACTGTAGCTAGATGCTCAAACTTGTGCTTCACTCGCTTGTATAGGTAGTCATTTTGGCCAAATCCACCAACCATCACAATTCCCAATTCAGGACAGTGACAACTCCGGTTGATGAGAGTTGTGACCTGGTCACTGATGAGACTGAGCACCCTAGTGATAGTGGGGTCGGACATCCGAGTAACGTCACGTCCAGTAATGATCAGACAGGTTTCCTCCGTGCCGTGGATTCGGGCCCTGTACAACTGCGGTCGAACTATTGAGATTCAGTCAACTGATCTACGCTGAGCGGTTCTCGGTTGAAAAGCCATACGATAAATTTCCCACCTATCGTCCGGACTCCTGGTAAACTGTTGTTTGATCTACTGCTTTGAGTGAGGGCCAACACAAGCTTCGATTTTCAGACGTACCTCGACATCGAAACGCCGGCGCGCCTTGTTCAGTTTGTTAGAGTGCTGTTCAATAGAGTGATGGCTTTACACTTACATTGCGCAGCCACTTCTCCAGCGTTTCAGTCCTGCGGCCAGTATAGTACCTCCCCAATCTTACCTTTAGGAAGTCTTCAAATGCACAGTTTAGGAGGATCGATCCACAGGCCTCCCCAGTCCCAGGGATACTTTCAACTAATTCCAAAGGCTCGTTTCTCTTGACGCAGTAGGTGATCAGGTCCACTGTGCCACCACCAGCATCGCAGATGATGTAGTGATTCCCGGCCGAACCGACTGTACCATGTGCGCTTGACTAAGGGTATGTATCGCCGCAGCCTGTGGCACTGCAATTAGTTCAATATCGGCACATTAGCTAAAAGCCCTCCTAGCACACTGCTTTGTGGCATTCTTCGCTGGATCGGTCCAAATAGCCGGGATAGTCAAGATGAACCTCTTAGGGGCTTTTCTGACGACATCTAGGGAAGGGCTGAGCAGATCCCAGACGACCTAAGTTATTGGTGGACTCACCTGGAACCCATAGGTTGTTGATCTGCTCTCGGGCAGCCAGATAGATAGCCTGGAGGTAATCTGTACAGACATCCTTGGTTGGCATTGCGATTGGCTTCATATTCTCCAACAACTGCACTCCTAGTTCCGTGATTCCTCACGAAGGATCGGGAGGACTCAGTGTCGGATCGGAATGCCTTGAGCTTGGCTCTGGCTTCCGGGTCCAGCTCTCTTTATACCAAAAGTTGTGTCAGTATGCTTTTGGGACTAACACGCCGCTTCTTACTCACAATTTGAAATATTTCAAGGCCCTAATCTTGCCTTGAGTCTGAAATCCCCATTTAGTCGTTTTTTTATTGTCATCGTAAAGTATCTCGCTAGAGACATCATTCAGACATAGTCTGTATCCATAGTGGATTCAGTCTGTTACCGACGTTGGTACCTTTTCGCTTGTCGCATTTCTATGCGGCCATTGTGTTAGAAGATCCTAGTGTTAACATTAGCGAGATTCCTTCACCCGAGTTCTTATACTTGCCTGTCTACTAGGTACACGCCCCGCAGCTGTATGTATGTACCCAATGCCCGAGTATGTCGTTCCAAAGTCAATGGCAATCTGTAAAGTGCCGCCCGGTTAGCTGATGTATTACACCAAAAGATCTTAGGATCTGATGACAGCCATTCTGGATATACTCACGATAAGGATGTTGTCCTCTCCCGTCATTTTTCGCCTACCTTCAGCGGATTGAGTCAATATGGAATGTAGAAATTAGAATTACCGCTAGACTTAGATATTGTCGTATCATAAATGGATAAGCGTATTACGATAGTTAGGCTGGCTTAAAAAGGCAGGACTATATGAGGCTCTGTAGATGTCAGCCCCCAACTAGTTTCTAAAGGACCTCGCGCTCACTATTAAAGACATATTATCTATAATATTTTCTCCATAGTATATATTATTTTATACGATAGATTCGTTAAACTTACTATATATTAGTCCTCGAGTATTAATATATTTATTATAATATAAACTTTATATTGCGGATATTAACGTCATTTTACTACTATATATATTAATAAATAAAAGAGATTACAATATCTAAGGGTAGAAATAAATCTAAACATAATTTAAGTAAAGGCCAATAGACTATTTTTACCTTAGGATATGCAGCACTTTAAAATCTAGAACAGGCCTTAGCTGACCGGTCTATGCAAACCTGCCGTGTGGCCTGCCTATATGCAGAAAGGTCCAGGTTTAACCCTGCCTCGTGTCTCCTCATAGGAGAGCATGATTCGATTTACGTGTAGCTTGAGCACCACAATGTGCCGGCTCGAGGAGCACAGGTAGCCTTCTGAGAGTATTGAATGCTCCTGCAAATCCTATTTGTACCCTGGCGGAGGCGCAACCATATTAACGGTGGCGCCGACGAAGCTCATGGATCAAACATTATGATCTCATCTAGGCCTTCAGAAAACAGTGCGACCCTACGGTTGCAGGGTGCTATGCACTACGAAGCACCTTTCAAACGCCTCGAGTTGCCTAAATCGTAATCGGACGACTAAGCTGGCCAACAGCATCAAGCCACCTATATAGTAAGTTATTTGCAAGGCTTTGCGTCACGTACCCCTGACCTCTGTTCATCTGATATCCTCCAGAGATGTTAAACCTGTCGACCATTTTTGCTTCTACCATTTGGCCATACTTCCTCCCGCTCGGCGTTTTATTCATGGACAGCAAGAATGGGACGAAGAAGAATCGACGCTGCTCCGAAGGGAGCTTCGTGAGGCCCAAACCAAGATCCGGCGCCAGGAGATCTTACTCTTCCGCCTACAGATGGACCCTTACGCGGATCATCAGTACCCCGACACCGTGACCGATAAGGAATACCAACGATCCATATACGGTGTACAGCAGACCGCCTGGAGAATGTGCGATATGATGAGACACAATCGTATCACTCTTTGCCACGCAATCTCCACCATGAGAGAATTGGAAAATCAGGTGCATCAGGACGAGAATAGTGCACTTCAATTGAGCATGCTATTGAGTCTCATCAGATCCTCGTCATATAGTAAAGCGCTATACCGATCCAGTGTGGCCTTACTCGTGTTTCTTGCTTTTGAGAGATGGGCCTTTTCACCACGGAATATCTCAGCCAGCATTTCTCCAGGTGGGAATGCCGCCTTCAAAAGCATATTCCAATGGTTACTCTCGAGCATCAAAATGGATCCTATATCTGACCAAGGTATGACAAGCTTAACTGGATTTGTGCGCGGAATGTAACCAGAGATATCAACTTTAGACTCCGGAGCTAGCTTAAAGGATGCAGAGGAATGGCGACTCAGGACCGTTCTTTACATAGCGCGTTCCAAGTCCGCCCCTGAAGCTAAGGATCTTACCAAAGAACGGATCTTGGGTGAGCTATGTCGGCTTTTCATGACCCGCGATAGTTCATCTGAGATACGAAGTGTTCTGCATGGCCTCGTTGACAGTGGGATCGATTTAGCAGGCTTCCTGCAGGAACAGCAAAGTATCTACCACTTCGTACGATTAAAGGGCCGGTTTGATCCTGAGGCTATGGAGCTTCACGAACCTCAGCAAGCCGAGTGGTCTCTTAACCAAGGCAGTAACGCCAAAGTACTGGTTTGTATATATCCATCCTTAGTAAAACTTGTTGCGTCGCCACCATTTACCTGCCTTGTATCCAAAGGTAACGCACCTTGTCGTCCTATGCCTGATGGGGAGAACCTAATCCATGGTCCTCCAATGAGAAGACGGACCACATGAGAGACAAGGCTAGTTTGACAAACTCTGGGCATGCAGATTCTAGGGTCCGGATAAAGTACTGACTCCGTGGGGGGGCTCTTTCTGGTATTGCCCGTCTTAACGGGATGGAAATTCGGTGTGGACTTTTCTTGTCTTTCTCTCCTCGTCCCTTGTTTTTTCGTTCTCTCTCATCTCATACCTTTCTCTTCTTATTATCTTCTCCTCTTCTTTATCATATCCTCGTAGTGCTTACTCTTCTCTTTCCATCGTCCTTTCATTGCCTTTTAGTTACCTGTACGATTTCTCTGGTGTCATTCCAACCAGCATGGCGGACTCCGCCATTCCACCTCACTGTCATCCAGATATGGATATTCTTTTGGAGGCAAGTCTTGTCAATCTTCCAGTATATAGCCTTACCCGTAGTCTGCCTCTCGATAAGCCCTGCCGAAGCCCCACCTTAGCTTTACAGGATAAACCGCTCCAGTGAGCCACTCAATCTAGTCACTACTGTACAGTACTTCGGAGAAGGTAGATGGCAAATCCTATCTACTTAGAGGATAGGTTCACTAGAACATCTAGCAGTATGAAAATAACTGTATTCTGCCAGCTGTCAAAGGGCCTTTCTTTGCTTTTTATGACGAGCGAGGCTGAGATCAGCACAGCCTCGTTTCTGTTTGCCAGCTGGCACGGCTGATCATCCCCCACTAACTACCACGGTTAACCACCCCTCGATTTCGCCTTCATGATGAATCCTGAATCTGTGAAATGGTAGGACATGATTGCAGCAGTTCACGCTATCTACTTCCCTAAAGATGGACCCGTTATCCATAGTCGGTGCAGTCGGCTCGATACTGGGGATCATCGACCTGGCGACTCGAAGTATCAAAACCCTAACCGACTTGCAAGGCCGCTATACGAGCATCGGTCTCAGAGCAAGAATCCTTATTGGGCAGTTATCGACTCTGAAGGCTGCCCTTGGCCAGATCAAAGAAGTGCTCGATCTTCTCGATCCAGGGAGCCGCATTGAAGACTCACAAATTTCGGTCGACATCACGACGTCGCTAAGCTGCTGTGAGGCGATTATGTCGCTTCTGGACCAGCGACTGTCTCGGATGCAGGAGGATCATCTCACGATGCGGGATAAAACCAGCATTTTGTGGCACGAGAAAGAGACGACTGATTTCCAATCCCTGTTGAACAATCAGGTCAATGCGTTGAATCTTCTCTTAACCGCGCTTCAGTGGTAGGTTGCGACCGTGAAACAGCATGGTCAATTCGCTAATCCCTGTTTAGCAAGTCTATTATCGAACAGAGACTTTTTCTGCAGAGATCTGAGACCCGGGTTGTCTTCAACCGAATTAAAGATGATACCTCCTCTTTGCTTTGGTTAAGAGACTCGGACTCGGAGATGACGAAGAAAAGCATCGTTGCAGAAGACTTGAGTTTAATCGAAACAAGATTCGCCTTCGACTCGGACCTATTCAGCTCGAGGGTTTATTGCTCCGCGGCCAGATCGACCATGGTACATGCGCTCAAAGGGACCACTGTAAAGCCTTCCTATACAGAGGCTAGTGTAGTCCCCGACGACAACGCTACGGAGAGGGCATTTTCTATTATGAGTGATGAAGAAGCCAGCATCATTTGGAGGCCTACGGAATACAATCCGAATCAAAGACACCCCACCCACAGCATTAATACAGGGCGAGCATGGAGCCTGAGAGAAGGACTAAGTCGGCCCCGTACTGCTCCCAGCTTGGTCTCAAGCATGCTTCTTTCTAGGCAACGCAGCCGGGCTACGAGTCTTGTTAGTGTGAGACAGGCGAAGAAAAGTAGCCAGTGGCTCTCGTCAATAGCTCTGTGGAACCTATGGGGTGGAGAGGCATCACCCTATCCTTCTACTGCGGATAGTATTGTGGAAACCGCTCCCGTGGAACCTGTCTCTCAAAGAGTCCTCCTTCTCGGCTCCTCCAAAAGCGGCAAGTCCACGGCATTGAACGTGCTAAATCTCCTGGTTGGGTGTCCCTCAGACATGTCTCAGCTCTTTCAGTCTAGACTTACCATTCTGGAGTCACTCAGCAATCAATTGCGCCAGCTTCTGGAAGTAGGTGAACGACTTTGTACCGGAGATAGTGTTGATGAGGAATACGCAGTGATGCGTAGTACCTCTGACTCTGTCACTCGGCTACTAGAAACGTTACATGAGATGTCTATCTCGCAGCGACAAGGCAGAATGGTCGAAATACGCAGGGATATGAGAGACATATGGGGGTATATACAGAAATGTGGCCTCATGGATGAGGTGGGACTTGAGGCTATGGATGATGGGGCTGAATAGTACGTTCTTCGGTCCCTCGATCCCCAGCAGCAGAATGACAAGCCAACTGATCAAGCAGCCTGTTAAACTCGGTCGAACGTATCACCGAACCAGATTACATGCCCACCTTAGAGGATACAATGTGGTGCTACACAAGATCCACAGGCATCACCTTGGCGCGGTATACCAACGGGCCGTCGGAGGTGATTTTCTGTGATGCCTCGGGGAGTCGCGGTGAAAGAAAGAAATGGAACCGCATATTTGATGGAGCAACAAAGGTCCTGTATTTTGTCGATGCAGGATCGTACGACCAGACGTTAACGGAAGATAATCATGCAAATCGTCTGGCGGAAGAGTTGACACTGTTCGACAGCGTATGCTCGGCTGCAAAGCTCAGCCATGTGGAGATAGTTCTGTTTATTCATAAAGTGGATAAACTTGAACGGAAGCTGAGGACGGTACCGTTCGACAGCACCATCTTTGACAACTGGGGGATGTTTAGTGGAGAGCCCCAGTCAGTAGATGATGTCAGGGATTATCTCTACAACACATTCTCGGCCATTGCGCAGAAATCCAGCCGCTCTATCTCTGTCACTTTCACCAGCTTGAAGCGACCTGAAGAGCTTGGCAAGACGATCTTGTCATATGCTTCTTCCGTTGTTAACATGGTGTGATGCCGTACCTATTGGATTCCTACACCTTTCCGTTGCAGCTGTATTCAGTGTTCTGCTATTCACTGGGGCCGGTTTCCGTTGTGTATAATTTGCCGTCTCGTATATTGCTCCACCTGGGTAAAGGATCGGCTCAGCCATCTATCCGAACATAGCCAGTAGCATTATCACGTAGTTGTGTTCTTGCTTTTTGCATTTTCCGTCGTGGCAATCCTTGCCTCATCTTGCCCTTCTTGTCTTGTCCAGACAGTGACAGGGTCCATGTTCATGGATAAAGGTCCACAGCATTGTATGCCCGCCACTCTTCGTCAAACACACACCCTACCGTGAGACATAGAAAGCGGCCAACAGCATTTTGAATTTGTTGTGAACAGCTTCTATTGACGTAAGAAGTCTCTAGTATTCGTCTAACTTTTATCGATGCTATGGCCAGACCAGAACAACGGCTCCGAAAAAGCCGGGGTCAAAGCCATAATAACTTTGGGTGTGAAAAACCCATGTAGATTGGAATAATATTTATACCAAAGCTGCCTAGCCTGTGCCTCCCTGGGAGAAGCTGTATTGTCACACGGATATCCACCATGCGACTATTATGAGATAGGTGACAAGAAAAAGGAAAAGAAAGGGAAAGGAAGGGGCAGGAACACACCAGCATGGGTCGCCTCCACTCACCCTTACCTCGGGCATGGTTCGGGTAGTGGATCCAACAAGAAGGTGACTTTGCTGGCGGGGCGAAACAAAAATTAAAAAGAGATGACCGACGCAGGGATCGAACCTGCAATCTCTTGATTCGTAGTCAAGCGCCTTGCCATTGGGCCAGCCGGCCTTGTTGAAAACTATTTCATCCTATTGCATATATAAACCAAAGCAATATATTCCTCCCAAAAGGTTGCGACCGCACCGAGAAGTAGACTCGAGTTGCCCTTGTTGAATAGCAGTACCTATCAATCTCGATTGTCTTTTCGGGGTTATACAGAAATAAATCGTGATATATGCAACTTTACTCTTATATATTATAAAAGTGCATAGAGATATGATCACTAACTTGAATTGGGGTTTTTGTCAGAATAATAGACGAGGAGTAAACGAGAGCTGGGGTTGTTATATATTTCCCCGTCACATCAGGAGACAACGTCCACCTAAGCAATGGCTTTCACCACATGACGAAAGTATTCTTGCTGACTCTTACTGTAAGTTACTTCTATTTTAACTCTACTATGTGGCGACCTAATTACTTTTATGGTGTCTGTTAATTATTGGACTCCCATTTCATTGAAAACCTAAGATTGTCGAACTTTCAGGTCATTCTAGTCACATACTATTCGGCCAATCGCTAACCGCCCACCAGGCTGTTCGTCGCCCGCGATGAACATACACAGTAGTATCCTGACGACGATGCGACAGAGGCATGGATTGGAAAGATATGCTAACCCTTGACGTAAAGAAACCGCTTCACTGGAAATGGGGTTCATCATAATGGGTATTGTTCGCAATGAATACCTTTCCTCAAGACTCATTACATGGCAATTAAAACAGCGGCTGATGGCCATGCTTCTCCGCCAATAACTGTGCCGAAGCAGCTACTGCCGCATTACAGCCGCTCGAAATCGCGCCCGCGATAACCTTGTACGGAGTGATGCAGTCCCCTGCTGCAAAGACTCCGCGCACGCTGGTCTGGTGCATAGGTGGTGCGGCATTGATGTCGCCCATGGGGGTAAGCTCCAGACCAAGCTGACTTGCAAGCGGGCCCTTGACAGTGGTATTGGGGCTATGGACCAGGAAGGTCTCTTCCTTGGTCGTGCCGTCCGCAAGCTCTAGGTGAACAGAGGAGCTGGTATGAGTGAGCTTCTTAATCGGAGTGTTGTTGACCGTGATGCGGGTCTTGTCCTTGTCGGTTAGGGTCGATAGAATCTGCGCCCCGAGTTCCTCTGCTCCATGGGTGTAGATGGTCACCTTTCGCGCGAGCTGGGCGGCCGATTCAGTCTGATGCATTGCCATGGGTACATTGCCGGCGGATTGGATGGCGAGGACGCCGGCACTGTCCGTGTTGCGGTCTTCGTACCCTTTGCAGAAGAGGCAGTGGTAACTGGGCCGTGTTAGTTTGATTCACCATCTTTTAAAAATAGTAGGTTCATGGTGAAGATACATACATTCTCTGACCCCACGCTGCTTCGTATCCGGGAATGTCAGGGAAGACATTCTCTGAGCCGGTGGTAATAATCAGCTTTCTACCTTTCCAGACCTTGTCATTGGCATCGACGAGTTGGAAAAGTCCGTCGCTTGTCTTCTCCGCCGTTTTGAGGTCCACGTCCTCGATCTTAATAGTGTTGTAGTGGTTCAGAACTTCGTCGCGAGCTTCGGCGCGGAATTCAGCTGGATTTCTGTGGTCCCAGGTTGGGATCATGTGCATGTGGGAGACGTTCGCATTGCGATAGCTTTGGTTGTCGAAGAGGACGGCTGTATGGAGTTGGCGGGCCAGCGTGAGGGCTGCGGTGAGACCGGCTGGACCTCCACCGGCAATCAGGACATCTACTACTGAGTCCATAGTGTGGGAGATATTGAGAGAGATTGAATATGCTTTCTGGGGAGCTTGTTGACGTGGAGAGTTGAAGGTAAGAAGTGGGATGAGGAGGAGGAGCCGTAGGTGTTTGTTATGTATGCCCAGCGAGGCATTTAGGCAACGATACCCGCTACACGTAGCTTGCAGGGAGGGGAACACCTTGAATAGTGGTAAATGTGTTTTACCGACCGCCTGCACAACGATGATCTCTTGACTGGCTGCGGAGCCATAGTTTACAAGACAACAGGGTTTCCATACAGAAAAGCCCCCCAGAATACAGACAAAGAAACGGCGTGCCCTAGTTCTCACCTCCTGCAACAACCCAGGAATGGGTGTCTAATAAAAATAGAAATGCGGCCGACGAGGCATCGGCCGGGAAAAGAGGAGGTCCAAGTAAATAATATGATTTAAAAGAAAAATCAAAGTCAAAAACACGAGGAAGGCAGCTGCAGTGGCTCTCCATCCTTGCTGAAGGAATGATCATCTGATAGGAGAACGAGTCATGAATGTGATAAGAACGAATATAGTGGAGATTTCTATATATATAGGGTGTATCTGGAGACATAGATAGGACCATCCAAAGCAGAAAACTATTAAATCCACACCCAGGCTTTTATAATTAAGTCGATCAGGTTCGGTAGTTCCTTTCAATGATGTATCATAACGAGAAACTGTCCACTAACGTCCAGTCACTCTCAGATCAAAAAGGAGTTTAAAACATGCACTTCCTTCACTGCGTCCTCTACTTGGTTGTGGCCACCGCAATGGCCAATCCAATCCCAGCCCCCGTGGCCGAGCCCAATGCAAACCCCGACATGGCCGTCATCGAGCCCAAGAACTGTTGCCTGTGATGTGGAGCCGTTAGGAAGAGGATGAAATAGGGTACCGCTGGGAGAAACTAAGCAATTTGAGATTTGGATATGGTTTCGGATATCATCATGATTTATGGAATGTGAACTTTAAGCGATGCTATGCCTAATTTAATCTAAGCGCAACGTCTACTATGGAAATGGTAACCATTCGTCCCCATAGCCAAAGTACTCTCGAATCTTGGGTAGATAGGGAGAATCATTAGGGCAATATTTGAATCGTTCCAAATTAGACACCGTGTCATCCCCGGGAAAAACATACCGATAGCATGGGTCATGCATCTCCACAAAGGACTGCATTCGATGCCAGTCACGGCACATGCGCTTCTGTCCATCGCCAGGCTTGAATCCGGAGACATTATTCAACGGAATGTATCGCAGGGTGTCATCGCCCGCACACATGGTCTCCACCCGGATACTGTCTAGACAATGCAAGATATGGGGATAGGTAATACTCTGAGGACGATTGTAACGGTATTCCTCGATGGAGATGTATATATTGCGCTAAATTCTCTCAATGAGTGAGATTTCATTAGGAATAATGGATGACTTACAATGCAATGGAGGATATGATGCGCATTGAGGATATAGATCGCTTTCGTTACGTCCCACGGGAAAGACTGCGACTCGGGCAACCCCAACTCACTTGCCTCTTGTTTGTTGATTGCGATGATCCCGCTTTCCCATGGAATGTCATTATGCCAGAGATCACTCACTTCTCTCTCGTTTTCACCGCTGTAGTTGGTATTCCACCACATTGTGTCTTCTCTCGTGAATCCACCTTTCGCCTCTTCCCGTCGGAAATGAGAACTAGCCCAGACGGGCTCCGTAGATCCAGATAACTCATCTCTACTTGATATCCAACCAAGCACCAACATAGCATTGAACAATACGGAAAGAAGGAGCAGTGCAAGTAGAAAGTGGGTCTCTAACCGTGCTAGAAATCCCGTTCGTCCTCGTGTTTCCCATGACTTTTGAGCACGATGTTGTGGAGGGAGAAGTTCATAGTCCTCACCGTCTGTCTGTCCCATTTTCGGTTGCTCCGCTATAGTATTGCAAGGCTTAGGTGGCAGGCGGGGCTTAACGACGGTAGTCGCCCGTCATAAAGATCAATCTACGGAGGCAAAAGTAACGGCGAGGGCTTACAGGATCACCAGAACGGATGAGAACGTGGGCCTCATTTTTCATCGTCAGGCCCACTCTGGACCCCGCCTCATGGCTCAGTCTTCAGTTATGCATGTGCTCTACAATTACACGAGGCTGACTGGACATTCTGGACACCAAAGTCAAAGCAACAATCCAGTTGTGATACACAGTCCATAGTCATGCACCATGTCAGCCTCATCCTTGCTTATGGAAAATATTCCAGACCTGGACATGAGAGGGCAGGGAACATATAAGCGCTTCGAGGAAGGCAGCATGTGTCTTCACGAAAAGCTTTACAACTCACAAACCTGCAGATACCCCAAGGTCCACCCGATCCACCCCAAGAGGTCCACCATGGCATCGAGTCCACACTGGACGCACCTCCCGTTTCGGCTGGCTTCAGCTGGCGAAGTGCTGGCAGCCGGTATTGCTCTTCCCATTGCCTGCCTCGTGTGTGTGATACTTCGCTTCCTTGCTCGAGCCAGGCAAAAGGTTCGCCTGGGTCTGGACGACTGGCTACTCGTGCCTGCAGCGGTATCTTCCCCTCCCTTACGATGCAGATAAGACATGTCTGCTGACACGCCTTCAATGACTCAGATCATGGTAACTGGAATGGGCATATGCTTCATTTATGGTTAGTACGAGCACTTCACACCCGATGTGGAAAATGCCCATTAACATCTGCAAGGCTACTCCGTCCACGTAATGGGGTACCCGACACCCTACCCCATAAGCGACGATCCCAAAAAGGCATTAGCGAAGTACAACCGCGCCTACGAAATCGAAGCCAAGATTGAATTCTACTTCCAACTCTTCATGATCGCAGCGTACGGCTTCATCAAAGCAAGCATCGTCCTCTTCTATCGCCGTATCTTCGTCTCGAACAAGAAGTCCCGATTCGCCATCATCTCCAACATATGCCTCGTCGTAACGGTGGTGTGGGCCGTGGCATTCTTCCTCCTGTTTTTATTCGGCTGCAAGACGAAAGTCTACCTCCATTGGGCGCCTATCCAGGAAGTAAGGGAGCACTGTGGGGACCCCCTTGCCGCCGAATCGGCCCTGGTCATCTCGGACCTCATCACTGATTTGGCCATCCTGCTCCTGCCCTTTCCCAAGGTATGAGTCGACCATCTGGGATGATGTCAGTTATACTCACAATTTCATGCAGATATGGACGCTCCAGATGTCTGTGAGACGGAAGATTGCGCTAAGTTGTATTTTCGGGGTGGGCTTGATGTAAGGGTTCCCTTTCCGAATCTGGGGTGTAGCCCACCGCTGACACGGTTTCCCATAAGGGCGCTGTCGGCCTCTGTCGTGAGACTGGCCGTTTACCTGATTGTCTTTGAGGTCGGATATGAGGCTGGATACGACCCTGACCGTGAGCTTCCCCTTACCTCATAGAGGATGTATCTAATGTGCTAGAAACCGTGACCACAATGCTCTGGTGGAGCATGTTGGAAGCCAGTCTGGGTTTGATCGCCGCGTGCTTACCCACTCTCCGTCCAGTCGTTTACTCCGCACGAGGCTGGCTCCAACGTGAAGGCCGGAAAGGCTTTTCGGGTCGATGGAGTCGAAAGCTTGGATCCACAGGCGACCAGACGTCCGAGGGTGGGACTGGGTCAACGTCGGTGGATGCAAATAAGTCAAGCTCGGTCGTTATCCAGGAGCCCAGAACGATGGTTTAAATGACAAGCCACGGCTAGGAGACTTTTGGAGATATTTTTTTTTTTTTTTTTCTGTACTTGCCATGTATGTGTTTTGTTTTGCTTGAGATACCTCATATATCTTTTCCCGTATCCAGGATCAGTTGTTAGAAATGTGACACGCACTTTTCTTTGACCATAGGCACAGCTGTTATTGCATCCGAAGGATACGATACGGCTGTCAACAGGATACAACCCATAGGATACATACCCAAACCACAATGCCCCTCATTGTCTCACGCGCAGATCTAACCAAGGACTGGGACGAGCTCATAACCACCTACTGGACTGCGTGGAGCACTCCCCTCCAAGCCGTCGGCGAACTGACCTTTGCCCACCTGGGGGAAGGCAGCCAAGCTGAAGCAACAGCCCTTGCGGCTGTGAAAAGCTCCTTACGTCAAGCCGCGGAATCCGACCCCAACATCGTCTGGCTGAAATGCTACGATACCAAGTCGGGGCAGATTGTCGCGGGAGGAATGTACCACGTGCATCACCATAATCCATACCGCGCGGGGGCACCGAGGATGGAAGCGACGTGGTTTCCAGAGGGGAGTGAAATGAGGTTGTTGGCTGAGGAGTTCTATGCACAGTTGTGGGCATGGAGGGGGAGGATGATGGGAGATAGACATGTTTGTATGTCTTCTTTTTCTCTCTCTAGTACTATGTCCGTTTTACTTGGTTCGTTGATTGACGTGAGCACAGGTGGGAATGCGCTGTGGGCACTGCCCGAGTATCGCTCGCTGGGCGCGACGGAGCGTATTATGGACGAGTTTGTCCGCCATATGGATGCGCTGGGGATGGAAGGCTACCTCGAGGCTACGGAGATGGCAGTCGCACTGTATCAAAAGTATAGGTTCGTGGCTATCGCGCGACCACGTATGAGCTTTTCTGAGGATCAACGGCGGAGCGCGCAAGGGAGGAGATTGATTCACGAGATCCAGACGCACCCCGTCTGGATTATGTGGAGGCCAGCAGGGGGTGAATACAGGGATGGTGAGACGGTGCTCCCATGGGAAGGAAGGCCAAGGCGCGTCAAGCTGTAGTAATAAAGAAATAAAATTTAGTCTAATACTACAACAAAGAAGTAATCGACATAGAGAGCAAATCTAGGCCTCGTGGACCCCTAATGTGTCACGGCCCTTTTCCTGCGGCCCACCACTTATCGGCTCTTCTCCCCTCGGCTGCTTGTCCGTTTGTTGTGGCTCGGCTTTTTTCATGGAAATCCATGGTGTCAGACAGGCTCCTAGCACTGATGCACAGCTGAGGGCCATTGGGATGTAGAGAGTCCTCGCAATTGCGGTACTGTACGCCTCCAAGACGTGTGGCATGTCTTGCTCGTTGACGAACTGACTCAGTTGCGTCGCGCCGAGCTTTGCTAGTTTCGAAGGGTCAACGCCTGGCGCCAGCGACCGCACCGTATGTGCAAGGGTATTCTGGAAGACACCCTGGGCAACGGCGACAAAGATAGCCGAGCTCAAGTGCTGGACAAGGGTAACTAATGTCACTCCAATCGGGATATCTGCCTCGGACAACACGGTCTGCACTACGTAGCTGGGTTGGCCAAACCCCAGCCCAACACCAATGCCGTACAGTGCCTGGTACCCAATCAAGCGCCCGTTGGAGGTATCCGTTGATAAGGTCGATAATAGGCCAGCACCAACACTTGCCAGGATAGTTCCCAGGATCATTGGTGGGTTGTAATAACCCAACCCGGACGTGAGGACTCCCGCAACCACCGAGAATACGACGTAGCCCACGATCAATGGAGTCAGCATAACCCCGGAGCCCAGGGCTGATTTGTGTTGCACCGCCTGCACCCACACTGGAATGTAGACTATGGCGACGTAGATTCCTCCCGTGATACACATCGCGTACCCTACGGCATGCCACACCGACGCATGTTTCGACACACTGCGGGGGATGGTTTTTGACCCAGGAACGAATATCTGAAGGAGAACAAAAGACAGCATAAGGAGAACTGCCACCACCAATAATGCAATAATCCTTCCACTATTCCAGGGGTATTGGGTGCCGCCCCACTGGAGTGCAAGGAGCAAGCAAACGATACCACCCATCAAGCTGACCATCCCAAAGAAATCAAACTGGCGGACTCGAGCCTGGAATGACAGTGATGCAATGGAGGAGTCCACCGGCGTATTCACGAGCAAAAAACATACCAATATACTTAGCCCGCCTAATGGTAGGTTGATGTAGAAGCACCATCGCCATGTAGACCTGTCTGTAAACGCGCCTCCGACGAATGGTCCTACAATGGCAGCAACGCCAAAGGCAGCCGACATGATCCCAAGGTAGGACGCACGGCGATCGAGCGGGATGATCTTTGTGGTGATCATAATCCCCCCGGTAAAAATACCAGCCGCCCCAGCGCCGGCAATCGCGCGACCGAAAATCATGGCGATGGAGTTGGGTGCGGTGGCACATACAAGGGAGCCTAATTCAAAGATGCCGATTGCTGATAGATAGATGATCTTAATTGAGAACAGGCTGTAGAGCTTGCCATATGGAATCTGGAATACACTGAGCATGGTCAGGTAAGCGGCGGTCCACCAGCCCATATCGTCAATACTGTGGAACTCGGTCGTCAGTGTCGGGGTCACTGTCGCGAGAACCGTTTGGTCCTTCAAGGTATCATGTCAATTTCAGCCATGTCAGCCAATTTTAGGGGGATGGACGGCTTACCATCCCGGTCAGGAATACAGCAAGGCACAGCGCAACCATGACCAGGCTGAGGCGAATAGAGGAAAGGAATGAGCCATTTGGTGAGCCCATGACTGAAAGGGTAGTCGTATCCTTTGACTCAAACTGAATTGCAGGAAGCTCCAGAATAGCGTGGGTGACATGCCTATTTATCCCCTGCCGAGGGCGTCTTTGTCTTTGTCATCCTCTAAAGCATCAAGTCTTAGTTATCCCTGGACAACAAAATTTCAATTCGAAGGCCTTGGCGCAGTCCAAGCCCTGTCATATCGTTAGTGGAGATACTTTTCGACCAGTCCTCGGAATTGGTATATTTCATCCTTCCTACATGACCCTACACTTCCCTACGCCTAGATGACAGGAATCTTTTGATCTACGAATTACTTATTATGTAGTATTAATCGGTCCACGAGAATATGACTATTAAATCTAATAAACGCGTCTGTACCTTGGTTTTAGTATTTACAAAGGAATAGATATAATATATATAGGACTAAGATACAGGAATATCTTCTGTAACGAGAAGGCCTTCGTTATGCTCATAAATATTGGATCACAGAATAGCCATATAGACGATTTTATGCTGCCGATACCAGTACCCTTTCTGTAACAGGGATGTCTGGATTCAAGGTGAGCAAATACTGTATGAGCATAAGATGGATTCTGTTATTGAGTGTCCTTTTTTCTTTCTTTCTTTCTTTCCTTTTTTTTTTTTTTTTTTCGCTTTTTATGATCAATTCCATCATGCCTCGTGCGCATTCTGTGTTGGAAGCAGCTGCCGCCAAAACTGCCTCTGAGATATCAAAACCAATCAACCCTGCTTGTCGGCAGGAATTATGTGTGTGGGAGAACACGGGCAAGCTGTGGAAATTCTGACTTTCTTATGACGGTCCTGACACCTAGATTGGACAGAGCAAATACCACCCCCAGGATGTATACAACTACAACCACAAAGGAATCTCGATATCCATTATTCAGGCCACCGGTACGCCAATTAAGTGAGAAAAATGTTCCATTTCACAAATAGTAATGAGTCCATTGGGAGGTGAACCCTTCATATATGTGTAACAATGTCCCCGGGACCAACACCGTGGTGGATTACCATAGCTCGCAAATTCCGTTAGTGTCTCGGTTTCCCTCCTTGAAGGTCTGGTTCTGATACGTACTTTTGCTTAAATGGGTCGAGAGTACACCTAACCAATGGAATCTAGGTGGGAATTGCGTTTGCTGAAAGGTTGCGTAGCCATACAGACCTGTTCAGGATCATTACACAGCCACCATTCGGGTTGATGGCATTCCGCCTCCTGAACACAATCATGAACCAGATTCTGATTCTCTGGCCAGGAAGGTCTTCGTAGACATATATTAACAAAGTGGCTTCCTCTTGATATCGACAGTGGTAGATGGTGTCTATACTATTCATGTCGCCAATGCCAATCGGGCAGCGCGTGGGGAGCATGTTAGAAAAGTCTTTGGGTTATTAGTCAGATCAGCAGAAAGGTTTCCTATGTGTAAATAGATAATTTATTAACTCTCGTCAATATAGGGATATGCTTCTGTCGATTTGGCCATTCTAAATGAAATACAGACATCTATCTTAATATATCCAACTCGTACGTGATATTAGTACTTCTGAAGTATGATATAATATCAGCTACCCGCGTCGAAGGTCGTTTATCCGTTACTATCGTTTCGCTTCCATACATGGCCCGTGTAGTGGATTAACCTACGTATTGACTAGATAGGTCTTTCAAAGTCTCTGAAGCCGGCATTCCACTTTCTTTGCTACAAACTGAGTGATGATCATCGGTATTCAACCTCCACATCCCGACGCATTAGTGTCTCCCCGCAGTCTTGGCTGCGCTGCCAGAGTGATTCCACCCTATCCCCAGAGGCCCTAAATGTAACCCGCAATGAGTCTTAATCTATATCGAAGTATCGGTTTACCGTCAGCCAATCCGGTGAGCGATGAGCGGGTAATGACCTCAAGATGTCAATCGCCGACATATATCAATAGCCGTCGAGTACGTCAGGATGCTATTTAAACGACCTGTGTATCTGGATCTGGTATGCGAGTCTATGATAGATGACCTCAGGGGTGTTTGGTTATACCGAGTCCATCCACCATGCAGGTTCTCAAAGCTCTAGAATTCCTTTCCTTTATTCCGCTTGCCTTGTCTGTCCCAACAGACAGACATACCCATGATCGGCGCGATGGCCTGGCTAGCGGAAACTATTCCCAGGCCATGCTCAAGCCCCAGCAGACGGTCACCCGAGAGATCATGTCGCTTGATGGACTATGGAAATTTGCCCTGGGGTCTGATGACAATAGTTCACAACCGTGGGCAGGCCCACTGAAAACAAACCTCGAATGTCCGGTCCCAGCGTCCTACAATGACATCTTTGTGGACAGCGAGATCCACGATCACGTCGGGTGGGTCTACTACCAGCGCGACGTGATTGTGCCCAAGGGCTGGTCCGAAGAACGGTATTTTGTGCGCAGTGAGGCTGCAACGCATCACGGCCGGATCTACGTCAATGACCATCTAGTGGCGGAGCATGTGGGCGGATACACACCATTTGAGGCGGATATCACCAACCTTGTTGCTGCCGGAGCGCAATTCCGCCTGACAATTGCCGTCAACAACGAACTGACGTACCAGACAATTCCGCCTGGGAAAGTGGAAGTTCTTGAGGCGACGGGTAAAAAGGTACAGACATATCAGCATGACTTTTATAACTATGCTGGTCTGGCTCGGTCGGTGTGGTTGTATGCCGTGCCACCGCAGCACATCCAGGATATCACGGTTCGGACGGATGTTCAAGGCACCACCGGTGTGATTGACTACAGTGTTGTGGCCAGTATGTCAAGTGGAACGATCCAAGTCGATGTCCTAGATGAAGATGGCACCACTGTAGCAACAACGTCTGGGTCGAATGGAACCATCCAGATACCATCCGTCCACCTCTGGCAGCCCGGGGCCGCGTATCTCTACCAATTCCACGCCAGCATCGTAGACTCTTCCAACAAAACTATTGATACATACAAACTAGCAACGGGCATCCGCACGGTGAAGGTTCAGGGCACGCAGTTCCTCATCAATGACAAGCCCTTCTACTTCACCGGGTTCGGCAAACACGAGGACACTGCTGTCCGCGGCAAAGGTCACGACCAGGCCTACATGGTGCACGACTTCCAACTCCTACACTGGATGGGAGCCAACTCGTTCCGCACCTCGCACTACCCATACGCGGAGGAGATTATGGAATATGCAGATCGACAGGGCATCGTTGTCATAGATGAAACACCCGCCGTCGGTCTAGCATTCTCCATCGGAGCAGGTGCCCAGACATCCAACCCGCCGGCTACATTCAGCCCAGACCGTATAAGCAACAAGACGCGCGAAGCACACGCCCAAGCTATTCGTGAGCTTATCCACCGCGATAAGAACCACCCTAGCGTAGTAATGTGGTCTATCGCTAACGAGCCCGCTTCCAACGAGGACGGCGCTCGCGAATATTTCGCTCCTCTGCCGAAGCTCGCTCGTCAGTTGGACCCGACGCGGCCTGTTACCTTTGCCAACGTGGGACTTGCTACCTACGAGGCCGACCGTATCGCAGACCTCTTTGACGTTCTGTGTCTGAACCGATATTTTGGTTGGTACACCCAAACGGCCCAGCTTGACGAGGCCGAAGCCGCGCTGGTGCAGGAGCTCGACGGATGGGCCGAGAAATACGACAAACCAATTGTCATGACAGAGTATGGAGCAGATACTGTAGCTGGCTTGCACTCGGTCCTGCCAGTTCTTTGGAGCGAGGAGTTCCAAGTGGAGATCCTGGATATGTATCATCGAGTCTTTGATCGGTTCGATGCTATGGCAGGTGAACATGTCTGGAATTTTGCGGATTTTCAAACCGCTGCGGGGGTTAGTCGTGTCGATGGAAATAAGAAGGGTGTTTTTACTAGGGATCGGAGGCCAAAGGCAGCCGCTCATTTATTGAGGGAGAGATGGACGAAGGTTGTAAACGGGACGGACGGCTGAGGGAGGAACTTTCTACGAGAAACTCATGGGACTGAGAACCTGAGAACCAGCGAGGTTTGTATGTATGTACATACATAGATCTTAGACTCTAGGTAATATGCCTATCGTCCACATCCGAATCAACAGATACGAAAAACAATCGGATACCGTGTCTTACCGCGATTCCCCATGTTGTATCTTGACGATATGTCTCTTTAGGTCTCAATCGTTTACATGTAGCCGTCTTCCATAAGGGTCCAAAATAGTCCCATGATCAACAAACCTGATATTCTGATGGTTAATACTCGTGCTTACCGCACCTCATTCTATACCACCAAGTGTTATAGACCCATCTAGCACAGCCTCAATCAAAGGCGGACACACAAGGCAGAAAACGATATGATAAGGATAGAATATCGTAGAATGTCTCTCCACCTTCATGAGTATCATCCACACCATCGAAAAGATATCCCCGCCATGTCCAACTCCTTAATCGTCCTCCCGCGCCCCGGGGCAGCGCCGTCCAGCAACGCAGCACAGCCCATCCCAGCCCCATCGGAAGCCGCCTTTGTCGCAACTTTCGGCAATCGGCTTCCACCGGCATCATATTTACAAACACCCCACGGCAAAGCAGCATACTACGAGCTACTACCCTCATCTCCCGCTGCCACAGATGAGAAAAAGCTCATATCCCGGGTGCTATTTGTCCATGGCGTGCAGACGCCCGCGATCGGCCTCCAGCCTTTAGCCAGCGCACTGTCATCGCGTTTCCCATCGGCTCACTGTGTCCTAGTCGACCTGTGGGGTCACGGACTTACGGAAACACCGTTTGTGGCGCACGACCCGGCTCTCTTCCATGGACTATTGGAGAACTTAATGGTGCACCTCGGATGGGCAGATGCCCATTTCATTGGCTATTCGTTTGGCGGGTCCACCACGGCAAGTTTCGCGGCAGCCCACCCCGAACGCGTAGCGTCGATGGCTTTGGTTGCGCCGGCAGGTCTGCGCCGCACCGCGGGGCTGGATGAGGTGCAGAAATCTTACCTGCGTGGTGGGGAGGGGGTGGAAGAAGCGGCGCGAGATTGGATCTTGGAAGTGCTGGAAGGAGGCCGGTTAGTTGTGCCTTCAGATTGGAAGGAGAGGGTTGCACGAGGTGAAGTTGTGGCAGAGGCCGTGAGAGACTGGGAAATGAAAGAACATCCAGGGCATGCTGCTAGCGTCGTCGCCATATTCAGGGATGGCGGTGTGTTTGATAAACATGCCGAATTTGCGAAAGCGGCGACGACGGGGATTCAGTCTCTATGTGTTCTGGGCGAGTTGGATGACTTGTGTAGTGTGCAAGACTTGCATGAGCTTGGGATGCAGAATGTCGAGGTTGTGCCGCAGGTGGGCCATGGAGTGGTTAGGGAAAGGGTACCGGAGGTCGCGGGGTTTATTCAGCAGTTCTGGAATAGACTCCAGGAGTGAGATATACTCCCGTACAGTCATTTTTGTTCATATCAGTTCATTGATACTGGCGGTAAACAGGGCTACATAATGGGATCTCATATTGTTGTGATAACTTCATCTTTCATAGGATAGGTTGGCTCAATGGTGCTTGTTGGCTGTAAACTTAGCAGGATGAAGAAATTTCTGAAATATTCTAAGGGACAATGTTCAAGCTTTGCTTTATCCCTCAATTCAATATAATAATCGGCCATAATCACCGATTCTGCTATCGATGGATGTCAACAATCGCATATCTCCTCACGGACAGCGGAGAGGGGCGATGTTAACGTCCTAAACGAACTCTTTGGATCTAAATGCAGATATTCGACATGCAACTGTGATCAGATAGTGGCTCTTACAATTTAACCGAGTCCATTTAGCCCTCCTAGGGCGGAGTCAGGATAACGCCTTCCCGGAACATGCCGTCTCCATCCATTCCTGACTAGTCTGACTGTAAACAATCCTTCTAGAAGATATCCTCCGATGACTAAATGGAAAGGGGCGTGGTCCGAAATTTTGAGCAACCTGACTCAGGAACTCCTGTTGCTCTCTTTCCTAGTTCAAGCCGCTTCCTGCCACGAGAAAAACCTCTAAAAACACATGAATACGAATACGAGATGCATGTGAAAATTATATAAACTTGGGGCACACGGTAGTATTCTCCTCAACTGTTGGTTTAGGAGGTAAAATGTATGCTGTGATAATGTAATCCGTTACCATCCAACCACGAAAACCGCGTAAGTGGCCATGAAGGGGTCTTCCATGTAAGTGTAGGCCCTGGTGGAGATGACTCTAGATACAGTGGAGACGACCCCTGTCTCGGGGGTTTCACTAGAGGTTACGGGGAATTCTTCCGTATAGCATGCCATAAACTTGGAAGCTAGTCTCAGATATCAGGGATGGATAGGCAACCTTCTTTACGACTTGCCCCAATGAATTTAGTTACAACGTATCGGATTAACGGGATGACGTTTTCCACTACGGTCCGTATAACAACTTCCGTAACGGGACTGGGCTTTGCGGATAATATAATATTGAGATTGCTTTGTCACTATGCAAGGCTCCGTTTCATTTATATTTAATGAACTATGCGTGCTTAGGTGAGCCTAACCTCTGAAGCCGGGAGTATACAGTCGTGATATGCCATGCATTCTATTGATTTGCATCTCTATATTCATATCCTTGGCAGACGTGGCATTAAAATTCAGAATGTATCCAACACTGATCCCAGGTAACTAGTCGGTGGGTATTCGAAAGTACAGAAAGAAGATTTATAGGGCCTGACCCTGACTGAACCCTGTTATCGCTCGGCACCGGGACCGATCGGCACCACTAGTGTTTTGAGTTGATGATAACCCTAACAGCTAGTTTCTCTCACGCCACGGTTCTTGTTCCATCTTGCTGGAATTCCACTGGTCTATCCCCCTAGTCCTATAATACTATACATAGGCTATATGAGGCTGTGTTCTGGAAGAAAGTTTCGAGAATAGGCGCCCGCCGTTATTCTAAGATTTGCAGTACCCTCCTTGACCCTGTTGGATTCTGTTTCCCCGTTGACCTCCTTTCCCTGGCCATGGCCTGTTGCTAGAGGAATATCGTCTTATCGCTAACGCGCGTCAATATGGTTTTAATCATGCCGTTTACTGATTAAGTGTAGTTGTAATAGGAAGCCGGGGGAGCCGGAATGTGGAGAAACAGTTATAGAGGAAGCGCATCCACATCCGTGCACTGAGCTTCGCTAGCTCTCAATCGAACCATTCTAACACGGTATCCGAGCCCTTGGTACTTGCTTTTAGATCCACAGATGCTCCCATGTTGGGTAAACAGATGGAGATGGCTGTTACCGCCCCTTACAGATACGTACAGGGTTGTTCTAGCAAGAGTCGACTAGTGGAGAAACGGTGGAAGGTCGGAGATCGGATCGGAGAATTAAAGCTTCTAGGTTTCCAGGAACTGGATGACCCCTACTCTTGGCTTCTTTAGGGACGGAGGTTTAGAACTGTAAACTGTCTCATCCTTCATCCCATGGACCCACCCGCTCCCTAATTTCCCCTTCCATTGTCACCGCGTTATCCTCTACTTTGCTTCTGGTCTGGGAATATTGGGCGAGGTTTAAAAGGCTGCCATTGCTCAGATATCGTTCCTCAAACCAGCAAGACTTGAAAACCCTCTTACTTGCCATGAAGCTCTTGTCAGTCACTATCGCTGCCCTCTTGGGCCTTTCCCAGCTCGGCATCGCTCAAAAGGTTTCCGGCGCCGCCCAAGGCTTCGCTTCTGGCGTGACCGGTGGTGGTAACGCGGCACCCCAGACCCCGAAAGACATCAACGAACTCAAGAAGTTGCTCGCCGATCCCTCCCCTCGTGTGATTGTTCTTGACAAGTTATACGACTACACTGGAACGGAGGGTACGTCCAAGGGAACCGTGTGTGCCAACTGGGGTGAGGGCGCAAAATGCCAGAAGATTATCCAGGACGACTGCGGCAAGGCTGCCAAATCCACAGGAACCTGGGACACTGCTGCTAAGACCCCCATCGATGTCGCCTCACATAAGACTATTATCGGCGTGGGTAACAAGGGTGTCATCAAGGGCAAGGGTCTGAGATTCCGTGGTGGTGCTAGCAACATTATCGTCCAGAACATCCAGATCACTGACCTGAACCCTCAGTATGTGTGGGGTGGAGATGCTATCTCTTTCGATGGCGCTGATCTCATCTGGGTTGACCATGTTACGGTATGTTCATCGTCCTCTCTTATAGCTAAGTGCTAATAGCAGGTAGACCGCTCGTATTGGACGTCAGCACTATGTCTTCGGCTTCAACACCAGCAAGCGTGTGACTCTCTCCAACAACTTTATCAACGGTGACAGCCCATTCTCGGCCGGATGCAACGGATACCACTACTGGACATTCGAGATGGTTGGCAAGGGAGACCAGATCACTCTTCAGAACAACCACATTTACCACACCTCTGGCCGCAGTCCTGCCCTGAGTGGAGGCACCCTCCTGCACGCCGTGAACAATGTCTGGGACGGCAACACTGGCCACGCTCTCGAGGGAGGTGAGGCCACTGCCAGAGGTATCTTTGAGGGTAACGTTTTCACCGATGTCAAGGGCATTGTCGCCGACTTCAAGGGCAGGGCTTTCTTCTCCCCTGATGCCAACTCCAACAAGCAGTGCAGCTCTGCCCTTGGCCGCGCCTGTGAAGTCAATGCTCTCACCAACTCCGGCACTCTTCCTTCTCTCAAGGACACTTCATTCTTTGGTGACTTCAAAGGCCTCAAGATTGCCCCTGCTACCCCGGCTTCTCAGGCCGCGGCTAATGTCCCCAAGAACGCTGGTGCGGGCAAGATCTAATTTTTTCTTCGTGTACCTATGACTACACATCCTTTGTATTTTCGTGTATATTACCTTTCTCTGCACTACCAGTGCTTGTGCATAGTCTTCATTCTGTGATTAACACAGTTTAGTTCTAAAGATTCAAGTTCAAGGATTCTCTGCCGAGCAGGTTGGATCGAGGGTGCGTATTATATATTTAGGGGGTTTGCCGCAGGTAGAAGGATTTACCAACATAGTTCGTAGACTCTTCGATTTCAGCATGACTATGAGAAGGGCTACTGTACTTTTTACATGGAAAGACAATTACAAATATGTAGTACCAATTCTTTAGTCATACCAATTAAGAGGTAAGAGTGCGACATGATGGAGTAACCGTCACAGCCCCATTAGTCCCTATGGTTGAATAGCTCACCCCATTGTTCAGACATAGAGAATAAACCGTTCTTTGTATATATCGTGAAGAATCAAGGGAGTGCTGCGATATACGAGGTGAACCAAGGCGAATGTGACAGTGCTGGACGCTGCAAACAGTTGCAGATAGAATACAAACTAAGAATGTCAAAGTCATACTGCCGTATTTCTAGTCCTATTAACAAGCCACAAGTCCATCATGAGCTTGGGTGGATTATATTTTCCGTCTTTGGTGTTGATAATTGTGTCCATGCCATCCAAAATCAACCCACCGATATCCGCGGGATATCTGATAACCTTGGTTGCTTCGTGTGTAGGATCTCAGACTGGGCATGATATGGATCGTAGATAGCGGTGGGAGATGCAACTTCCAGGTCTAGTGATGGATGTCGATGATATGGATTGGAGGGCCACATAATCGCGACACTCGACTCGCTGGTCACCGCGCTATGTCGATTTTGCGAACGGCTTCGAAGAATGGAGCGAAAGGTGGGGATGTAGACTGCGATAATGTTGACGAACATTTCTCGCATGCCCCAGCTAAGATGGAGACCTCATATGAGACTGATGTAATCCTGACAAAGTTGACATGGGAGGGAGCACAGTCACCCACCGATTCCAGTTGAGCTGGCCTGGTTTTGACAGCGTAATTGAGATTCGCACGATTCTGTACAGCTTGAGTTGTCAGACATATGGTATCTTTCATCTTAAAACGTTGTGTGGCTTCTATGTGCTTACGCAGTGATAAGGACGACTGTTCCCGCGCTAAGGAAGCAGAGAATCTTCAATTTTCTTGGCTCGTTAGAAGTCTGATCTCGTTCACCGCATATTCATGGTCATGAAAGTATGAGGAACTCACTTTGATCTGGAGACTTGGAGCCTCGCCAATAAAATAATTGGTAGTGCGATAATCTAATCAAGGTCAATACTGAGATTCCTCGTAGCCATCCTCTACGTACCCCAGAGTCTGTGCTTCATTCATACCTAGGTTAGCTTGATGCGCACAATAATGGTAGGCAGAGGCCTTACAAAACGTTGGACACTGCTAACGCAATGAAGATATTCGGTGGCTGAATACAATTGATGGGAGGTAACGGCTTGATTTCCCAGAATCGTCTAAAGGGAATGCACGCAAGGGACATACTAAGTATGACCCCAAGGTAGGTTAGAAGACAGATAACTGCAATAAGCAAGACTAAGAGGCGATGTCGCCCAAGTCCACTCGTCAAGCGCCAATACAGCAGCAGTAAGCTGGCTTTCAGGAGCCAGAGAACTGTCGGATAGGAGTATGCTAAGACGAGCTCCCATTTAGTTCCAATAATGAGACGGCGCGCCTCTTCGTCGGTTAAGGCATTGATCTCGGCCTGAGTGAAGTCCACTTTGTTTCCATAGATATACACCAGATAGCAGCCGGCCGCACATACAGTATAGAAGACAGGAATCAAAAGAGAGACCCAGTCCTCGGCTGCTGGCCGATGGAGACCTTGCAGCCAGCACCGTAGCCCAACACGAGACAATAGAATGAATTCCCCGACGCCAAAAAGGGTCCATAGCTCCGGAACCCACTGTGGTCGGAGAGGTTACTATGTGGTACCATAAGACAGAACAGACGAACGTACCGTATCATCTCGCAGCAAGCCCATTAGGGATGAAGTTGATCGACAAGGCCACGATAAAAGGATTAGAGACCGTTCTTGAAACGCAATTACTTCTATTGAAAGACTGCTAAGACGAGAATAATACCATCCGCTATTGAAGGGCTTCTACACGAGCTTGGCTCATACCACTACTTATACCCCCATTCGTATTGGCCTGTCTGTCGCTCTTTTCGACTATGTAATATGATGTGGGTATGATAGGTGGCCTAACAACAATTCTAGGTGATCTTATTCCTCGATACAAATAAGGAGCTACCAGAAATACTTGATAACCAATATGCAGGACAGGCTCTGGGCGTCGGGCTTAGGTCTGTTGCCAAAATGAGGCAGCAGGGTTGACATCATGAATGCACGGCACCGTACCGGCGCGGCAACTCCGATGGTATCCATGTAAGCTAAGCATCGTTGTTCCAGATTCTGTAGTCATGGCCATGAAGCATGTGGCCATTACGAACCATGGAACGAGCAGCGGTGCTTCACAAGACGGTCGCGGCTCATTCGCTCGCACGCGTATGGTTCCAATGCTGGACCTTGACTAGTGAGAAATTACGATTCAAAGCCCTATGACAATAAATGGAAACCTTACCGCAAAATATTATATACGAAGTATCAAGCCACAACAGGTGATATGGTGCGAAGCTAGCGCATTTTAATCATGGAAGTTGGGACATGGGACGACGATAGAGCGGGACTTATCAGATAAGTACATGAACGACATATTTCCAAAATAGAAAGACATGCGATACACGGAAAATAAATCATGCCTTCATCACAAAAGGTGGGATAGAAACGTACTATCACACATGGACAATTACTATGGGGATCGCGCAGTAAATCATTGTACTTCTCACCAGAATGCTGCAACTTGCTGGATTGAGCCCTGTATCCTGGTGGGTTTTGTCCTTCCCATGCCTCGAGCCGCCATGCTCTAGAAACTGTCAAACAGAACCTTTTTGTCTAGTTCATCATTAGCTAACGCTCAAATGTTCATCTACATGGGCAAGAACTGACTGCAAGGAAATGGAGTCCACTCCGTCCCGTCCTCTGGCAAGTAGACCTTGAACGCCCCATTGACCAATTTGCTCTTCATCGCACCAGCCGAACCAGGAGCACGCCTAAGGCGCTCCACTCGTGCGAAGACCGAAAGCATAGCGGCTGCCGCAACAGTCACAATCTCACGCCCAAGGCATGAATGTGGCCCCCATCCGTGGTGGATGTACAGGTCATCAGGACGGTCAAGTTTGACAGCTTCAGGGTCGGGGAACTTGATTGGATCTCGACCAGCTGAGACAAAATCGGCCAATATGGTGTCCCCTTCCTTGATTGGGACATTTCGCAGCCCGTCGCTAATGATTGTGTCGTTGGCTGCGTACCGAAGGACACCAAAGGCGGGGGTTGATAAACGGAATCTGTTCACGTTAGCAATGCTGGAATGGGTTTGTTCCCTTGAAAGTGGTGAGTCGAGCATACCCCTCGAGGGCATATTTTTTCAACTTGTCAAAAGAGTCTTTGTCGTCAGAGCGAGCGGCTTTCTGAATGTCAGGCCAATATTTGTAATATGTATCCGACAAATAGAGGTCAATCAGTTGAGCCCACTAAAAGTGATTAGAAGTGAGTCTTGTATGTTCTGGGACTAAACATACACCTTGAGCTTGAGTAGCACATGCAGCTGCAGCAGTTGGGATAACGGTCCAGATCACCTCATCGGCAGACTGTCCACCGCTAGAAAGTCTAGCATTGAGCTCTGGTCCATAGTCGGCTAATGGGCACTTCTTTGTGCTGGAATTGTGGTTGCTTAAAATATTGCGTGCAATGGTGAAATGCTGTTTGTTCAAGCTGGCTACATGCTTTTGCATAACTTTCCCCAGCCGCTCGGACGACCGAGACGCACTGATGCGATGCCTGAACGACTGAGCCGGGTCAACGTCAAGGAAGACATAGCCAAACAACTCTGAAAGTACGGTATACAGCTCTCTTTCTGTGTAGGCATCTGTCGTGTCATTGTTCTCGGAGGTTTGCAGAGGAATGCCGAAGAACTCCGCCGTGAATTTAGTATGAGCGAGGTTTCCGATACTAGGGGGAGTTGGTCAACGCCGTTTGGACTAATGCACTAGGGTTACTTACTCTCGCACTATATCGAGCTGGTATGTTGAACCAAGTTTACGGCTATGCTGGCGTAGGAGGTCCATTGTCACACCTTCGTAAAACTTCCTGACCTCCTCAAGGCCATCGGTTGGCTTATATAAACAATCCTTCACGAACACCCTCTGCTTCGCATTGGCCGAGGAGTCGCCGCTCAGCATATAATCGTGCTGCGTAAGCTGGAATGTATGTGGGCCCCCTTTCAAGACATCAGTATCAGAATTCAGGGTTCCAAGCCATGAGAGGGTAACTAACAAGGGACGCGAAAAGCTTTCTGGTCATTTAGAACCTGTGTTACTCCCTGCCATGAAGTCACAGCAGTCGGCTGGCTTTCATATTTTGGCCTAACAAACTCCAGACCATCGGCGGTTTTGGACTTTTCAAAGACCTTCCGGTTTTGCTCCGGAGTTGTGAAAGGGAACAAGGTATATACACTGTTCGGAGTGTACCACCCGGGGAAGGCTCGCAACAGGAGCTTGTACATGAGGCCGCCTCCTGCCACGGAGAAGTCTGGGACTGTGTTCGCAAACCTGTGAAATTAGGTGAGAGTTGATCTTTGCCTAGTTGATATCTCCCTTTCCTCTGACGTTAATAACATTGAGACCATGGATGGAAACATACCCAAAGTTCGTTAGATTCACTGGATTGTAATCAACAGTGTAGAAGCGGTCACCGCGGACCAGCGTATTAGCATCTGCTAATATTGTAGCTGAAATAGTGAAGTTCGGGCATAATCCGGACCCGGGAAAGCATGGCTTCTTCGCTTCCTCTGCCTGTATACCGACATAAAGCTCGATATTATCCGGGTGTCCGTAGAGTGCCTCCACTATAGCCTAGTTAGTGTTGATTAAATACAACATTTAGCTACGGTACCTACACGCCTCCCAGACAGCGGGATCGGAGTTGACCTCCTCTGAAAGTGTCATTAGCCAGAAGAATGCCAAAAGGATTCACCGTGTCTTACCGAACGTTGAATATGTTTTCAATTTGAAGAAACGTCGAAATTCGTTTAAGCTGGCTAATCCCCACTCCCGGCCTTGCTGGATGCCAAGCATCTCTATGGCCTTCATTGCCCGCGGGATATTATTGGCACCGAATGCACCTGCGGAATACTTAGTTGTTGAAGCTCGCACAAATAAAAGGGAAGATAGCGCACCCGCGACAGACTCAGTCGCAGTCTGCAGAATATTCGCGAGATCTGCATCCCTAAAGCTGCCGTCCTGTTGTCGTTGCAGGCCATTGAATGTCCACTGAGCGGGATCTGGGTCAATGCCCTCTAACCACCTGCGCAGGCCGCCAACGAATTCCTCAACGGACAAACCACCTAAAGCCATTTCACCATCCCAGGGTCAGGGACATCTCATTAGATTCTGCTAGGGGTAGCTGCATACCTGGATCAACTTCTGTGCCAAACACGTTTTGCATGAACCCACGTGCCCAAGCTTCATCCTGGTTGCTGATGGCGGCATGCCATCTGTAGATCATGTTGAACTCCGCACTAACTTGGTTTCCAACACCCCTGGGGATGGTCGGTGAGTTCACAGCAGTGATCTCCATCCGCGGGTCGAGCCTCCAGTCCGAGTCTACCGGGTTGGTGTTCAGGTTCAATATGGTCCTCAGATAATCGCCTAGTATAATATTCACATATAGACCACAAGTGACCCTACACGTGTCAGATTATAGACATATTTCCTACCATGAAAGGAAAGGGTCTGACTTACAGTCGTCCAGTTTGGAATAGATCATTATCCCGCTTTGCCTGCGCCTCGGAGTATGTGGGACTATCTGGTGTCAGTCCAACTGGCAGGCTAAATCTGCCTCCTTCGTTGATCAGGGCTATCTCCTTGACGATGTAGTTGTGGAATCGATTGAATGCAATGATCAAGGCGCATACTCCGGGTGGCTGGCCGAGCAGTCTTTGTTCCGCAAATGTGTCAGGCTTTAGCAGTCCATCCTGAAATGAACGCACTTGGTTTTGCTGATCTTGGTTGTGGCCGTACAGAGGTCCCAAGTCGAGGTAAGATGAGTTTTTCAGTTTTGTTATATCAGCGTCATCTGTACGAAAGAGATCTTGCATAGACGTTAGATCCATATGCAGCAAACATCAAATCCTGTTTGATTCTACCGACCGTGAATAATGATCGTTGCAAAATGAAATAGAGTGCTCGATATTCTAGAAGGATGTTCTTTTGCAGGTCCTTTGCGGGTGAGAATAGCTTGTCGCAGTTAGCAAACCCCTGTTCTTAGCCGTGTGATAGAAGCAAACCCACTGTCAAATATCAGAGAGGGATCTGGGAGCACATATGGCCGTGGGTGTTGGGGGGTCACACTCCGAACATAGTGGCTCCCTGCTGCCCCTAGTTGGGGATACAACGGATTCTAGGAACGTTAGGCATATCGCCGGGAGAGATATTGGGGCGACGTGTTACATTATTGCTGCCATCGGCGGCGCGGTATTTGTACTCGTCTCCCAACCGTGCTACAGGAGGATGGTCAAGGCTATTCCACAATGTCTTCACGAATTCTCCTGTGATGCCGTCACGTAGCCTTGACCCATTCGGCAACGATGCGGCAACTTGGATGATCTCCTCGATCTAAATGCAATCAGCGGTGTCATTCATATATATAAAGACGGGTCATGAGGCTTCTATCTTACGAGATATTGCCTATCATCAATAACTCCACCCGCTAGAATGGTCGATCCCAGTCCCTTGAGGACTTGCAGATCCGGGAGGATCCGCCCAACCTGGCTGACTATATCTTGGCGAGTTTCGTTGAAAAGCCTCAGTAAGCTATGGTGACCATTAGAGGAACTACCATGATTTGTGTCTCCTTTGTCTGTCATGGCTAATAATGGTCTCACACTGTGGTTATGGGTGTTGTGTACTGTCCGATAAACAGAAATCGTGATAAAGGGGCACCGAACCATATAATAATATATTCGCAGCTTCAGCACGGCACCTATTCTGTTTGTATTGGAAGTCGTATCCGTGGATAATGCTGTTCGTCATCTGAGGCAACCCGTCAATAACTCAACTCTGGGTCGCCGGTTCCAGTAAGAGCTCGACCACATAATCATCCAGCGGTCATCTTACGTGATATTAGGCCAGAAACGTACATTTGTATCATGAATATGGAAATTGGAAATGCAAGAGCGAAAGGGAGAGTAATGGTAATCTATTTCATTAGGCAAACCACATGAATATCAAATGGAAGCATTCATATGGGTGAACCAATCTCGGTTAAACCCTAAAGCTAAGGGAATACCGCATGCGTCAACCTCGCGACTTGGGTACAGTCCAGACTTTAGGAGACCCGTTGTACCAAGGCTAACATCAACCTTACGACTAAGCATGAACTATTGTTCTTCAGGCTTTTTCATGTCCTACAACTGTATGCTGACTAACAACGGTAGGAACCACAGCTAGATGGGTTTCCGCCATACACGAATGCGACCCAGTAGGGATGGGTATGGCCGCCTATACTGAGTGACAGAGCTCTTTCTGTGGTATGCTCTAGCTACTCGAATCAACACGAATATGGCATTTCACGCCGAATAATTACGATCCAGGGTTAGGTAGTCGGACGACGATGGGAATGTGTGCCCTGAACTAATAGGCAGACTAAACACATAGCTCATTGTGGAATAGTGCGCCGTAGCAATTATTGGGGTAACTAGCTTGCAGGCATATTCTATGTCAACCATTACATTAGAAGTGATAAAAGATACGCCTTTTTGATCGACCGTATATCTCAATTATCTCCCATATTTGGATCCCCTAGGGTTCAGTGCTAAAATGCCCTATACTCTTGGGCTAGATCATGGGTGTATTCGCCGCACACGAACCGTTGACTTTACTCTGTGTTCTTTCCTGTACAGGGTTGTTTACAGAAACAATTATATGACAGGTTGCATGTTGGGAAGCTTCAGGGTACAAGATCACATCCCGGATATATTGCCAAATATCCTTATCCTGATGATTGATTCCTATTCACGCATTCTTGGAGATGACATCTAAATCTCATGCAGGTTGTTAATTTGAGTGTTCAGATTTGGCTTTCACTATTCCAGCAGAATATAGGACTCGTAATCATTCTGCACCACCCCTTGGCGATAGAGGATTTTGAGAAGGTTTCATTCCTATCAAAATGACGAGATACCTGGCTCAAACTAACTGGGCTATTGGAGTGGTTCCCTGAGCCGTGCACGTTCTTTATCATGAGAGCAGACATTGTTCTAGTACATTAGGACATGCCATTGTAGGGTGAATGAATGGCTTCCTCTGTATTAGGCCCAGATGTCGTACATAAATCATTAGTACTGTCGGCCATTAGTGCTGTCGCTTATGCTGAGGATGCCAGATCTAAACAACTGAAAAATCTACGCATGACCGAAACGTAAGATTTATTTGAAGATCTGGTCTCTGATCAGGTTGCCTGCTCCAGTCACGATTGTGACCTAAACTTGTCAAGCCAGAAGATGAAATATGGTTTCTTGGCATCGAACAGATTTTGCGCGCTAGATATCATATTACTTAAGAGGATATGTTGGAGCAAACACGAATACGAGGCTGGGTGTATTGATCGTCACCCGCCGAGACCAACGGACCTCGCTTCGCGTTAACATGTTCCTATAGAATCTAAGTAGGTCCCTCGTATTAGCCGCTGATCATTGAGATGGTATCATTGTCTGGCATCCACGACTCGTACTAAGTGGCTTGGCTTGAAATATAAGAGCCTCGTTGCTGTGCCAGCCCCACCTCAAGTCGGCTCATAAAGTACGCTGAGTTTATACAAAAGGTAGGGAGCGTATATTCTTACCTGTGCACATCGGAACACTGCGCATAAAGGTTTGCCTATCATGGCGGAACTAACGGTGGGTTATGTATCTGGTATCATTGCTGCGGCTGTATTCCTGGGTAGGTACAACCCAATATTGAAGACCTGACACACGAGATACTTATATTTTCAAGTGCGCCTATTCGTTCCTACTGTGATAAGTTTGATAGTCATTGGACATCTGCCGGAGGAAAATTCGATCGTGTCATGGTATTGCGTTTTGCTCCCATTTTAGCGCTGGTGTTGACACAATACTAGGTCTGTTGTCAGCCGGCTGATTCATTCGTCATACTGGCCAACAATACTAGATTCTGATACTGCTGCTAGTACAGGGGTCAGCAGAGCGATCAAAGCTTGTACATGGCTACAGCTCGGTGCCCTTGGACTTGTTGCAGTGGCTGGAATTGTAACTCCTTTAGGTCTATACGATGTTATTGGCCCTGATGATGCCCCGACTAATATCCCATTCCACTATGTCTCTGATACATCTGCCTTTGGAAGAGCCACCCGCTCGAGAGATGGGTACAGATCACTTAGGATCTGTTACGCGGATGACGACCCGAATACCCCGGAGGGATGTCCTGGCGCACCCCCAAATATCAATGACATTGAAGACCCCGCTGAGGCATACTCAATATGGCCGAGTAGTGTTGATTTATTCACGAGCGGAGATGTACCGCCGACTGTTTCTAGCATATTTGACCTCCAGTGGCGGTCATTTCGGTCAACGACCAGCTTTGGCGTGAATTTCATTTCGAGTGAATACTCTGAAGGGTATTACCGGCAAATCTCGCAGTTAATTATGGAGGAAGGAATCCTAGCGGTTGAGGGATTGATCATTGATACTAAGGCTGGACGTATAGGTTTCCGGAACCATACTATCCCCGTGGATGTGCGTACCGGTGCGAGGTGGACAGAAGACATACTGTTCATCGAGCCCGAAGCACGATGTGTGAACACTAACCTGACCATCGACTATACTTACAACCCCTCCAGTGAGACAACTACGATTGAGGAGACACGGGACCCAGTCCTGGTTGACCACGGCGGATTCAGTAGCCTGCCCCATACAGTGAATGAGATAGACGCAGGCGATTTCCAGAATAATGTAGCATTGTATGACCGTGCGTACAATGCTGCCTGGAGACACAATATGCTCGTGATGCAGTTCTTCAATGTAACCACCAACGGATCAGATGGACTGGAACCCTTCGCCTATATAAATTCTGATATCGGAAAGAAGTTCGATTTGCGAGGCGTATCTGGCAGCTATATTACTCCTCTGGCTGTTCAGACAGACAACAGGTATGCCGGGTTCCTTGAGCTCCCGTTTCCGAACAATTCAGGGGCAGTAACGTCCCTCAGGGATACCCCCGAGGGCCCTAACCCCGTCAATCTGACTGCACTCGATACTTTCGCAGTTGCCACGGAAGCTTGCCACTATCCTTCGATCCAGGATCTGTCCAACCTATCGTTCGTTGGTGTGTCCTGTGGCACTGTTTTCGCAGCCCCCGCGAGGACTGACGGGGACCCGCTCATCCCCGACACAAACAGCACTTGGAGTACTCCGATCTACTCCTGTGCTGCCGCAGCCAAAGCAGCCATACGCACGGTCACATTCAGCTTCAATGGGACAGGAGAGCTGGACAAGCTTACAGTTGAGAAAATAGAGCAGAAGCGCTACACGGGCTCATCCAAACCTCCACTCTGGGGTGTCGAGCGATTAACCAATCACACGATAAGGAACGCACGACCTCTATGGGGCATTGTCTCGCCTGATGTAGCCACTCGTGACGATATCTCATCTGTCCAAAGGGACCATCTTTGGCTTCCTGGCTACCAAGATACGTTCATATCGGACCTCCAGACCGGACAGTCAGACATGCCCGGGAACCGATTTTATATGGATAGGCTGCTATCTCTTTTCGACGTCAAAGATCTGCAGAAGGCAACTTCTCGATATACTGGGCTTAACGACCTGGCTCTATATAATAAATGGTTTGAGCTGTCCAAGTCAGCAGCTGGTGTTGAGCAGATGCTGAAACTTATGTGGACTGACATGGCTGCCAATACTGTGGTTGGCACACGCGGCTGGCATAGCGCCCCCTCGGCAAGGAATGGAGAGACACTATCCAAGCGAGATGGCGGCGATGTAAATGTACCGGTCCTACTGTGGTCACAAACCATCAAATATAGACTTCCCTACGCGATCCCTGCATTTATACTACTTGCCCTCTGCCTGGCATTGGCAGCGTGGAGCATTTGGCTACTTATTCTGAGACGCATCGGCCTGAAGCAAATGCGAACGTACCTTGCTCGTACCTCGCCGGGTAGGATACTCGGACATGCGCTGCATCCAGATCAAGGGAATATTCTTGCTTCGACAGAGGTCTGGCTTAAGCAGATAGGCTTACGAACAGCCACTCTTCCCGGGCAGAAGGAAGACAGCGAATTGCCATTGTTAGATATCCAACAGACACGAACACATGAAGAGGGTGAATCAGATCAAAACACCAAGTAGTGGTGACATATGCTTTAGCAAAGACATTGGAAGGGAATGAAGTATTTAGATGGATTGGACCTGTCATTCCCCTGTCTTCTTCTTCTTCGTCTTTCTTTCTTTGTTTTTCGAGCCATATCCCCCTCGACTAAGGACCAACGCAGTCAGTGGAGAGGCCTCTATGACGGCTATGTATAATGACATAATATATAGTGAGTATCCTGACTGTAAGCCAACTATATTAGTTGTGCTTGAGATACTGTCCCTAGGACTACCGTACATGATAGCCCGAGAGTACCAATCGAACAAACGGTTTGACTATCTTTTAATAGCTGTCATAGTCACATCAATATCTTGGCCTATCACTGCTATTTAAAGATGCTGTGTATCGCCTTGAGTAGTAGCTTAATGGCCTGTCTCCTTATAGGCCCTTAATTTACCCAATATGGTAAAGTGTACTTAGGTGTGGTAGTAAATAGGACAATAGCGGGCACATTAGCCCTCTATTTGACTATTTGCTGCACGGTGGGGCTATTTTCGGCATAACCGTCATGCACATGCGGATATCACCTCAACATTATATAAAACGTGTGTGCGTGGGTCTGCCGATTGCGTGCTATCTGAGAGGGCCACCGCTGGGAATGCGGGGAGGCTTGCGGGGATCGGTACCTGGTTTTCGGAGGCGCCCTGAGTAGCGAAGGGCATCATACCAGCAGACAACGACACAGATTTACTGCTTGAAGATACGGGTCGTGTTGACAGGATATGCCAAAGGTGCCGATGCCGATTACGGTGACCGGTTTGCTTCTGAGGCAAGATTGGGTGTACATCGTAATCATTGAAGGGCAGAGGAGAGGGGAATGAGACTCCGAGTCGGGCAAAGTGGGGTGTCTGACAAGATGCTGGGACATTATCAGACAATTGGCGTGCTTGGTGTAGAGGGATTGACCAATGTGCAGGAAGAAGACCTTATCGGCTGGTATAACCTCATTTAAGCGACGTTGACGCAATACCTGAGCAATAATGTCGAGCCTATACCCACCGGGGTTGACTTGTGCTCATAAGGTCTAAACTATGTCGTGATTCAGGTGCATCAGCTTTTCTATTCATGATATGGATTTATCTTTCTTCCTATAAGGCATCTATTTACCATGTGACTGGGGCTCCGCTAGCAGTGCGATAATAACCAAAATTACTAGACCTCTGCACTTCTATGGAACAATTAGACCATACGAATATAGCTATTATAAGTGTAAAGTCACATCAGTCAATAAATTAAGAAGCAAACCGGAAATCAAGTCTGGCCCAGTTGTCAGTATTTGAACTACTAAAGATACCGAGCGTACCACTCACCGTTTATTGGTCATGACTGAGTTTTCTTGAAGATACTGCCGCTTCTGTTCGCTAGTAAGGGCATCCCATTGCTTGGCGTTTCGCCTGGCAAGGTCAGCAGCTATTCAAGAAAAGGGCTCATGGGTACCTACTTATTACGCCAATCATAGTATAATTTTGCTCCGATGAAGAGAAAGAAGCTCACAACAGCCAGTGCGATCGTGACCTTATTTCCTTCTCTGTAGTATGGAGCATCGTCGGCTCGGTAGACCTGTATAAGCCAATGTTAGTTCTTAACAATCATGCACGAATTCATTGGGCCCCGTACGTTAGCAGCGGCAATGCTACTGATTTGCACCGACATATTGTACAATGCAGAAGCTACCGTCCTTGTCCGGACAGACCCTGCATTCCGCGAGGTTAATGCTACTACTACCGGATGAATGCTAGGCCCCCCAACGGTCAAAGTAAGAATGGCAAATCGGGGCCAGGGCATGCTTTTCATCGGGAGCGTCTCGAGTGCGATCAGCAGGATCAAATACCAAATCTCTACAGCTGCACCGCAGAGCAAGCGCTGGTTAGTACGCTCTGCAAGCCAAGTGGTCGTGACCATCGTTATGATGCTGACGACAGCGGAAGGAATAACAAGTAAATTGGTTTGGAAGGTGGTGAATCCCTGCTGGCGCAGCTGCAAGGTGAGGTAGTTGGCAGCTGGGGTATAGGGGATCATCCAAATCAAACCAAGAGCGTAGATTGGCCACATGTGATAATCCTTCAATGAGTACCAGAGGAGCTTGGGCGTAACAGCCTGGCGATTGTGCATGGTTCCTTTACTTGGATCGTCGCGAATCACACGATTCACCATAATCTTCTCTTCGCGTTCGTTGAACCATCCGTCTTTCCCTCGAAGTCCGCCTTTGGTCTGCGTTGGGCCCGCGGGCATCCAAAACGCAGCGAGAATGCCAATAATACCGGTGATGAGACCTTCATACGCGAAGAGGTACCTCCAGGACCCGCCACCATTAGAGTCCTTGATATGAAGGAGACCAAATGCTAGAAATGCGCCAATGATACTGGTCAGCGTGTATGAAATCCAGAAGCATGTAAGCCGCTTCGGAAGCTCGCTGGACTTGTAGAAAAAGGACAAAAAGAGAATTGTATCAGGAATGAAACCACCCTCAAGCAGTCCGAGCAAGGCACGGAGGCCTAGATAAGCTGATTTCGTCTTCAAAAATGCTTGGCACGCTGCAACTAAACTCCATGCCACCATTTGGATAGGGATCCAGCGATCGGGGCCCAGTCGCTTAGAAATCAACTGCGAGGGCATTTCGGCGATCAGAAAGCAGACCAAGAAGATAGTTTGCCCGGTGTTGTAGTCATTGCTGGTCATCTTAAGGTCTTTCAACAAGGTATCCGAGAGCGCCTGACCGATATTCCCTCGATCAAGTTGCAGTGCGAAGAATGTAACGCAAGCAAACGTGCAGACGCGCCAATCAATCTATATCTATAAGCCAGGTGGTCGTATCGCAACAATGGATTGTCCTACCTTTCTGACAATCTTCCTCTCCTCTTCTTCGGTCCATCGAAAATCAGGGTCCCAGCGATGAATGCCCTCATAGCTGTCGATTGGTCGATACAAGCGATGGTCTTCTGTTTCAAAGGTGCTTTTCCCTGGAAGAGGCTGGGTCGGACTTTCCTGGCGCTCTCTGTCTGAATCATACTTTGTACTGGCCACTGGAGAATCAGTATCTACCTCAATGGTAGAAACTGGCACAGTCTTTGGTTCTTCTCCAGCCATGATTCCTTGATTATCAACAGCTGGTTATGCAATGCCTGGCCGAAGGCTTTGGAGCTAGATGAGAGGCCTTTATAGCAATCTGCAACCGATAGTGACATACTGCCCTAGAGAATGTCGTGATAGGCCAGCTCGATGAGATAATTGTTAGACGAGGGGAATTTCCTAGCCACGATGGATTGTCTTGTCTTTACCATACTGTTACAGCACGAGCCCTGTGTGGCCACTGGCCAGAACCATTCCCCTCTGGAATTTGCTTATCCGACTTACGCATATCAATACTTGCACCACCCCACGATTTCACACGCCATCGTAGCGTGTCAATGAGCCAATGGCATCCCCTCGCTTCCAATGAAAACAACCACTTGAAATACAAATATGCAATCCAGCTGTCGCGATCGAGCTTAAGTTTGCTTTTCCCGAGCTATCTGCCCTCGGCTCTTCCCTGTCAGGCACATCGTACTAGATCCGAAATATATATCAGAGGTCGATGGAAACCCGAACATGATGGTTAAAGCTAGGGGTCGACAGGCATTTATGCTCGGTACTAACGTTAGCTTTTTGAGAAGGGACAGTGTAATACAAAAAATGAAGAAAGAAAGAAACAGAGAGTCCTTGTCCTCACTGTCCGGATGTCGGTCGCTCGAGCATCGGCTGTCGGTGCTATGGCGACATCGCGGGGGACGATGGTGTAGAGTAATGCAAGAATATCATAGCCGAAATATGGGCAATAAATCTTGGATGTCCGTATCTCTCATATACTCCATGTACTGAGCACTTCGCATTTTTGGAAGACTTTGGATTCTTGGTGAGGCCGGTAATTATTACTATGCACTGTAGTATACAACAGTGTGATGGTTACTAAATGCTATTCGATTCGCGGTGTGAAAACCTAAGATAAGGGTATGAAATTTTTGACTAGCGTGGAAGCCAAGGTAGAATTAGCCATCATGTGTAAGGGAAACAAGATACCAAATATCCCACAATCCAACCGCTAGTCCATCGGTGGAGTGACTAGTTCCTTTGTCGAACCTCTGGCAAGTCGTCAAGATACTTCTCAATATCTGATTCCTCAAACCGAGCACTAAAGTTGTACACCAGCTGCAGTTGATGGAGAAACATGTAGCAAATAGTATGCTCATACCAAGCACGCAAAACATGAAGCCATTTACTGGCTGGTACCGTATGCACGCTGCAAGTCATCCTCAACTGCCTAAATTGCTAGATGCACCACGGCGTCTGTTAGCGTTGTATTGAGGTTGACGTGGCTCTGAATACCTCTTATCATCATTGGAAAACCTGGAAAGATGTGAGAAGCTAGAGGGCTGGGCATAATCCCTCCTCTGCCACTCCACGTGTTGCTCGATTCCTCAGTCTTTCGAGGTTCCAGTTGCATATGTTGTTGGGATTTCTCCCAACAAGCACTTGCCCTACAGGATAGAAATCCCGTCGTTACCATATAAGGCCATGGGCGGTAGTTCCAGTCCTGGTCGGAAGGATTCGCTAGAATAAGCAGCACTGCTTAGCCGCCTTCTCAACAGTAAACTCAGCCGCAGGACGTCAAGAATTAATTGATCCTGCTCCCTAGACGAGGGAGAGGGCTGCCCCATGCCGATGAATCTCCAAGTATCCAGCGACGTGATTCCCTTTGCGTGAATTCCATTTAACCAACAAAGCTGCATTGACGTGGGGTGCTCCCCAATTAATCCAGGCATTTCGGTCCTGTAGAAGCTGCTTCGGCCAGGATTCGCTATAACCGACTTCGAATGCAATCGTTAGCATAGCTACCCGACAAAAGTGATGGCCACGTTTTGCTCTTTATAGGCATTATGGAGACAGGAATGTATCATAACGTATATACCATCTCTTAGTATAGTTTAAATACAGAGAATATTAATTCCCTTACGTCTTAATCCATAGATTCAAATGGTCTGGAGTTCCGGAGTGAAAAGCCCACTCAGTAGGCTGTTGGCGTTTACATCGCCATGTACCCACTCTGGAACAGCCACGTAGACGATGCAGCATAACTTTATCAATACTATCTGGCTGATGGGGTTGAAGGAGATATGGACTCTTTTCCGTTCTACATCAGTGTCCACAGCAAGACTTCTGGCCACTAAGTGGCCCATTTGAGTGGCAATATCTGCTCACCCAAATAGCCAGGTCCGTCTGTCGAGACTATCTGTTTATTTTACGAATAAAATAGTTTCTGGGAAGTGGCCTGTGAGAGGTCTTGCAGATACTGGATTGTAACGCAGAATATAGATGATGGTAGTAGAAGGGAGTTGATTGGTGGATTCAAAATTGGATACTGGAAGGTTGCCTAGGGCTAGGCACCGACTGGGTGGAATTCACACGGTATTCCTATTTTATGAATTTTTTTTTTCTTTCTTTTTCTTCGCTGCGAGAAGTATAGCATATCATACAGTCTTAATATTTGTCAAGTCACTAGTTATTTTACAATATTCAGAGATATGGCACGTACACGCTCCCAGCAGGCCCAATTGGCTACTTGTCGCAATAAGACGAGCCAAAGGAAACGTTCTCTACGCCACCACAACAGTGCCAGCCTGCAAGGGTCCAATGTTCAGGGCAATGAAAATATCAAACGTCGAGCAGCAAAAAAGACAAAACCAAGCTATTTAGAGCGGTCTCCGTTTGAAGTAGAGCGGGATCCCAATCGAACCTTACGACTTTTCGCTTTGCCCAGAGAGATCTTCGATAAAATCATTAACCACTTACCTCGTGATGCCGAAGCCTGCTTCACTCTGACCTGCAAGGAAGCATTGCATCTCCTCAGCACCGCATCCTGGGCAAGCTTTCGTGGAAGAGCTCGGCTCTACGGACTTCAATATGGGTCTTACAGATCCCTGGTTGAACTTCTTCAACGCGATGTCCCCGGAAGTGAATACTGCCTGCGATGCGAGACTCTTCACCCACCGCTCAAGCTACCCAGGGACCACCGGGAGACTAAATGGACGAAACATTGTATGGGTCAGCTAGCCAGCATTGACTACTGGCCGCAAACACCATCGGGTGGCTACAGCCTGGTGTGGGAGCATATCCTCGAGGCATTCAAGTCACAGCCTGTTTCCTCGGACGCTAGAGCACTAATTTCACTGTTCGATGGCGACTTCACCTTCACACAGGGCGTGGTGAACTACAGGCTGTGCTCGTCTGCACAATGGGTCGATCGGAACCTCATCCTTACCCAAGAGCACCGGGTACGGAAAAGCCATTCACAGACTCGGGCCCTTCAAGCGGGAGATATCACATCCCTTCCTTTCCGTGTTTGTGCACATTTATCCACAACAAATGCACCCCCACCAAAGAACTGTCGGTCAAAGAAACCTGTCAGTAATAGCTCTCGCCTTACTATGGCCATTGCTGCGGCCTTTCCGCCTCGTTTACGACAGGGTGTCCAACAACTTAGTATATCTCCAGACCTGGCAGATGCAGAAACGAAGGACGATTTCACCGGGCGGTGTAAGAGTTGCACCACCAAGTTTGCGGTCCGTTACGAAGGAGGCAACGGGGGAGAGATCATTGTGACTGCTTGGCATTGTTTCGGAAAGGAACTGTGGAAGGCACAACAGTTCTGGACGTACCTTGTTCGACGAGAAGGACCAACGTTGGGGCCGGCCAAGCGTAACAGCGAATATTGGAGTGTTTCTAGGAGCCTACCTGATTTTAAAATCCCAGAGGATATCTGAAGTAGCCAATTGGCCATCATTAGAGTCTCAATTGGATGGTCTGCTAGTACTTATTACTGTCCGGTGGATATAAATTCAGCTACGTGTCTAGGTGTCTCTAGGCCGTAGATCAAATACGTATTCAGAGATTAGCAGAAGGACACGGATGCTTTACTAGGAATGATTTGGAATTTGACTCTCATGGGGCCACACATGAGTACATGTTCTATCTAGTGGTAGTGAGGGTCTGACCACAAATGGGCGTCCATTTGATCGTCCCAATATCACGCTTCTAGTACATCCTATCCATCCAATAGCCCACCATGACACTGCTGGTATTCTTCGATCAAATCACTCAAGTTTGACTCAGCTTCCACAAAGTCAAGCTCATCCATTCCATTCATGGTATAAGGGTTCATATAGGCCTTGCGCCTGAACAATTGGCCAAACTGCTCACTGATGCGACTTAACACTCCCTGAATCGATCTGGAGTTGGCCAAGAGGGTGCATGACACACCGAGGCTACGAGGCAAATACACAGTTGATCGAATGTTAGTGGGAACCCATTCGATAAACTCAGCGGAGGTGTTGCTCTGTAGATTATCCATTTGCGCTTCGATTTCAGCCATATTAACCTTGCCGCGGCTGCTCTAGTTAGCATTTGGGCCAAACCTGCAGCGCAGTTTATAACAACTGGGTCAATCAAGAAAAGGTGGCGCCCTTACAAAATGGTCAAGGATGACAGGAAATGGCTCATCTGGTGGTCCCCAGAAGCCATGATATTGCCAGCAGTGAATAGCTGCTGAGTGATCTGCGGTACACTGATGGAGGACGGGGAAGTGTAGCTGGATAGAGGAGCCAACCCAAGTATGAAGAAGTGTAGTCGAGCAGATGGCACCATATTCATTGTGAGCTTGCGCAGGTCCGAATTGAGCTGCCCGGGAAAGCGAAAAGAAGCCGTAACACCGGACAAAGCTTGTGTGATTTGGGGATTCAGCTCCTTATGAGAAGGATTGCGTAACCCAAGAGTTCCCGTGGACATATCCAGAAGGCCCTGATTGTCAATGCAGAAAGTTGCATCGCAGTCTTCTATCAGCTGATTCATTGACAAAGTTACATTGTAGGGCTCGACAACGACATCGGGTACGAGTGAGGGGAATGTAGAGACGGTTGCGATCATTGTATCGGGAAATTCATCGCGTAACCTTGAGATCAACAGTGCGCCCATACCGCCTCCCGTTCCTCCACCTAAGGAGTGGGCGATCTGAAAGCCTTGCAGACATTCACATGCCTCAGCCTCGCGGCGCACAA